GAAGTAATCCTTAGTCTCAATTATAGTATTCAATATATTGTGAATATATTATTATTTATATAATAATGAATTAATTGAGAAATCAAAGAGGAACAGACACAGATGAAGTATACATTGATCCAGAAAGAGGAATAGCCATCAATGCAAGATAGATGACAACTGAATAGCATTTCAAATATTACAAATCCTCTTTTAGTACATTAAGACCTGATTTGACTGAATATGAATATGAAGCATTTGCTAAGAGATTAAGAGTTGGTATTGCTAATATTTAACAATAGGCGAATCCTTTTTAAATCATATGAGGGCATTCCTTAATCATGAATCAGGTAGAGTTACTAATCTCTATCCTGTTGGTGCAAGATTAGAAAAGATGTTAGTAATTTGTTCTCTCATTTTTAGAGTTATTAAAATCAATATTTCCATCTTAGACCACCTTTTATTCTTGGACATAGATCTAATGCAAATAGAAATTGGGCTGATGCTTCTAAAGTTGTGAATTATATCGAGAAGCAATTACTCAAAATAACAAAATATGGTAATTTTTATATATCAATCTCATCAGGATTGGATTATCCAAACTATTATGCTCCGAACACTGAGAATGAACTCAAATAAAGAGAAGACGAAATTTATGAACGCTTTATCAGAGAAATGAGAAAACCCCCAGTTGCTGCAGCTTAATGAATTATAAGTATAAATCATATCAAGATGAATTTATAATTATTATTTCCATTCTTTTCTCAAAATTATTAAGCACTAGATTGATTGCAATAAAATTTGCTTATGTAATTATTTGTGCATCTGAAGATATTCTTTTAATTAAATTCAATTAAAAATAAATTATGAAATAATTCATTATCATTGTTATTTATATTATTAATATCTTAAACCTTTTAATTCATATGAGCCAACCATTATCTCATTAATAATACAGAGATTTAAATTCCAGCACCCAAAGCTCTGAAGGTGAAGATTATGTTCCAAAAAGAATTGTTTCTAAATCAAATACAAGGAAAATCCACAAAATACCTATCGAACAATAGAAACAGCTATTTAGATAGGTATTCTAAGAAGGAAAATAGATAAAGGAGGTAATTTATATCAATATTACTTTTAGGTTGCCAAAACCTTAGATCTCAATTATTCTAGTGCTAAATCTCTCATTCACTATTACAAAAATAACAAACGCTCAGTTCCAGTTGCTATTCTTGATGTACTCAATACAAAAAAAACAACCGGATATAGGGTTTCTAAAACAATACCCTAAAATAATAAGAATCTAAAAATAGAAGTAAGGGAAAATAATGAACTCATTCGTTCTTATTGCTTCTATGAAGACTTAGCATCCATCAATTGATTTATATATATATATCCTCATTGATTTCAAGAACTTTTTGAAGTTATTTTTTTTTGTTTAATAACTAAATTTTCAAGGATAGTTTTATTAATAACTTATAAAATCATCATAATCATTTTGTTATTTTCTAGTTCAAGACTCAGAAAATTTTCTGATACTCCATTGAAATGTCCATGTTTGATTGAAATGTCGATTGTAATTATCCTAATTAAATCTAGCATAACAAATTTAATTTGAATATTTTTAATTCTTTATTTATAGAAATATTTATATTGAAAAGAATTATTAAAATTTAATTATTTATGTATAGAATCGTTTAACTCAAGCATTCAATTTTACAATGTAGAAGGTAAAAAATAAATTAATTTACTAGCCCTAGTAGTTGTATTTGCAAAAGTTTTTAGTGTATCCTTAATATTTTTCTATGATTTACAATTTATATCTTACTTCTGAAAAATTTTGGAATTTATAATATTTCTTTATTTCTTAAATATTAGCTCCACTCTCCCCCTTAGTTCTCAAGAATTCAATTAAATTTATCTTTAAAGTTTATGTGTCTTAAACTTCTACAGGTGGTTTCTCCATAACTTGCTATGGTTATTTAATATCTAAATTGATATTATTCAATTACCTTTATGAGACAATTGGAGTCTATCATAAACTTAATATTCCCAATATTCCTTCTCACTTTCACTTTTTTCAATTTCATGGCTGCTGGAGAAATTTGAGTTTAGACTAAAAAAAGTTAAAAGTGTTATTTACTAATTTCTAGCATCTTTTTGATCATTCTCAATTTTTGCTTTTGCTTTGTAGGGCAAGACACCTATATTTTAAACATCTCGTGAATCATTATAAGGAGGTGATGGTATTAATAAGTTGCATTTATTCATTGGTTATTTTAATTCGCTTATATTCATTCTAAATGATTATTTTTCATCTTCTAAAATTAAGAAATATTCATTGTTTTTTATTTCTAAACTTGCCTTTAATTTCTCTTAATATTTATCCTATTTTTCTAACTTTTTTGTCCACTTCAAGAATTAAGGTCTCCATTCAGATGGTAATTCAATTTCAGCCAAACAGGTTTCTTAATCAAAAAATGACTTATTTTAGTTTTACATATAAATAAATAATAGATGAGAATATATACACTTATTTTAATTTGCTTAATAAATATAGGATATTCTCTATCTATTTAGATCAATCATAATCCAACTTGCTTTTATGTAAAATCTAATGAAAAACATTGTTAATTGATAGTGAATTTTCAGGTGTCAGGAATGGATGAAGATAAAACAGAAATAATCATAAAATCTGAAAATGATGATTAATTGCTACAAAAGACTAATGGAAAAGAAGGATCATTAAAACAAACATTAAATGAAATAGGAACATATTTTATTTGTTTTAGAAGTCTGAATAGAAGTTATAAAACTGTCAGCTTTGATTTTGATATCGATGGAGATGATAAAGAGTATGCTTAATCTGAACAATTTAATTAAATGTCTAAAGAATTATCTAGAACTAATAGAAACTTTTAGTCAATCTATAGAAATCAAAATTGGATTACTGATAGAGAAAACTCTCATAAGATTAGTAAAAATTTTAATAATATTTTAATTAGTTTTAGAAAACACTTAAAATTCAATTTATTTGTGTGGTATCGCAAAAATAGGAGTATTAATATTGATTACAGTAACCTAAGCTATTGTTGTGTACAAATTTTTCAAAGGAATAGAATTTAGTTCACATAGTAGTTGTTGACATTATTGAATATTAATATTATTTGTTCATTTGTCATGAATTTAATCATTTGATAATTACTGCTTCTCAAAACTATCTTTGAGATTGAGACTTATATAATATTGAATAAAATTAATTTAGTTGTTAGTTCATAAATTAATATGATAATTATTTCATAAAAATGAGTCTATAAAATACTCATAATCCAATGGATTGAGTGCTGTGCTATTGTAATCCACATAAGGGTTTGGAGAACCAACTTTTGATTCTTAAAAGCAATCTTCTTTTTTGTCTAAAAATTTGTTAGTAATAGGTTCACTTTTATCTTACACTTATATATTCAACTCTTACTCTCTTGCCTCAGTTCTTCATTTATTGCATGTAACATTTATCCAACTTATTTGAATTTGACCTCTATATCAACACTCTAGTTATAAACAAACTATTGCGTCTTATTTAATAAATACATGATTAAGATTTTGCATTTAATCAATTAAATATGAAGATGTTTCTTATAATAATTTCATATCCTCCTTTAGTTTATTGTTCGTTTCTTTGATGTCAATGGCACACTCCTTAAATAAATTCTATTCCTCCTTGATATGGATGACTATATAATATATGACAGAAATACTTGGCTCTTCTTATACAAGAGTGTTAGAACCAACTTATGGATCATCCTAATTCTTTCGTTTTATAAACTATAACATTGATCTAAGTTTAAATATTTGATATTACTTCATGCCTTTACGGAAACATTTATGCTTGAATATTTAACCTTCATTTGATTTCACTTTTTTAAAATTATATAAATTCAATTATCTACAATCATATTTCTACTCTCTATACCTTACAAAGCTGGAATAATTGCTATGTTTAAAGAAATTCTATAAGACTTCTTTTTCCAATAACACTTAATTGTACACTATAAATGCTGTTCCTTAAGAAGTCCAACTAATTACATTTGTACTCTTTTGATCCTTAAATTAGGCAATTGATTTCATACCTCCAACATTTGATAGGTTTTGAGAATGAAGGTTGGGATAGATGTCTTTATATTATTCATTTTGATCAATATTATATATTTTATTATCAAATTTTATTATCAAATTTTATTAAAATGAAATTACAAATTAATCTGTGTTATCAAATTCATTATGGACATCAATTCTCTCAAACTTCTTTAATTATAATTTTAAGTATAATAGTAATCAATCTCATTCACATTAATCGTCTTTTTCACGCTCTAATTAAATTCTTACTAGTTTGAAAGATTTTAAGGAATATACATGCTTTTTTCTGATCCTTTGGAAGAGTGTTATTTAATTCATATTCTTCAAATTAATTAAAATACTTGAACTGCCTGGATTGATGCTTTATTTTAAAACAAAATTAAGTTATATCATTCAAGTATTTTAGATATAGATTGAAATTACTTTTTAAATTCTAACTTTAAGGAAAACATTTGATCATATTTAAAAAGCTTATAATCTCCTCTTCATTTTGCCAATTAGTTTTTATTGATTAATAATTTAGCCAACATATTTCTGATGTTGTATCTAATATCTAATTTATTAGTTCATCCTGTTCTTTACCATCAATCCCAAAAATTTGCATGAATTTTCTTATTATTCCTTACTTTTCCAATATTTCTCTGGAGTTTCTCAACTATTCACAATTTTCAAAAGTTTTTCTTCTTAATTCATAGAGTGATATTTTTTTTAATAATTACTATGCTAAATAATTGATAAATTGGATTATTCCATTTTTATATGTATCTTAATTACTTAAAAAATTATTCAAATTGTAGTATAAAGTTAAATCTTCGTATTTCTATTAAGATTGTAAAAATGAATAGTAATCATATATTTCCATTATTTTATTTAGTTATGAAAAAATCTGTTTTTTTTTTTCCTCTTAATAATTATTGATAAGGTTATTAAATAAAAACTTATAAATTGCTGATTAAGCAAAATTTTTTATTAAATTTCTTTATTTTGTATGCCTTTCATCTTTTTAAGAAACCATTTCTTAACTAAATTTTTGGCTTGGAATGAAATATTTAATTAAACTGCTTATAAATTTTCCGTGGAACAATCTTAAATAAAAATAATCATTCTCATCTAAATACCTTATTATACATCCATTTATGTCATCAAAGTCTTATATTATGTTGTTCAAATTAAGTGTGTCAAAAAAATTACCTAATCCATTTTATCCTTCATCATTTAATTATAACTTTTCAATATTTTATAATTTAGGAGATATAAACTCCTAATAAATAACTTCAGGTTGAAGTTTTTTTTCCTTAAACAAACAAAATACATTCAACAATTAAAATTTTGATTTTTTAAATGCTTCTTTTTATATTGAATCTATATATAAGTCCTAATTCATAAAAACTTATTCACAAACTTCAAATATTTCCTAAGTCATTTCTTGTTGCCACTATTAATTATTATTGTATTTTATTAGGTATTTCAATGTACTCTAAATTAAATAAATATATGAGTTTTATTCATATAATTGGTGGTTTTTGGTTATTAAGTAGGACATCTTCCTCTTAAATAGTTCACAATTTAATAATTCAGAATTGTTTTCTTCCTTTTTTAATAATGGAAGTATACAATTTGGCTTGTCTCTTGTTTAATATTGCTTTCCTAATTCTATTGTCGATAAATCAATTATTTTTTCCACTTGTGAAATGGATCTAACTTTAACACTAAATTCTTGTGTACCATGAAACTCAACTTTTAGCCCATATCCCACTATTGGAAATAGAGAAATTTTTTCAATTTAATTATTACATTAGTTTAAGTTTCTTCTTAAGTCAGGGTTCAATAGTTAATCGACCCAATTCTCTTACGTTATGCAGGATGGCTCTTAGGTAGATTAGTTTAGCTTTATATCAATAAAATTAATATTCTTCATATATTACTAATCTTCTATCAGAGATTTAAAACATAGTTTAATAGAATTAGGAATGTTTTTAAATATAAAAATTATTAAACTTATTTTCCATAAATAATTATTTAATTTTTTATAAACCTATTTTTTGTTGATAAATTATGTGGGATTGTTAAATGATTCAACAACGACAATCAGTATTTATATAATTTTAAAGATTTATTGAAATAATAATAATTTTGGGAACAATATTAAAAATAGTGAATTGAGTTTTAACAATAAAGCAAGACTTTAGAATCATTATCCATTTAGAGTGGGTAAATAAGAATTTAATTAAAATCATCAAATAAGCACAAAATTTTGGCATGATATTTTCAATAATCTATATTAGATTCATAATTTTGAGGACACCAATGAAAACCTTGTGTTAGTATGTGAGATTTTGGTTCATATTGTTCTGGTGTAGCTTTAGGTTAAGTTTCTTAATGTTATTGTTATTCTTTTATTTCCTCAGAGCTGTCAAAATCACTCAGATTGATTTCTTATAATTCATATTTAGGTGCCATCTATTCTAGGAACTGATTTAGTTTGATAAGGAGCAAATTTTTGAGTTTTTTATCATCCAATTGTATTTTAGGCTTTTTTCTTGTACTATTTTAATAAGCTTCATATTCTTGAACGAATGAAAGGACATTTTAAAGGTTTTCTACAGGTTCCCAAGTATTTTCTTCATCGGGATAGCCTTCCCATTTGATACAATATTATAATTCATTAGTTTCAGGATCATATCTCTTACCAACGATTTTTTCGACATTAAAAAATTAATACTCTTGTTTCGACTTTTTTTAGTGTTTCATTTATAATTAATTAAAAGAGATATAAGAGTTAAATAAATTCCTTTTAAAAGGGAAATAATGAGAAAAGGCAGAGTAGTTTTATTTAAAGGTATAGTATTTGTTAGCTTAGGATATATGAAGATGAAATTTGTGTATAAGGATATGAATAGATTTGGATGATATGAGGATGAGTGGATTGGATAATAATTTAAAAATAAATTAAAGATTTTAATTATTATTTGAAATGACTAAAAAGACTAAGAAGGTTGGAATTACAGGAAAATATGGCACAAGATATGGTGCATCTTTGAGAAAGATTATAAAGAAGTTCGAAATTTCATAGCACTAAAGATATTTCAATACATTTACTGGAGCCGTACAGATTTCATCTAACAATTTAGCATTCACTCAAGAGATAAGCTATTGGTATTTGGAGATGCACATAGACTGGTTTATAAATTGCTGGTGGTGCTTGGGAAGTCAAGTAATATTAATAACAATCGTAGTACTCCTGCTGGATTATCTGCAAAATAAGGCATGTTGAGAATCAAGAAATTGAAGGAGGATGCTGAAGTTGAAGTCAAAGATGAGAAGAAGGAACAAAAGAAGCAATAACCTAAGGAATAATAAAAGGTATAACCCAAAGAGAAGGAAACTAAGAAACCACAACCTAAAAAATAATAAGCAAAGAAACAATGAGTATATTAATACAATAAATAATAATTTAAAATAATATGAATAAATTAGTATCTACATTTGCTAAGACTATGCAGACTTATGCTCCTCTTTACTCATATCATTTCCCCAATGGATCTGTTTATAATAACGTATTTAATTAACAGTAAATTAAGCCAGCTGTAACAGCTAAGAGAATAATCAAAGTGGTTGGAGAAAGATTAAGAAAAATTGATCCTGAAAGAGTATATAATGAAATCATTAATCGTTTTAGTGGGAATCAACTCCAATCACATTTAATACTAATTGGAATGATGCAGCAGGATACGTTGATGTAGCTACATGCATTCATATTCATGATGCCCTTGAAAAAGAATTTGGAATTGAAATCAAAGACAGAGCCTTCTTGGTTTCAAGTATTGAAACTGCATTCTATATCGTAAACATTCATCACGATAGTCATTGAAGCAATATCAAATAAAATATATTAAAAACAAAATTATATTAATGTCACATCTTTTTGAAAATATTCCTCATTCATTTTTGATACATATTTAAACCTACTATCTCATCCTAATTTTCTTATCAATTAATCATAGACTCAAAGATAACCTCAGCCAATTTGTAATCTTACTTAAGGAACTTATATTTTAGCATTCAGACTAAAAATTGATTCCTGAAAAGATATATTATATTGAAGGCCCATTTGAGTGCCAAAATTCAGAAAGCATACTCTTATTAATGAGTAGAAATATGTAAAATATGATTTATTCTAACTCTCTTTATTAAGTTTGAATAAGCTTAATAAATATCTAAATTTATAATTTTGCTTAAACAATTAAAACTAATAATTCTTTTCGGACTCTTAAATGATTATGAATCGAAAACAAAAAGTTAAAAATAATAAATCAAAGAATATTTAAGTATAAATAAAAAGTATTATCCATAATTTCTTATGAATAACATAAATTTAATAATTAAAGACCAAGAGATCTTAAACAAAAAATGTCTGATTAAAAATAATTACTAATTGATTATTTAGGTTTTTATCTTAATTTATTTTGCTCTATATATATAATAACTATTTCATACTTCTTTAATTTTCCATAACTCTATTAAAATAATAAAATAAAAAGAGTGGTATTTGGTTGAAATAATCTTATTCTTAGGAAGAGATCATCAAAATTTATTTATATTTCTTGGTATATTTGAAAATCATATTTTAATTTATGATTTTATCAAAATAAAATTATGACGGAAAAAGAATAGACACTAATAGAAAATTGAGAGAAGAGGAAAAGTAGACAAGAATGATGAAATAAGAAATAAAAATTAATTCAATAGCAATTTTTATTAGAATAAAGAAAAAAGGAGTTACAGCTATAAAAATAAAAAGAAGATGAAGAATAGATAATTAATTTGTAAAAAGTAACGAGAAGAAAAATCTCTATAAATATAGAATAGAGAAGCAACAAAATAAAATCTGAGAAATCAGAATTATCTCATTTTGAATCATTAGAACTATTAATTGATGAAAAAGTAAAATCTTATGTTATTAAATTAGAACAAGAAACATTAAAGATAGAGAACGATATTATCAACAATGCAATAAATTGATTATCTATGGAAGGGCAGATTAGAAAAGAGAAAGAGAAATGTATAAATTAATTGTTGAATAATAAATGAAAGCATGGCAACAAATAAAAGAAAAGAGAAAAAAGACAAAAGAGTTCCAATAATTAATATATAAGGAATAAACTTAAAATGGATCGCAAAAGAATTTAAAATAAGAGGATTCATACAGAAATGTACCTTAATTTTACAATATTAAATAGTTTTATCAGAGATTGTCAGAAAGATAAAATGCTTTGTAAGATATCTATCGATAAAAGGTTGATAATCCAAAGCTATAGCTTGATTATATTTTTGATTAGTAACTAAAGGAAAGGTAAAACAAAAAGATTATGAATACATAACAAAAAGATAGCTTTAGCAAAAGTAGAAGGAAATGACTAAAATGAATTGGCCAACTAGATTTAAGAAAAAATGAAAAAAAGAAATTGGATGATAATATAAAAGAATAAAGGAATTAGAAACGCTGCAAGCTTCTATATAATATGAAGAGTAACAAAGCATTGAAGATTAAGGAGGAGAGAAATTTAATACTAATAAAACACATAACTAACTATTTTAGTATATTGGTAAAATGATTAATTGTCGGTTTAATCTTAGATTCTAAGTAATAGAATCATGAATACCGAGGTTTCTTAATCGAATATCTATAATCCATTAACAAATCCGATACCGAGTCAGATACAAAATCCATATATACTTAGATAAATTTAAACAATAATTCATCTCTCAAGAAATCCCCATCTTTGAATTAATAGAAATTAGTATCATTTGGTAAAAGCAATTTAATAAATTGATATGACTTATTATATATCTTACATATAATGATAACTTTTACATTAGTATTATGGCCTTTATACTTCTTTCATTTAACTAATGAAATATCTTACTTTGTTTAATGCTGACAATTCATGGATTATAAATAGTGTTAATTTATAAAGAATAATATAATATATATATTTATTATGAATTAAAGTGAAACGACTGAAAAGAGTTAAAACAGTGAAAAGAGTGTCAATTTTTATGATTAGATGAATTCTGGGGGGTACTATATTGGAGAAAATCGATCTTCCTAAGTCAATTCTGCTTAAATCAATCCTAATACATCCAATTCAAGAGAAATACCAGTCCCTAACTAATCAGAATATCTAAATAGACCTGAGATAAATGTTTAAGTAGTAGTTGATTCAAATTTCCAAAATTCAGACTAATTAACCTCATAATTAAGCAATCTGAAATATTTTAAGGATTCATACGTTTATTAAGTATATAAGAATTAAATGATTATAGTTAATCTCAAGTGTTAGAGCTAATCTTAAGTTAAACAAATAGATTAAAAATTATAATCTACTAATTTAAACTAACAAGGAAAAAGATAAGTCACCAGATTAAAATTTTTAACAATCAGAGCTTAATAAGGAAAAATTAAACTAATTTTTTTAAAATGTAACAATTTAATAGAATTTAGATGAAATAAGCTAGATAAAATATCAACTAAGTACAATCCCCAATTAAAGATTTCTTATGTACAAAATTATAAGATCTCTTTCCTAAGAAGACTGTTACTTAGGATGATCACATCGTATTAACCATTAATTTAATACTTAGATAATAAAATTGATTAATCATTATCAAATACATAAATTCGTTTAATTATTAATTGTTATTAAATTATATAAATGTAATAACGAGATTAAGTGGAAGTAAGTGAGAATAACTAATAAATTAGGACAAAAAGCCATTAATGGAGGGAATATTGGATATATTTGTTAGAAAATCAGCTATAAACAATACTACATAGTAAGTCATATCAATCACAGAACCGATTAGTAACAGAGGACCTAGTATTGAGGAATAGCAAAAACTAGATTTAGGAAAATCAATTCAAATATATATTAGTATTGTCGATTCATTTTGGTGTTGCATTACTAGTTATTGGATTATTAACTCATTTTAATTTAAGCGAATAGATCTTGCAAATACCATTTATTATTTGGGTTGTGCTTTTGATGCTTTACATCTTATCATTGGCATTAGCATAATTTAGTAATTCATAATCCTTAAAGTCACCTAAAAACGTATTTTTGTTTGTAATCTAATAATTTAATAAATAGGGAGTAAATACTATTGTTAGATTATTCTGGTTTGTATATGCAGTTATTTTATATCCAGAATTGAATTTGGGTGTTTTTATTGCCGTAATCTTCATCAATTTAATAATTATTTTAATTTGTTCCCATTTTGATAAGGAGGATGGAATTAAAAACTGCTTCCTTGTTTCTGATTAACCATGGAGGTACTTACTTTCAAATTAATTTATTTACTAGAATATCATTTGTGCTTTTATTTGAAATATTATTCGTGGGTTTATATTTGAATATCTAGGATATGATGACAGCAATTATTTGGTAGATTTTAATTTAATTTTAAAGGATTTTAATATTGTTTTTTATTTATTCCTTTACATTGTTAAATATTTAATTGGTAGAATTCAGAAAACATCTAGGTAAGAATGGAAACCTATACTTTTTATCCTAATTGTATTATGATGGTGACATAATATTCCCATGTTATTTCTTAGAACATCAGTTGGCATGTACAAGCGAAAGAAGCATTTTAAAATGATTATTAATAAAATAATTCAATAAATAATTAATTATTAAATTTATTACAGATGAAATACACAAATAAATTCTTCAATTTAATTGAACAAGTCTTCTTGAATTGATGTCCGAAAGTTTCTAACTTATTAAGATGTAGAATAGATGTATAATATTTTTTTTCCTTAAATGCAACTGAGATGAATTTTTTATTTAGTAAGATTACTATCTCGAATAATCATTTCCATAAATCATATTTTCTAAGCGAATAGAAATTCTTTAATATATTATGAAACTAGTTATCTAACTCTTCCTTAAATTAAATTCCTTGATTTTCATGTCAATTTAATTCTATCCTTAGATAGTAGATCATTTTATCCAAAATATGTATCTGCTTACACATAAGTTAAAGGACAACTTACTATATTGTTTTAATTAAATTTTATTAATATTAAAAATCAAGATAACACATCATATTTGTACTTAATTGAATGATTTGTTTTCATTTTTTGAAATTTTCCCAAGATTTGATCGAATCAATATTAGAGGAGTTTTGAATGAAGTTGTGAAGGTTAGCTATTTATTTTATTATGTGAACATAAATGTAATATATTAATTTAAATCAAGCATAAGGATTAACCCCTTAGTTTGGTCTGCTGGATCTAAACATTCCTCTTATTTGGGCTGAATATTTTCTGTAAAAGAAGCAAATCCCAATCATTAAGGCAAGTTCCACAAAAATATAAGTATTCAAACCCAAATCTGTTAAATTCGTATAATGCAAAAAATTTTATGATGTTTCTGGATCTTTAATGAAAATTTTATATTCTTTCAAATCAAAATAAAATTCTTTATTTCTCATAAAAGGTTGTCCTAAAAGAATGATTTTTTTGAATTTAGTTTCATAATTTCTTGCAAAACCTTCAAAAGGCACACAATAATAATTATCCTATAAATTAATCAAATAATCTTTTGCACTCAATTTATACTTATAGCCATTTTTAAAGTTGAAACTAAACTCAGGAAAAGTTTCATAAAAATTAGAGATGTCACCATAATGAGGCCTATTATACAAATAACATTAATATCCATATATCTCCTTTTTTTAGGGACATCCTCTAGGATCTTTTTCGCATTTAGAAAATGATTTTATAAAAGATTAGAAAGTTTCAGAATCCATATTAATTAATGTGCTTCCTGTATCTACAATAATCTCATAGTCCTCAAGTTGATTTGGTTAAAAAACTATATTATTATTATCATCCTTAAATTATTAATAAATTTACTGAGACAGTTACTAAGTCTACTTAAAAATAGTAGGACTAATAAGAAAAAGGAATACTACTATCATTATAATTTGGATAATCTTGACCGACAGTTAATTTGCCATTTTCATTTGTTAATAATATTGAAAATATCTAATGTTCGCTTTAAAATTAAAATTCTTTATATAAGGCGTTAATAAAATTGCTTTAACTTCCCAATCCTAATATTTAGGTTGAATCTTGTGAAATGCATTCAAAGTTTAATATTATATTGTTTTTTTGAATCTTCATTAGATCATATGCTGAAATTGCACTAGACAATTCTCCATCATAAGTGACAAATTAAGACAAGCAATCTGAGTTCTGATCCTAATTGCACATATGCAAAGTATTTGAATTCTATGTTTAATTTAGGATTCTTACAGAATTGCATATAAATGAAGTTATCGGAGCGCCAGTGTCAGCAACAAAGTTAGTTTTCTTTGATGGAGTACCGATATCTAATTCTATGAAATACTCTGACTTATAAACATCTCTTTTGAGATCAAATATTAATTAAGAACTTACAATAGAAAATAATAAAATAATCATTGAATGTGTGGATTAATCAATTATTAATTTGTTTTCCTCTATTTAAACTTAAATAGGATGTAATAAATGATGAATGTGGATATGAGCAATGATATCCCTGTGTAAAATTTTGAGATTTCCTTTTCTATATACAATGATATTGTTGGAGCATCAAGGCTAGTTTCTTCGGAGCAATTTTGGTAATTGATAATTAATTTATCCTTTCCAAAAATAAACTCTTTATTTCTCATAAATGGTTAACCCAGAATAATTTTGGATGCTATTTCAAATAAATATAAAGTTACTTCCTCCTCTTACAGGAAAACAATAAGTCTTATTATCATGTGTAACTAAATAATCTTATGGAAACCAAACAAATTTTGAGTTTACATAAAAATAAAAGCGAATATTGGGAAACTTCTGATAAAATTTATCTACATCATCATAGTCATTATCATAGCATATCAGTCCTTCTGAATCATTTCTTCTAGGACAGAAAACTCCTTAACATTATATGTGCTATATTAAAGGCATATACATATAAGAAGGAAGCTCAACATATGTATTTGAGAAATCCGCTACTACTTCAATTTTACTCAAGGGATATAAGAAAAATTATTTTATTTCTAAACCGATGAATTACAATCTATTCTTTTAACAATTAGATTCCATAAAACAATTTAGTTAGACATAATCAATTTAAATGTGATGCTCATCATTCTCAAAATTACCAATTTTCATATAACCTCCATTTTAAGCCAAACATAATTTAAGTTGCTAATCGCTTTTAGGATTTTGTACTATTTAACCAAGACCTAAATAATTATTAATTTCCTAATGTTAACTGTAGAATTATCCACAGTAATTATTGATTGTAAAATCACCTATCTACATTTTACAAGTATCTTAACAAATGTAATTTGCACTATCAGCTTCTCTTATCATATTTTTACTTAAAGGAAGAGAACGAATCTATATAAATCTTTAAGCAAAGAAAAATTAGGATTTTGAATTGTTGCTACCTAGACATTCAGTATCTTCTATAGCACCATCAAAAGCCTAATCTAAAATCCATTTTTTATTATTCAATTCTACATAATAATAGTATTAAGAGAAGTTTCCATATATTGGCATTGAACTTCCTATCTGCACTAATAGTAAAGCCAGCATGTATTATTGAATTATAATTAATATAATAAAAACATCTTTTAAAACGAAGAAAAATATCATTTATGAATTAATATATATCATAACTTTTCATTTGAAATAGTCTCCTAAGTTATATATTATGTATTAATTTAGAAAATGTGATTCCAAGATGGCTATATGTGCTTTCCTCCCTAAAAAAGTATCAAAATCTCTATGAATAATATTAAGACTTATACCCATCATAGAACTTATAATCAATGCTAATTCTTAAGACTTCATTTTGATGCAATTGTCTTAAGATATTAGTTGCCATTTCATTATGCTTTAATTCATTCTCAATTCCTGAGACTTTCATTAATAAACTGCTTTCACTATTCACATAATGATCTTATTGAGATCCAAATAAAATAATATGTTTAAATTTATTCATTCCAGGAAATAAGGATAGTTTTAACAATGTATCATCATAACAATTTAATTGAGATAAACTTAGAGATTTCTTTAGTTTCTAAAAAAACCACATTCCAAATTTTATTAAAGGTCTTTAATTAGTAACATTACCCAAATGTGGTGTTCCTAATGTTAAGAAAGTATGAAACTCAAAATCCAAATATGGTAATGCTGCTCTTATAATTAATCCTCCTAACGAATGTCCGATAAATGAGATAACTAATTTATCGGTATAAGACCATGTTGCAATATAGTTTTTAATTTCGTCACTAAGATATTTACCCATTTGTAATATATCTCCTTCTGTGTTTTACTGATTGCACAATGAAACCAATAACATATGCTAAGGAAACCTTAAACACATATAGTTCTCCAATAATCTCATATCATAAGAATGGCCTTAATAACCATGAACCAAAACAATTAGATGCAATTTTGATCTTGATAATTAAAATGTTTATCTTGTAACATAATGTTTTTCAACTATCATTAACTTATCCTTGATTTCATCTATTATTTTTAAATCAACTATTTTCGATGGACCTTGTAGTAACAATTTCTGATACTCCAATCTTTTACTCTATAAATCTGCCTACTCTTGACTTTATTTCTGTTATTAAGGAATCATAGTATATTGATGATCTACAACAGGAATTACTTCTTTCTGTGTAAATGCAGAGTATCGACTTTAGAAATTTGTTAATGACTCCTTCTTCAGTTACCTGAGTAATTTTTAATGGCCTAATTTTAATCCAATAATTATTTTATGCCACAATTAGTTTATTGTACTTTATAGCACTTTGAATTCATTGGCCATAACTTTGCTAATCAATTATGTATTTTATTCATTTTTTAATAATGAATCCGCGCTAGATAATGGCAAAACCTAAAAACTTTTCGTTTGTCGAAGTTGATATTGCATACCTCCACTGCTGCTTGCTCTTTCCATTTCTAACTCCATATTATAATAGAATGTCTGCATATTTCGATAAGATGTTTTAAGAGGTTCCAACACTTTGTTATATAGTTGTCTCATGTTTATATGTTAATGTTGATCTAGTGCCATCTTATCCTCACTTTATACCTACTATAGTTAAATATCAAAACTAGTCAATGAACAAAGAACCTAATTTATTAGTTATTCAATTATACCATCAGATTTAATAAACTAAAGTGATCTTCCCCTAATATTACAGGAACATATTCATATATCCCATTTGATGAGTTTTCAATTTTAAACTTCGCCATCGATATACTTTAAAATGAGACAATTTTTTATGCTAAATCGTAATACATTAATTCAATCTCCATGAAACAGGGCTACTCTTTTAAATTATGTGGAATTGCACCGCTGAACCTACATCCATTTTTTATCTCAAATTTTTCCTTTCCAATTTAAATAATTTATTACTTCCTCCGTCCATTATCTCAATAAGAAAGCATCACTCATATAATAGTTATCAATTATATGTTATGGCAAATATTGTTATTCATTTCTCTTGAATAGCAAAGTTTCTTTCGGAGTGAGAGGAATCTTCAAATTTTGGGACTGCAATACTCAAAATCACTTACACTCTATATATATAAGTTAATCCTTATTTGATACATTCCCTCATCCAATAAAAAGATCCCAATAGTTTTAAGCGAATCCACAAAAACGATAAATTCAATTATTGCCTTAGCTTTCATTTTTATTATTTAATTTGTTATCTTACTAACAAATTACTCAAAACTTAAATTAGTAAGAAGAAAATGCTATAAGACTCATCATAAATCTAAATGTTTCTTATCTAAAGTTTAGGAGAACATTTAAATTTCAGTTTAGAAGACTTATTTTGCTATTAGATCAATGCGTATCAATGATATATTATATTTCTACAATCCATTCACAAAAAATCTTATTGTATTATCAAAAATTGTTATTTTGCTTAAAAATTCCCTTTCTCGTTTCAAGAATATTAAAATGATGTTCAAATTAAGGCGATGAGTTAAATTCATTATGAATCTAATATTATTTTCATAAAAAATCAATCATTAGTTTAAAATCTCAAATTTAAGTATATTTGATTTTCAAAAGGTAATGGTATTTTAAGGATGGTTTTAGAAAATAAAGATTTAATTAACAAATACTCAACAATTTAACTATTAGAGTTAAATTTTTTGGTTATCCCATATAATTATATAATTGAGATTAAATAAAAATCAGTATTTGGTAATTATTTATAAACTATATATCAAGATTTACAGTCTCCAAGTTAAATTTAGTAAAATAGAAACCTTTTAATCTTATACTTTATTTACCACAATGTTCAATTAATTATATAAATGATAGAGTGAGATATTTTATTAACTTTAAACAAAAATATGATAAAAATTCTAATTGGGGATTAAATTGGTTTAAATAACAATTTCTATTCACTAAATTTTAATAATTATTATAAGATAACTGTTAATTGAGTAAATACATCAAATAATGGGAATGAATATCATAGGATAAATTACAATGCCTATTTGAATAAATCTTTAAACTTTTTGAGCAAGGATTTTCATTCAAGCAAATTCTATCAATATTTCACAAAACTCAAATATAAAATTTATAATTATATATCTTACTATAAATTTATTTCTAATCTTTCTATGAAAAATAGTAAGACTTGGGAAAGGTTAATGGTATCCATCTGAGAGAAATTGAAAAATGATGTTATTGATTTTCTGACTCATATATAAAATATAATTAATAATATGAAATTAGGAACACTTTTGAGGCACTTCAATTAATAAGATGAATAGTAAGTTGGATTTATATCACTAGAGCAGGTTGATAAAATATTAAATAATATTTATGAATGCAATAAGGAATGTAAATAATTTCCAATTACCTTAGACTAAATTTACTTTGATAATCTCTTGCTCAAAGGTGCTAAAGAGTTTACAATTGAAGATATTATTATGATAATAACAGAAATAGATTATTATGAAGAACTTAGACAATTAGTGATGCAATAATAACAAGAATAAAATTTAAATTAAATCTAAAGTGAAATGCTGATAGCTTAAATAGAAGGGAGTTAACGAGATAAAAGAAGAGTTGATTATTTAAATAATCCTTACATTAATAATTTGATTACAATGCTTAAAGATTATTATAAAATTTGTTGTAAGAATGGTGATGTTAAAGAAATGCATAGAATAGAAAACAGAATATAGGAAATAAAGGTAAAGTAGTAAAAGAGATGGAAAAATTACATTACCTAATTGCAAAAATATTAAGAAACTTTGGTTTAAAAAACAGCTTTTGAACATTAATATCATTAATAAAAAAAGTGGAATGAGTTTGTTATTGATTTTCAGAATAGTAGATTTTATAAATTTAATATGCTTCTAGTAAGAATTTATATATGCTTTAAGGAACAACAAAAAAAAACCATTTAGGAGATGAGCAAATAATTTTAAGAAGAGCTTTAACCAAAAGTTTTTAAAGTCTCTAAAAAAGTTCTCGATATGAGGTCAAAACAAAAATAGCTTTTAAAATTAAAGGAATTTTCTTAAGCTGAAAAAGTGAAGGAAGAAGCTGATATGCTTGAATACCTAGAAAAGAAATAGCAAGAGATGATTGTAATAATAACTTAATTTTTATAGTTAAAATCTAAAGTGAAAAGGAAGTTAAAAGTTTTAAAAAAAAGATAATCATGTCAGATATCAGCATTTATGTAAAAAGTAGCAAGTGAATAAGCCACTCATCTTTTGCAAAAATAAGCGAATGAGAATAGATGGGTTAATATAAATAAGCATTGTGTATAAGATATTAATGAAAGATTTAACAAAGATAGAATCATAACATTGGCTTCAAGAAGATCTTTTGATGCTTGCAGACTAAGAACAAAAAGTGCCAATCCGTAAGCTGCTAGAACTAACATATCTCATCAACTGACTTCACAATTTGAATGAAAATAATCCATTATTTTACTATTAATTTTTTTGCGAAAACAAGATAGATTTTCTTACAATCACCCCCCAAGTAATTACAAATTTAACTAGAATGGATTAAAAATTCATTTTTATGATTTAGTTTGTCTTTCAACTCTGATTCTTGATACTTCTAGATATTATGTTTAAGCAAACTTCTTTCAAACTGCTTAAAGATTTGATTTGTCTGATGATTAAAGAATCAAACACATTTCCTTTGCACAAAATCTTAGTTCCTATTCATTGTATCCTGTTATATTTTACATCTCTTCATTCCAAGATTATGGAGTCTTTCTATGAAAATATAGATCTGATACCTTATTTTATGGACTAGATAAATAGCAGCACAAGTTAAGAATGATGGCTTGTAATTCATAAATTTGATATCGATTATTGATAGTTCTAATAAGTATTGAGCTAGAAACAAGTTTTTTGTATCTAATTCAGCAATTCTCCCAAATCTCTACAGTAAACAATAACTTGATGGTTAAGTAATTGAGAAATCTAAAGTCTACAAAATTTGACCTTCCATATCCAAAACATCATATTTTGTATAAGCATTATCAGCAATATAAACAAAGTGTTTTATATCTGGAGGGTAAATTTCTTCATATTTACAAACTAAAAATAATGAAGCAACCCCTACTAATTACAATTGCATCTAGTTGTTTTTTAAATATTCAAAAATCTATCGATTAATTGTGATGTGATATAGAAAATTTCATCCATTTAAATCTGGTTATCGTTATTCATTCATATAATTATGACTAACTAAGAATTTCTATTCTTAGCTTATTAAATATTAAAAAATTTCTTAATTGTAAATTGGTGTAAATTAGGGATTCTTTATTATTGATTAATCAAATTGATATGATTAGCTAATATTAGGCACTTCTTCTATCTAATTTTCCTTTTCTTCATACTTTAAATTAAATTTTAAATATTTTGGTTAAACTGTCAAATCCTTTGGTTTATTTCCTTCAGTCTTTTCCTTTTAAAATTCGCCTGAAGAATTGACTAATTCTTTACCAAAGAACCTATACTATTCTTGAATCATTTTAATTATACGTTAAAAATTATAATAATCTGTTAAAATATTATTAATCAAATTAATTATAATATTTTCCCAATTAATCTTATTAGAATTATTTAAGTTTCATTTTTTATTTATCTTAAAAATTTAGGGACCATTATGACTAGTATTTACCAAGAAATGTCTCTACTTAATTACAAATAACAAAAATTATCTAATAAATTTTAATTTTCACTAAATGATTAATAAAGGAAATATTTTAAATTGAAATTAATATTTATTTTGCAAATTATTTCTAATTAGTAAAATGTTTTAAATATATTTAATGTTTGAAAATCAATCTGTTTAAATAAGAAAATCTATCATTTCAAATAAATTGCAAGTTGCATCTTTATTATAATCAGTCAAATTTTATCATTTACTGATTTACGAACGATAATTATCTCAGTATAAAGTAATAAAATACAAACAAATTTTTCATTTCTAGATTCATAAAACGATTAACACCTGTTTTTAAGTTGAGTTAAGAAAATTAGACATCCTCATATATGGACTATGTTATCATTAATAAATTTTTAGATTAAAATATTAATATAATTATTCTATATAATCTTAAAATAGGATCTTTCAATTTATAATGGATTCAAATTGTTCTTTTGTTAAATTTGTCTAAGAACCCACAATAGCTAAATCATATAAAATTCGATTTCTAAACTCAGTTGCCCTTTGTTAATTATAGGAATAGTTATCCTCTTCTTGGTATGTATATAATAATGATAATAAAATAAAAACACCACAATCATATCTAATATATAAAAATAAATTTTTACCCATTTTATTATTTATTCCATTTGCATTCAAATTTAAAATCTTAGCGGTCAAAATTTAAGCTTTTTAATATTATAAATATGCCTTCTTTTACATCATCCTCTACGCTTTCATAATAGGAGTCAAAATAATAAATTATTTTTTTTTTTAAGTTGACTACTACGCTTATCCAATGTGCTTGACTGAGATTGATTGGAAAATATAAGTAATCCTAAGCTTTTAAATCTTCTTGAGAGTTTAGTCCATTCATTTAAGCTACTTAATTTAGTAAATCACATAATTTATTAATCTAAAACTTTTCTTTTTTTTTCGGTTCTTCATAAGTAATACTAGTAATTTTAAATACAAATGTTCTTTATGGGGTTTGTACGGGCAGTGGATTTTATGGCTAGTTTTAGATTGGAGGCTATTGATAGATCTCATCACTTACGGAAGTTTATTCAGATGCAGTTTCAGGAATATTCGTTTTTTCTTACTATTATTTATCATTCTCTCTTGTTTCATAAGTTTGTTCAACATTTTATTTTGAAATGTTATTGACTTATTCTTATAAATTGTTATTTTATTATTATTAATTTTCATTTGTTTATTAAACAAGAATTCCTGAATTGGTTTTTTATAAATATTATTCATGCTTGGTTTTAGTTTGTTATTATGCTAGAATTTCTGATTTGTTTTTATATTATGGTTAGAGGTGTCCATTTGTTTATTAAATAATTTATGAATTGTTTTTGTATTATTATTATAGGCTTGGTTATTCAACATAAATTTCTGAATTAGTTGCTTATTATTATTATAAGTTTTCATTCTTAGTTGTTTCAGATATTTAATCAACATTTCTATCGGAATTATAATTCTAATTTCCTTTAGAATTATCATTCTCTTATTATTAATTTTCAAATTAAATTTGTTCTTTTATTTAATCAACATTTCCTTCTGAATTATTATTCTCTTATTATTATTATTAGTTTTTAATTTAAATTGATTATTCTGTTTAATCAAAATTTCCTTCTGAATTATTATTATCTTTCTACTATTAGTTTTCATTCTAAATTTTTTCATTTTTTTATTCACCATTTCCATCTAAATTAATATTCTCTTTTAACGATTAGTTTTCATTCTTGGTTATTTCAGATGTTTACTAAACATTTCCTTCTGAATTATTATTATCTTTCTATTATTAGTTTTCAGTTTAAATTTTTTCATTTTTTTATTCAATATTTCCTTCTGAATTATTATTATCTTTCTATTATTAGTTTATCATTCTTGAGTTATTTTAGATAGTTTACTATAACATTATCCATCGGAATTATTATTCTCTTTCTATTCTAAGTTTTCAGATTTAAATTTATTTCATTTTTTTAGGTGTCAATATGTTCCTTAACTGAATTATGTATTATCTTTCTATTATTAGTTTTCATTCTTGGCTATTTCAGATAGTTTACTGAAACAGTTTCTCATCGGAATTATTAGTTCTCTTTCTTAGTTGTCTAAGATTTTCATTCTAAATTTCTTTCATTTGTTTATTCACCATTTCCATCTAAATTAATATTCTCTTTTAACGATTAGTTTTCATTCTTGGTTATTTCAGATGTTTACTAAACATTTCCTTCTGAATTATTATTATCTTTCTATTATGATCAGTTTTCATTCTTGGTTATTTCAGATGTTTACTAAACATTTCCATCGGAATTATTATTCTCTTTCTATTCTAAGTTTTCATTCTAAATTTTTTCATTTGTTTATTCACCATTTCCATCTAAATTAATATTCTCTTTTAACGATTAGTTTTCATTCTTGGTTATTTCAGATGTTTACTAAACATTTCCTTCTGAATTATTATTATCTTTCTATTATTAGTTTTCAGTATAAATTTTTTCATTTTTGTATTCAATATTTCCTTCTGAATTATTATTATCTTTCTATTATTAGTTTTCATTCTTGGTTATTTCAGATGTTTACTAAACATTTCCTTCTGAATTATTATTATCTTTCTATTATTAGTTCTCAGTTTAAATTTTTTCATTTTTTTATTCAATATTTCCTTCTGAATTATTATTCTTCCATTATTATTTGCTTTCATTCTTAATTACTTCAGATCCTTTGTCAAATTCATTTTGATTATTCAATCTCAATTGGTAATCCAACTATGTATTTTATTATTAATATTGATTATTCGAAATTAATTAGGTATTAATAGGATTTATTCTTAAATATATATCTTCCGCTTATTAGGTCCAAAATTCTTAAAAAAAATGGCAAGATGCTGCAGCCAACTATAAAATAAAAGTATATCATACTTTAACATTTTTATATACATTCTTGAACAAATTCATATAAAACTGTATTTGTTGGCTCTCCAAAAAATCTTGTGATAATATTACCTTCCCAAATTTGTAATCAACTGTCACTCCGTAATTTCTTTTATTAAACTCCCTACCTTTATTATAGAATTAGTAATTATCAAAATATTCTAAATTTTTCTCTTCTATTATTTATTTTTTCCAATTATATGGTTAGACTTGTTGTCTTTCATCTTATTATTGATCAATTTCTTAATTTTTTAAGCTCATTTTATCTTAGCAAACTAAAGATTATTTATGTTATTTTAATTTCTATTAATTAGATATTTCTAATTAGTTTTAGAATAGTAAATATAAATATAAACTGTGTGCTTAAAATCAATGTTATGCATTTTTATTAATAAGATAGTGTATATACAATATTTATTGATAAATTTTCAACTTTCATTATTAGATAATCAATCCTAATCATTATCAATTTTTATGCTTTAATCATATAGCTTTAACCAAAGCTTAATAGTTACAATCTTAACTTCTTTTTCATAATTCTTTGTGCTAAATTAAATAGAACTTTTTTTTTGATGTATCCTTTTTCTAAATTACATTAAACTTCTTTATTTGTTATTTATTTATAATTCTATTAAACTTATAATATTTTTATTCCTTTCTCCAGCAATTTAAATCTAGTATATTTAATTGCTTAAAGGAATAATTATGTAAAAACTTAAAATTTGTTTAAATTGGAGGTTTTCAACAATAGTTCTTAATTTACAATTTTACTAAGTGTTTTCTTGATAATTTAATTCTTGAATCCATTTCCCATCGCTCCTGAGATATGGATGCTGTTTAGCAAAGTTTATTTTTATTAATATTCTTTATAATAATAATGATAAATTGATAAAATTCTAAAACTATAAAAGAATCTCCAATCTTTAATCTAAATACAATATATAAATATAAAAAACAAATTTTTCAACCTTTTAAATAAAATATTTAGTCATTGTGGTTGAAATGATTACTTGTTATAAACATATACACTTTCAGAAGATAAATTAACCTAAAACAATTTCTTGAAGTTTGATTACTTTGTACTTTCATTTTTATAATTTAAAAATATATATTTTTAATTGATTATAATAGATTTTTGTTATCAATAAACTTAAATAATGAATGGGTAACTAAAGTGAACATTTGAATTCTTTATTTTAATTATTAGCACATTTTTTATTTGTTATACTTCTTTATTTTTTACATTCATTGTAACTAAAAATTAAGAATTACTTTGAACTGATATAGCTTAAGGATTAACAATTATTTCACAATTAATTTTATCTAGAATTTCCATTTCCAAAGACAAGCCAATTATACTGTTATTTCTAAATTAAATCTTACAATCCAATTTCTTACCTAATTTAAAGGCCATTTATATTATTGGTAGGTTATATAGATCTATTAATGAAATTAATTAAATTACTATTTATCAGTTGTTTAGAACATTAAATTAATGGTAGTAGTACTTAACTTTGCAGAATAGTGTTAATTTAACCTTGGATCTTTTATTGATTTTAGTTTAAAGCTGTTATTATTATTAATCCAAATAATCCTTTTTAATCTTTTATATTTGGCACTTTCAAAGCTACTTTCATAGAGAATTGTTTTTATCCTGGACAAGCAAGCATAAATCGATCTTTATAATCATATCCATTAAGCTTTCTAGCAGAATAGACATATTCATCTAAATCATCAAATTCTGTGTTATTGCAAACAACTTAAATTTCGATAAGAATTGTTTCATTTGAGATGTTTTGGAATTAAATATCATCTTCACAGATGTTTCCAGGTAAAACGAGACCAAAATTCACTAATTATTTATTTACATTGATTAAATTCTTTAACTCAACATTTTCCTATTTAATATAGATCAATCTTACATTTTTCAATGTTCTTGAATTATCTTAACCAGATTTTTAGGTCAACTATTACTTTTACATACAATATTGTTCTTATCTATTTTCTTTATTAGAAGGTGATTATGGTTTTAGAAGAGGTTTTTATTTAAAAACATCTTTATTTTATTCACTCTGTAATATCTACTATTCATTCAAAATATTTTGGCTCTCTACTAATTAATTCATTCTCTAACTAAATTATTTTTATTTAATGTATTCGGTTAAATTTGATAATACTATTTAACAAATTATGAATAAATCAGTAAGTTTTAAGGCAGCCTACAGGATAATAACATTCTTATAAATGAGATAATATATCATAAGTGTTATTTATTATTTTTTAAATGGAGATAGAATAATTTTAGGCAAGTTTGTTGGGATAATGCTCTACTTTGTATAAAATATTTTGTTTTGATTATACAATTAAATTTTATAATTATCATAATTTGAATATCTCTAAGGCAACTATTTCAAATTCTACTGCATTTGCTAAATGCATATCTTAATTGGTTATCTAGTAACCACTTAAATCAAAGCTACTGCCTAATTTTGATTTACATTTTTCAAATGATGATTATATGACTAGATCTTGAGTTCCTAAAGTAAATAGCTCATTAATGTCATTAGCATCCTTATTATATTATAAAGGTTTCGTATTTGAATTTAAAGGATAAATTTATTATTTGCTTAATGAAAACATAAAACTAGGATTTTAAACGGCAGGTGCAAGTGCAGGTGCAGGTGCAGGTGCAAGTACAGGTGCAGGTGCAAGTGCAGGTGAAGTATATGCTCCAAATATTTAAGAATTAGAACTTTTGAAAATAAAGAGCAATTTTGATGATTCTTCCTATTTTAGATGGTTTAATATTGTATCATACTTAAGTCCCTCATGAATACTTGTATATAAGTTCTTTATTTGTTCAACTTTTGTAGTGTCTTTATAATCTTTGTCAATTCTTTCCAAGACTATTGATATATAGTCGTTTGACAATTAGGATTAGGTAAAGTTATTTTCAGAGAATGTTTTTTTCATTTCCTCAATTATGTTTTAAATTTTTTCCATTCCTTAGTCAAGTTTATGAATATGAAAGCTTTTATAATAATAACAATTTTTACCATAATTTCTTAGTAAAGTCATTAACCTTTGTTTTAAGCTATTCTAAACTGTCGATTTTTTTTTGAGCTATTTTTGGGTTATGTAAGTTTTAAACATATTTATTAAGTAAATCATTTATTTTCTTTTATGACTTAGGTGGGGGGTTGGGACCTTCTTTGGCGTAATTCTCTAAATGCACTTATAACTCAGAAAAATCAAAATCCTATTATAAGAATTTCTATTACAGGTTTTAAATTGTCAACTTATTATTTTATTTTATCTTATATTTCTTAATACTTATCATAATTACTAAGCACATCTTATTCTAATACTTAAAGATCGTATAAAATCTATTTTTTAATTGTTGCAATTCTCTATGATCAATAAATACAATTACAAATTTAATGTCATCTTTGCTAATATCTAAATTTAAGGAATGATAAAGATTTGAAAATTCTTGGTAAAGATTTCCCTAAAAATGTGTATGTTTCATAACATTCATGTCGTCACTTAAAACCTAAATATTTAGATAATATTTTCTATTACTTCTTCGAGCACAGCATTTTACTACCTAAAATTTGAGTAAGGACCATTAATGCACTTAATACATTGTAATCTTGATTTTATCACATCAGTTTCGGGTGTTAAGTTTAAATATTCTACTTTTTAATCACGATGGCCATATTCTAAACAATGTATTTTAATTTTTTTTTATTTTTTAGTTGGAAGCTATTAATACGGTAAATGTAGATCAATATTCTTTGCTAGTGCTAATGCCATTTTTTAAATTTAATTAATGACTTCTTTGTAATTAATTTAAGAAGGTAACTCAATTTTTAATAGAATTACAAAAAGTATTATATATCAAAATTGATGCAATTCTGATTTATATTCATCGATTTCAAAGCTGAAAATATTTACACAAATTTCCTAAATAGAATGTAATCGAAATAAAAACAATACGATACTTTAAACCTCTAAAAGGTATTATAATACTTCTTACCTTAAATAACAATATTGGATGTGAAGAAATGGATGATATGTTAATAATCAAAAACATAGACTTCAGAAAAATTATAATACTATAATGATACTCAAATTTTAAAAGACATTTTTTTAATTTTTATAAACAACAAGTGGAATCGAAGATAAACTCAATTATTTTAGTTGTTAAATTAAAATCTAATCATCTCCTTTGTAGAATAAATGAAAAGACATAAATGAGTTACAAAATGCTAGGTCAAAATGAAAATTAGATGCACAAGAATTGTGGATAAATATTTATAAAGAATTCAATACTGAATAGACCTTTGAACAGAATCAATATAATATAAATATAGAGTCTAAAGTTTTTAATACAAAAGGATTATTCTCTAAAATAATAAAGATGATAAAAAATATTAATAATTTGTTTTTTATATTATGCTTTAATTGATATAACAATACATCTAAGAACACACTTAAGCAAAAGAAAAAAAGATTGGTATTATTGTTTCTAATTAATTATAGTTTAACATTTAGACTAAAGTTAATTTTCTTTATTTGAAGATCTGCTGATATTAGAAAAAATGTTAAATGAAAAATTAACCTATTAACATTTTGAGCAATTATCACAAAAATGTCATAAAAAGACACCTGATGAATTAAAACTTAGATATATCAACTGTATAAAGAAGTTAACAGAAGACGATTTGAAATCAATTATTGAATTTATTAAAAATAATGGTTTGGAGGGAACCTTAATTTATGAGAAAAATGAAATAAAAATTTGTAAAATTAACGAGGAAATTAAAAAACAAAAAGAAGATATATAAAAGAAAAAGGAAATGAAACAGATAGGAGAACCTTTGTTAAAGAAAAAAAGACGCATTCAGCCAGAAGTATAACCATAACCTTAAAATTATTATTAACTTACTGACTTATAAAAATATATTCTATATTGCTCAGCACCTGCCTATTAGGAATAAAGATTTCCTACTAATCCTAACTATTAATAATCCTAAAGATTAAAGTAAGAATAATTTTAGAATGCTCTCCATGATTTAAGCTTATGGTATGATATCCCATTTGAGAAAATGATCACTCTACTCAAAGCCTGCTCAGGAAACTTTAATAATTTAAGATAATTCCTAGAGAATTAAAACTACTTTATTTATTGGAAGCCTGAAGAGGATTAAAAGTTAAAGTCAAAAGAGGATATATAATCGTTATATTTGACTAAAGGAATGGCAGAAGTGGAAAGAAGAAAAAAATGGTTGTAATAAGAATGATATGAATAAAATGTATTTGATCTTAAATTATGTTAACCAAAATTCTGTCCTATTGAAATAATAAAACTTATAGTTTAGAAACAACACATTATAAATTTCATTTAATGGTTTATTTTTTGGTTCATCAGATACTTGAATTTATTTTTTGTAAATATAGATAAACTTGTTATTTTAATCACTTTCATTTATTTTTCAAAGTAGAATTATTTTTGTCATTAGAAATTTTCCTTATTAAATATTTGAGTCTATCAGTAATTTTATGATATTATCCAAATAAGTGAAGATTATTCTAACTATAATAAATACAAAAGTTTATGTTGAAACCTTTTCCAATCTAAAAAAAATAAAAGCATTTTTCTTCTCTTATAAAATTCTTAATAATCCATAAATAATCAAATTTACTAGATATTTTTATTTTTAATATATTAGAAATCTTTCAGAGTATGATGATACAATAAAGAATTTTGATTAAATGTATATAGTATAAGAAATGAATTCAAAATATAAATAATTAATAATTCATCTATTTTTTCCTTTAATAGTATTCCAAATAGAGCCTAAATTTTCTTTTATATCACCTAAGTTCTTAGAAATATTTTAAAATCCACCCATAACTTATTGTCCCTTTTATTTAAAATCTTGCTAAGTATATTTTATTTAAATACAATCTTTTCTTTGATAGATTCTTCAAACTCTCTTTGTCGAACGAATGCTTCATATGCCTACTTTTCCTAATGTGAATAAAATGTTTTTCTTTTATTTTCATTGTAATATCTTTGTGCAAACTCCTTATATTATTAATCTTTTGCTCTTGCATACATTTCTTCCTATCTGATTCTCTCTTCATACTCTTACTGAGCCTTCATTCTCTCGTATTATTGATACTTCTATTATTAATTAAGATGCTCTTATGCTCTTCTTATTGCTTCGTCAAATTGATTTTTGGCATTTGAATTTTGGCTATCATATATAAAACCAATGAGCATACTAATAATTCTAACTTTATCTTTGCTAAGAAGTTGATTAATATTTTCTGGAGTCTTAATATTATTGCTATGAATAGGTTGAACTATAATTATTATTTTAGGATTATGGTGTTCTCGCAGAATCATATTCTTTTTTGGTATTTTCATCAGATAAGACCTGAGAATAGAGTATTGATTACTTCATATGCTTCATTAACTTCTTTGAATTTATCCTCCTTGCCTTGGTTAACATCTGGGTGAAATTTCTTAGCTAATGCATAGTAGGCTTTTTTGATTGTTGGTTGATCATTAGTTTTAGATATATTTAATATGGCATAGTAGTCTTTGAGTTAGTTGAATTTAGCAATTCCATACAAGGATTTATAGGATAACATATGAAAAATAAATAAAATTAAAATTGTCACTATTAATTATAAACACTTCTAACAATAAGATCATTATACATCTCTGGTAGTAGTTCTTAATTCCTATAGACATAATCATAGAGTAAGTCTTTTTCATAGAGTTAGCATTCAGCTCTGGTGACATGATTGTATAAAAATGTTTTATCTCCTTCTCTTCTGAATTTCATAACAAAATACAACTAAACATTAGCCTTACCAGTTTCATTAGCATTTACACCATAATAATGTCCAGTTATTTCTTCTCCAATTTAAAATCCAATCTATCCATACAGGTTTTTGGAATCAACTTCAGTCGAGACAACTCCGAATTAGGGGAATTAATTTATAGATGCCAAGAAATCTGCCATATTGCAAGGATCATCTTTCTTTTTCATGCATTTCTTCCTTTATTCAAATGCTGACAGTCTAATCAGCCTTTTAGATTGGGGAGGACAAGCAATATCAGTTGATCTTTAGGATTCCATTTTGATGGATGTCTTCTCTAATTTCTTAGCCCTTTTGCTCTATTTGTTAGGTTAAACAGCAGGTTCTCCCTTTAAAGGATAAATATATTCTTGTTATTTAATTTCATTCAAAACTTCTTCTCTTCTCTGCATATAATCCAATACACACAAGGCACCTAGATGTTCAAAGATATTGTCCTTCATTTTATCATTGATATAGGATGCAACAAGTGATCTTTCATCTTCATTTAAAGATAAAATAAGTTTTCTAATTTAATTGAAATAAGCTGGAGACTTGATCTATTCAACTGATTTTTCATTCCTTGTATTTCTTAATCTTGTCTGTACTTTTTATTATTCTTTATGGGACTAAGACTTTTCACTTAGATTTTCCTCATTTGGTTAATCTTAATCTAGTTATCTTTCTTAAGACTTTGGTTGGACATGATTGATTTCATCAGTTTCAACTTATTCCTACTTTACAAATTATGATTTCTTTGGTTAGGTTTAATTAGACTTGTCTCCTGAAGTTGGAGATTTCTTTCTTGATTATGAAGATTTAGCCTTGGATTTAGATTTCTTGGTTCTTTTACCAAAGTCAAAATCCTTAGAATCAGAAAGAGACTCATCCTCTGCTTTAAGTTAAATTTACTTTCTACCAGATCGAGTCACCTTTTTCGTAGTTTCTTTGGGTGTAGATACTGATTTGATATTCTCTTAGTTAAGTGTCTCCTTGATAGTTGTGTTCAGTTTGTCTGTATTAGCTTATTCTATTTGTTCGTCTTCCTCCTGTGGGTCTGGTATGACTTTAATTTTTTCAAGTGTATTTTATTTTTAATGTACTCTATATCCTTCTACTTATCCTTCGTAAATGAACTAATAAAAGAGAAAGTAATCAGCATGTCTTTAGTATCTTCGAACAGAGGAGATGTTGTGAGCTCCTAGATTCTCAATAGGCTCCCAAGTTCTTTGAGATTTGGGATAATTTTTCCACTTGACACAGTATTGCATTTTGTTATCCAATATTTGAGAGCCAAATATATATTGTATCTCGTATAACTCAGAATTGTCCATTAATATAAATAATGAATAGCTTAAGTAATATTTGAAAGGATTGTCAAATAATGGCTTGTTTTTTTTTGATTATTTTTATGTGTTAACAGCTCATTTAAACTATATCAAATTACGAACAGAACTCCTTAGAACATCTCGCAGGATCATACTGAATCACTTCTGTTGAAGAGAGAAACCCTTAAACTTTTAGGAAAGAATTTTATTTTACCAAATCAAAACAATGATTATTTTATTATTAATCTTAATACCTACACTATTATCAGATAACATCTAATTAGCCAGAGTTCAGTATTGCGGTTGTGGAGTTGCTCTTATACAATCCTTATGCATCTAATTGGATGATTGTAGATGGCAGAATTACACATGTGTTAACATTACAGGTGTCCCCTAAACAATTGTAGTCACACCCAATAATACAAATACCAATAACAACTCTACTGATAATAATAGCACCGCTGGCAATAAGACAAACACTACATAAAATGAATATGATTTTACTGATCCTGATTTTGACTATGATTCCGTAGCTGTAACACATAAACAATATGAAATACCTGATATCGTTGATGAAGAAGGAAATACAGATGAAGGTATAAAATGATTACATTGTAAAATAGGTACAGATTCAGGTTCTGGTACTGATTCAGGTTCTGGTACAGATTCTGGTTCTGGTACAGATTCTGGTTCTGGTTCTGGTACTGATTCAGGTTCGGGTACTGATTCCGGTTCAGGTACAGATTCAGGTTCGGGTACAGATTCAGGCACAGATACAGGAACTGATTCAGGCACAGATTCAGGAACTGATTCAGGCACAGATACAGGTACAGATTCAGGCACAGATACAGGTACTGATTCAGGAACAGATACAGGTACTGATTCAGGAACAGATACAAATACTAATAACACAAATACTAACAACACAAATACAAATACAACATAAACTTATACTTAAGCTACATCCATCACATACACTAAGACATATATTAATAAAACATTTAATGATAAAATAACATGTAGTTAATAAAGTGATGAAGCTGGATGTAATAGTAAAAGATGGCCTGATTAAATATTTTGTATATGGAAAAACAGTACATGTATTTCAGGATCCTGCACTGATTTAGATTTACTAGAATGCGAAAAAACATTCTTCTGTGTTAATTTTGGCTACTGCTAATCTTGCGTAAGAATATAAAAATATTTTAGAAAGCAATAGAAGTATATGCAAAACCACTTTTAGCCTCGATATTAATAATAGTATTTCTAATATCCTGAATATTTATCATTTAATGATATCAAATTAGTCATATTCTAATTCGTCTATTATTTTATCGTTTTTAAAATCTGTTTTCTTTATGACGCTTTTTGGACTTCCTGTATGTTTCAGCCATTCCTTGAGTTCATTAGTTCTTCTTCCTTATGCTATTCCAATGACTGTGCCTTATTTTGTGTTTTGTACCCAGCCAACCAAATCCAACTCCTGGGCTTTGAGTTGAGTGTATTTTCTAAAGTAGACACCTTAGACTTTACCAAGAACTTCAAATTAAAAGGAATACATTTGATTTGCACATTCCTATTGCTCAGATGAACATGCTAAAACAAATGCTGAGCTTAATAATATATATATTATTTAAATCATTATTCAATCTAATCTCTAAATCGCCAAGTTGCTGCAGTACCAGCACTAAAGCCTCTCAGTGTCTTACCTTTGAATAAAGCAAATCCAACTCCGTAACCAATAACAGCAAACAATGCCCCTTGTATGAATCCTTTTGTAATCTTTTAATCTTTTTCAATAAATTCTTTAGTGGTTTTGAATGGTGTCCATAAAGCGCTGCCTTCTTTAGACATTTTTAATATAAAATAAAATATTATGTTTATATTATATAATATACAATCATCCAGCCTTAAAAAAAATTTTGTCATTAATGTGCAACTAGACAGGGACAGAATTCTAGATAAGAAATGATTGATTCTAATCCGTCGACCACTAAGGAGAGAAACAAAAGCCACTCTTCTAAATGTTGTCTTAAACTTAGAAAACAAATGAATACCCCAAGTTGCTTCTCTATGCGTAAAGTCTCTCAGAATGTAATCCCACTCAAATTGATGATAGATGCGAGTATCAAGAATTCTTATTAGAACATCGTCTACTCTTAGGTAGGTCCTGATCAAGCCGAAAAAGCAATCTCCCATAACTCTGAATCTGAATTCACAAGTGACGAATCCATTATCTCCTAATTCATCCTCATATAGGGTAATGAAGGATGCCCATTTGATGGGATTTTCCTTTCTTATTTTTACATATATACTTAAGTCAAATTGTTCAAAGGTATTTCCTCTTCGGTATGTTCACAATAAAATTATAAAGATTTATTTTAAAAAATATGAGTAAGGTAATCTAATTCAGTTTTAATTACATTTTGGTTCAATTGGTTTTCAAAAATAGATTTTCCTTTCACTCCTTCAATGGTTTTGAATCTTTGGAATTGATATTTAATTTGATCTCCGTCTACTAGAGTACCTTTGTAAGGAGAACAATAGAAAGTATCAGATATTTTATTTAAAATTTTGATCTCTTCATTTTATTTCTATTTCCAAGCATTTGAATGTTTGAGTTGGGTCTATTCGGGTATGATAGATATGTAATTGATTTTGTTGGTTCTGAATTGACTCTTGATGTCCAAGTAATTGTGCTATCTTTGTTAATAGTTGCATAGATAGAGTGAATCTTTGGGATTAACAAAGAAACCAAAATTGAATTATTTATTATAGATTAAAGCACAATTATTCCCATTGGTAATATCTGGTATACCTTGTAGAGTCAATGCATCTTGAAGCATATCCAGATCAGAAGTGTTATACATACCAGCTTTTGTGAAGATGAAATTCCATCCATTCTGCTCATATTCTTCAACTTTCACATCTGTGTAGGTTTTGTTAGAAATTATATTCATATTTTTAAATAAATATAGGAGAATTAGTTATAATAAAAAAGAAATAATTATAAAATGTTAAATATTTCTCCAATACAAAAAATGTGAATATAAGTTATTTTATCATCATTTTATTGCTAGTTACTGCACCTTCTATTTAGCATACGCATCTATCTTGTAATCTAAATTCTGTTCCATAATTTCCAATCTTTCAATAATCGATAAAACATATCCTTTTGTCTTAAAAACTTAAACATCTAACTAATCTATTGCTTTTTGTTTGTTTTTAAAATCATTCAATTTCATTTTCATAATTCCATGATTGTTAATTTAAACATTAACTAATTAATTCGACAAATTTCTTATATCAATTATTTGACAACATATGTTTCTCTGCCTTTTAATGATAGTTTCTTGTTGTTTATCAGATTTCTCCTTTATTTACTAAATGATGGATTGTAATGGACCAGTCTCTTTTTATCAAAATAGAATTTACCTAATTGATGCTAATTAATTTCAGGATTGGTCAATAAACTATTTTGAATTTCAACTCTATTCAATAATTCTATTACTGGATCAACTAATTCCTATTCTTTTTAAATTGGTTGATCTCTAACAATTACAATGGATTCACTGGGACCTTATTACAAATTCTCAATATGCTAATGCACTTCTTATACTTGGGTTTTCGCCTCATTAAGTAATTGCTCATTTTCAAAATTGGCATTAATGCTAGCTAACAAAGCTTGAACATCAATGTCATTGTTTTCTTCTTCTTAACTCATATAATATGTTAGATTATAAAAATATCATTTTTGTTTTATTTCACTATTTGTGTTGCTTCCACTTTTTGATGATGTACTACCTCCAAAAATAGACATGAGTCCACCCAAGAGACCATTGTTTCTTGGACTCTGTACTTGAGTCTGCTACTAATTGATTTAGTATTGCTAAACTTTTAATAGAAAGTTTCTATAATAGAAATTAATTAATTGATACTTAATTGATTTACAAATCTTCTTTAAATCCTGATTGGGTGTAATTTTGAAGATTTCTTCTTTGCTTCTTGATTTAACAGTCAAAAGAAATGAGGATTCATCCTTAATCTTCAAATCTGTAATGTCAGTAGCCTTATATTAGAATTTCTAAGCTGCTGTTTCTATTTCGAATATGTAATCATTAAACAGATTTTGTCTTAAGATAAATAGACAATCAATATCCAAAAATTAATTATGCAAAATGAGTTTATATTGAAGAAACTTGCCCCTCGTTTCTTCAAGTTCTCCTTATAGTTGAGCCACTGTAAATCTAGAATCATCCAATCCTTTATGTAACACTCTCAATTCTTCATCTTTCTATTGCATATCCTTATCTAAAGTCTTCAATTTCAATTGAATTTCCAACTTCTCAGCTTTTAAATCCTTAATTTTGTTAAATAAATCTCTCTCAATATCTTCTATGTTCTTTTTGAGTTAATTATTTAATGCTGTCTTTTCATCAGCATCCTTCATCAATTTCTAATTTTATATCTCTTTGTTCTTCAAATCACGTTCTATCTCCTTATAGGCAGTTTACAAAATAGAAAATCGAGCTTCATAATTAGCAATGGTTGACTCTAATTCTCTTGCAATATGTAAAATCTTTACTGTTTGAATTTAGTTATTTATTTAGATTAATCACCACTAGTATGAATAGGTTCTGTTTGATGAAAAGACTGCGTTAAACTAGAGGAATTCTAAATTGCAATAGTTTATGATTACCATTGTTGATTAACGTTAATAATCCCTCATCATAGTATTATGCTTCTCTTCCTACAATTATTAATTTTAATCATACTATATCTTCTCTTTCCTTAATTAGTTCATTATTTTTTAGTGTTAATTCTGCTATCTGCTTCATTAATTGAGATTTCTCTTCCCTTAAATCCAATACTGCCTTTCTGAGAGTCGATATCTTTTGTTTGTCACTGATTTTGTTAACACTACCATTATCCGATGCACTATCAGTTTAACTTTTAGGTGGTTTTAAATTCATCATTTTTATAAAATTAATTTATTTTTATCATTATAACATCAATACATAATTATAATATTCACATTGACATCTAAAACTTATGGGTAATAAGAGAGTACTCGATTTTAAATTTAAATAGCAATCCACTTATAAACTAACGAAGTACCCTTATCATAAATAACATTTTAGACTAAGTAAACTTATTTTCATTTAGATAGTTTATAATATTAATGCTCAATTATCCTAAATTTCCAATAAAATCTAGATATTAATTAAGATCTAGCATAGATTCTGATCTTAATTAATAGAAATAATAAATAACATCATTCAAATATTCAAATTAACTTTATCCAACCTAACTAATTCTTTTTATTTTTGGGTATATTCCACTGATATCTGTCTCCAGATTGAATAAAAGTTGTATAGTTTAGAATCATTGTTAATTAAACACCACTTTGTAAGTTATTCTTTGAATAATGCTTACGAAAAACAGATTTTTGTCTGTTATTGCATTACTATTTATAATAAATATTTTATATTTATGAATTATTATACTTCTTTAGATGGAGGCTCAAAAGTCTAAGATCTGATTGAACAGGTTAGAAAAATGGATGCGACTATTTCTGAGGCTGTTAATTAGAGAAACCTAAAATTATAAACTAATTAATCTGTACAAATGGTATTTTGAAATTAGATTTTCTTAGGTAGATAGGCAACTGGCAACATAGATTGAAGCCATTAATGATTCGATTAAATAAGCAAGGATGTTATTAAATAAATCATCGAATCTGTATTCTATTTAAATCAACTAGCTCTCAAACTGATATCTAGAAATCAAAGGATTTATTGGATGAATTATAAAATAAGTCAGAAAAGTATAGAAAAGCACTGGATATCAAATAAGTTTTCAAAATGGTAATATATGATATATATTTAATCTTAATTTTAGGATACCCCAGAAGCAAACATTGATTTTAGTTCTAGGTCTAACGTTGAAATGGTTTAGATGTAAAAATAGCTAGTTGAAAAACAAAACAATACCATAGACTAAATGATTGACACAACAGGGAGAATGTAAGTTAATGCCAAACATATTAATAATGCTTTATAGGAGGATCAAGTTATTTTAAGAAGATTGAATGAAAATGTAAAAGTGATTTTAACCTTAGGTTGAACAAGCCACTCATGAAATCAAAGTTACTGATTCTAATCTTAACAGTCTGTTATCATACACTAATGATTGTTGTTTATGGACAACCATCATAATAGAATTTATGATTTTTGTTTTTCTTGTTATATATTGATGATGGTTTATCATAAATTCGATAATGAATCAAATATAAAGCTATTATAAAATTTCAACTATCCAAAAGTAGCTATTACAATATTTTTATCAACCAAATTCTTTAAATCTCCAAATTGATAAGTTCTATTAATTTATACTCATATATACACATCATCCAATCTGACTTCTTAATTTTCGCATTTAACTTTGCACATCTAATTTCTGATAGTCTTCATCAATTGCAATTCATTCTCATTAAGTTCTGAAACAAATTCCCTTTGTTTTTGTAGCACAAAGTCTGTAAATCATATAATCAATCAGTTACCTTCATATCTTTTATTGTTTTTCAATGATTGTTCATACCAATCAAATCTGAAATTGTTTTATCTCCCATGTTGATATTACTTGATCTCCATTACATTAATATTATAATCATCTAGCATTAAATTAAGTTTCTTTAGATTCTTGGCACTTGCTATAATAGTAGTTGAATTAAATTAATGTAGACTGCTTAAGATTTGACAAATATAGCATTATTTCTTAGTTAGGGATAAATCTAGATTATCGATGGCAATTATCGTTGGTTTTATTTTTGTGAATAGAATCAATTCATTCAAGTTTGGAGCCTTAAAAAGTTACAAGGCCTGCTCTTATGTTTGCACTTCAGATTGAATGTCTATATAGATGGCTTACTTCTTTTCTTTTAACGATTTATTGATCACAAATTTGAAGAAGGTTGAAATTCCCTCTGAAGGCATCCCATAATATAAATGAAATGAGTGATTTTGTAAGTTGTTTTTCTGTATCAGTTCATCCAATTTATATTCAATAGGATATTGTTTTTGGAATGCAATTTGCAATTACTCTGCGAAATCATTAAATTTGTAAATTGACTCATCATACATTATCATTCCTACTAATACTACCAAAAATATATCTATTAGAAAGAACTTTTTGCCAGGATTAATCTTCGTTAGCTGAATGATGAAACACAATGAGAGTATAATTCCTAATGCAATTATTATATACATTTATTAATATCATCGTATTTTTGCAATAATTCACAAAATCAAATATTTGAGTATTCAAGTGATATAACAATTATGAACAGAGGGATTTATTTAATTGTGAATAAATTTAAATATATTTAAATCTTTTTATTATGGGCAAGAATTACAGAAATCGATCAAAGACATCAGCTACACCAAGAAAGCCTTTCGAAAAGGAACGTCTTGACAATGAGTAATTTTAATAATCATCCATTTTTAGATTGTAAATTATTGGTAAGTATGGATTAAAGAACAAAAGAGAAGTCTGGAGAGTCTAACTTACTTTGGCTAGAATTAGAAAGGCTGCAAGAGAATTGTTGACTCTTGACCCAAAGGATCCAAGAAGATTATTTGAAGGAGAAGCATTAATCAGAAGAATGGTTAGATTTGGTTTGTTGTCTGAATAAGAGAGAAAGTTGGATTATGTCCTTGGTTTGACAACTTAAAAAATGATGGAAAGAAGACTTTAAACCTTTGTATTCAAAAGCAATCAAGCATCATCAATTCATCATGCTAGAACTTTGATTAGATAGCGACACTTTAGGTACTTAATCCAATTTATTTATTATTAGAGTAGGAAAAAGATTAGTCAATTCTCCATCCTTTTTGGTAAGAGTAGAATCAGAAAAATTGGTTGATTTTGCTGTTACCTCACCATTTGGTTAAGGCAGAGAAGGAAGAAGAAAGAGAAAGAATGCAAAGAGAGTAAAGCCAAACAAAGAAGAATGAGAATAATATTTTAGCATAAAGTACAATATTATAAATCTACTCTGTTTGCATTCTAATATTAGTGTCATTATTTTAAGTTTAATGGAAGTATAATTTCTAATCATTTCATTGATTTTTCTAAATTTACTTATATCTATCCATAATAATATTACTTATCATTTTCTACTCAAAATTGAATTAAAATGTGCATCTTCGGCACTAATTAATTAAGGTTTAACTTAATTTATATATTTGAACAATTGAATATAAAATTTATATGTAAATGATAAATTCTTTTAATATAATTCATTTTCTTAATGGAATTTTTTTATAATTATCGTTAAATGTATTTGTGAACTCTTTCTTTTTTACCAGCCTTTCTTGATTAGCTTATTGCAAATCTGGGACTACATGTTGCACTTTATCTGTCACTTCAACTTTTTTTTATTGTTATTAAAATTGAGTTTTGTCGGGTTCATATTTTGAATATATTTACACTTAAGGTCTGACTTGCTAATTATGTGATAGATCATAAGTTGATGTTAATTGTCTTGTTTCAAACTATTTATTTAATTCATTTGTTTACATAAGATTATTAACCATGACCAAGTAATAAATGATTCTGTAACCCACCATGACTAAAGGTTGTTTATTCATAATATTCTTTCTCTGCTTCTGTTTCTTATTGTCTTGGCATATTGAGCAAAGTGTTTTACAGTCCGAATGTATCTTTCATTGTACTATTGGGGATTTTATGAGCATTCTAATATTATGTTGATATAGAAATGTACTTATTTCACATCCATCCCAAAAGTTTCCTCATTGTAGTTACCTATCTTCACTCCATATCTATATTTATTGACATTGTCCTATATCTTAGTGTAATCGAGGTTCATCTATAATATTAATATTTAATAAAAATAATTGATTAATTCCTTAGCATTGATTTAAACTACAAAGTACAAATATATTGATGGTTAGATTACAGGATTACTATATGAAATTGAGAAAATAGTAAAATGTTAGCCAAAATTAAAATGATTTGAAAAGCAGCATGGAATGTGAATGTAGTCCTTTATTATAATTAAAATAATAAGTTGATAGAATATTTTAACCCCAAGGATCCAAACGATTACAAAATCAAATTGATATTAAATATTAAAGAATATTGTGTTTATTTACATCCCGATTAACAAGTTTTAATTTCTGAATTTAATGGAGCCTTCAAAATAAGCTTAAAAAGTGGAAGAAAGTTAGGAAGCTACGAATATTGGTATTTGTGATAATAAAAGAAGTGCTAGGCATAAAGATCAAATAACTTGATTATGGTGAACTAGCAAATACTGTTTTATATAAATGTATATGAAATGCATTCAAACTTATTAGAATTCTCATTTGTATCAAACCATCTCCTCAAAGTAATCTCAAGTGACGAGTAAAGTTATCGCTACAAAATTCACTTAGGATTATGCAAGATGATGGAGTTCAATGAATTGGAATTGGTGTATTGGCATTTATTGAATCTGCAATTTGATTACGGCAAAAAGTTACAGCCCAATTATTCACAAGAGATTAAGTAACCTTATTAAATCGAGTTAGGATTTGTGCTTTTCATTATTTTAAAGATTTTCTCAAAATACAGGCGGAGTTCATTCCTGATATTGCACTTTATAAAAGAGAGTTGTTATTCCTAACATTATCAGCCTTCTACACAATCAAATTATTGAGAAACATTTAAAAGTTCGAAAAAATAGGTGAGTTTATCAAAGAGGACAAATTTGGCGAACTTTTCAGAAGAATAGAGCCAGCCTTTATTAATGTATCTCACAACTTGACATTGTTTGCAGTGAACCAAAAATACATTGAGTTGACAAAGTTTGAGTAACAATTAAATTAGCAAGAAAAAAATTACAACTTTATTGTTGAATAAATTCTTGAAATGGCTCCTGCTTATCAAAAAGATGAAGATTTGCCTGTTTCTAAAAAAGTGAAAAGATAAAAAAAGTTGATGGCTAAGAAGTTTGAAACAAATAAGAAGCAAGAGCAAGAATCTTAATAAAAAATAGAAGCCTAATAATCATAACAATTATAATCATCACACCAATATCAAAATTAGTTATTGTCATAAAATGAATAACAATATCTAAGTTAACCCTTGGGTTCCAACTAATTTTCAAGATAATTCAATTAGGGCTTAGTATCTTAAGGGAATCAACTAATTCAATAGGATAATTTTTTTTAAAATGATCGGAATTCCTTTCAATTTCAGGATAGACAAAACTCTTTTGGAATGCAATTGAGATCTAATAGATGTATCTATAGTCAAGAGAGTCTCGGCCCAATGTATTCGAATTAATTCATTTCGACCCCACCAAAGGAGACTTACAATTATAGAAATTAGACATCAACATAATGGTCAAGTAAGAATGGAAAATGAATTATAAATGCCTATATATTATTATGAATTATAAAAGACAGATGTCTAATATGGATGCCAATCTATTTATAGTAGATATGTTGAATGTTTGAAATACAACTAAATTCTAATTCATTTTATTAGAAAGATAATTAAAATGATTTAGATTTCCTGTTATTTATTAGTTCATTTGGATGCAAATTATTAGTTATAATCATAAATTATATAATGTATTAATAAAATTGGTAAGGGGACAGATATTAAGATGAAATTTTTCTTGATGATGCGGAGGTTTTTTAAAAAGATGAAGAACCATCAATATTTGATATTGTTTATAGAGAAGTGGGGTGTATTCTACTCAAATATACCAACCTAAGCCTTATAACTTGTCCTAACACTCTCCATTATATTACTTTAAAGTTCAATAATGATGAACCCTTCTCATTTCTCTTTCAACCAAACTATATCTTGGTGGAACAACTGGCAGTGAACCCAGCTTTGAAAGAAATAGCTGAATAACTGTAAATTGAGGATCTCATAAATCATAATTAGAATGATCCTGAGTATTTTTCAGACTACCATTAACACTTAATTGAGGAAATATTCAAATCTCATTTGAATTAAACTTAAGAGATATTTTTAAGATAGTTAGAGTTACTGCAAGAATAGAGAATAAAACCTTAAGTTGATTAAGAACTCTAATCCATATTTTAAGATAAATAGTTTTAATTTCCATCTAAATTAGATTTTCAACATTCTGAACTACCTGAAAATTAAATCAAATACAAACTGTTTGAAACACTATAATAATTATAATCAAATTATCCGAACACTCGGAATAAATCTATTAAATTAGAATGTTCCGAGACTGCTTAACAATTATCAGGCCATAAAACTCAATAAGAGAATCTTGGTGTTGCCCAGGTTACTCAGGTTGATTAACCTTTAGTTATAAGTTCTTTAAATAAAGAAAAGATTAAGATGATAATACATTGGTTGATTTAAGAGAAGATTGCAATTCCTGAAATCATACTGTGTGCTGAATTAAAGAATAGAGGAAATGGAATGAACTTAACATTTAATCCTAATTAGCAAATGTTGAATAGGTGTGCATTTTATTATGGCTTATTTTGTGAGGCTTAGCAGAATTAATCAGAGGCTAAAAATATTAAAGAAGAAAATACAGAAGAAGTAAAAACTTGTTAGGAATTTAATATAGGTAAACAAAAGATTAAAATTACTGAATATCATCTGTTAATTAGAATGTTAGATCTAGTTGATCAATAGAAAGAATCTCTTAAACCGAAAATCATCTAATTGGTGAAATATTCTTAATTAAAAAATTAAATTAAAAGATTGTCAAGGGTTTAAGAAGCTGATGCACATTTTAAGATTGTTAAGCAATTTATAGAAAAATTAGAGACAATTCTTCTTATCTATGATGAATATGAAAATGATAAATAGAAACCATTCAAAAACCAGCAATAAAAGATAAGGCAAATTTAATCAGATAATTTAAGTGAAAATGAAGAAGAAAATAAACCTATAAAAGGTTAAAAAAAATATTATAGGTTGCTTAAATTAGTTGTAAAAATGATATTGATTGAATCTTTGGAAAAAGAAATACCAATTCCAGAAATTTTGACATGTTTATGGTTTAAGAAACATAAGGAGAAAATAGTTGAAGGTTAAATAATCAATTAAAATTCTGTCCAAATATTACCTTCAAAGTAACGATTGATTCCCTCACTCCAAGCTGAACAACAATTGAAACTCAAATAAGAATAAGTATAATTGTAAACTCTTTTGGATCTACCTGATACTGCTACTAAAGAATTAGACAACTTTGAAAATTTTGTATAATAATTCCCCTACGATGCTAAATATGGGAGAGATGTGGTTTTAATAGAAAAGATACTTATTGTTGTTAACGCCAAGAAGGATAGCATTTAAAATCAGTTAATTCAAGTTCTGGGTGATTACTTGAAAATAGAGAAAGTGAAAGAATAGTTGAGGGAGAAATTAGTGTTGCTTCCTAAACTAAGAACCACTAAGACTTAAATTAATGATGAACCAATATTAGAAAATATCATAAGAATTATAGATAATTTATAATTATTCATCAGTTCAATTTAAAAGTGTAAGCCCTCTTTATTTACTAAATAATTAAGGAATCGCTCTAAGAAATCATAGTAGACATCGTAAAATTAGAAATTAGATAAGGAGGAAATGAAAGTGTTTATATTATCTGGATTAATTACTTTAATTGACAATGAAGTGTATTTACCAGAATTAATCTTATTCTTGGGAATAAAAAATAAAACACAAAAGTTCAGTCTTTAGATTAACAAGAATTAGAGATTATAGGAGTATATCATTACGTAGATGTAATTGAATCAAGTGGAAATAACTGACTAAGTGGAGAGTAAGTTGCTAATTAAGAAGATAAAGATTTAAGATGGAGAGAATATACCTATCATTCAGAGCAGAGATCAGGTTTCAGAGCCATAATTGATTATCAGAGCCTTGAAATTACTAAGCAATTGTGAGATGACCAAATAATTGTCAGAAATTTGGTAGAAACCTTCAGTAATAAGTCTTAAAAATCAAGTTTATAAAAATTGCTTAAAAAAAAATAAAAATGATACTACAATTGGATAAATAAAAAATTTATTTTATAAAATTGATAATAAATATGAAATATTTAATAATAATTAATAATGATAATTTCAAAATATGAATGGAATAATCTTGAATTTGGCAATCTCACAATATTCTTACCACAGCTTACCATATTTTTCTCTACAACGCTTGTCATCTCTTGTTGCCCTGTGTGTCAATAGACAGAATAAACTCAAAGGCAAGATATAATTGTTAAAAGCTTTGAATTCCCCACACATGGCAATAGATAGATAAACTAAAATTTCCCCTGTGTAATTGAGATGTCTCCCTATACCCCACCAACCACTAATTAATAACTTATTCTATAGGGTCTAAGGTTTTTTCTTCCAAATTATGGCTTTATCCCCTTGTCTTCTATATCTATCCTTCTGCCAATTCGCATCTCTGTACATATACAATGAAGCAAAGTGCAACAACGTGATGAAAATCAGATAGACAGTAGAACTATTCTGAACAAAGTCGCCCAAGTACCAACCACCAATACAATATAGGTAAGGTAAATAAACGATGTCTCCCCAAACTAACATAAATCCAAAATTTTCAGCGATAATATCCCAAGTCGATAACATAAAATCCTCTCTTATATAGTGTGTGATAAGCCACATAAACCAAAATACTTAAAATAGTATCATGTTTATGGATAATATGGAATAAGTATTGTATTGGTATTCAGCAAATGATAATAAGAATATTTGTAATCCGATCAATGATGGCTCGTAAAAATACATTTTGAGGTCTACGTTTAAAATACGTGGATTCTATTCTGATCCAAACCACCAGTCATTCAATAGTTAAGGTGTCCATGATTGAATATGGGGTTTGTAGTGTAGACTCAATTTTCCTTTTATCAATAAAATGAAGGAAAACAGAAAAGCCAAAATATTTGAGGCTATAAAAAAGGACCAAAAGTGTTCTATCAATGGAATCAATGTGAAGTTAAAAAACACTTTACCCAAAAATATGAGTGCGAGTGTTAGTATTAAGGTATATAATCCATTGATTTTATACATCAGAACTTTCCCTTTTGGATCTGGAAACCCTTTGAATTCTTTTCCTGGCAAGAGCTTTGTGGCTGCAAACATGTAGATAAAGTATGCTATTTGCCATTTGAGTGCAAAACACACAGAATCCCAAGTGGATTCCTACATTATCCCAAATGTACTATTCACTTGCATAATTATGATATTATTGAGAATATTATTAAAAACACAAATATTTAAGAAATAGACAGTGATTATTAATTATTATTAGAAAAAGCGAGCCTTTCTTAAAGCTGGTGAAAGAGTTGCATCGAAGAGGCGAGAAACAAGAAAGCGTATATTAGTGATTGTTAAATCAAGAAATAAATATTATATATTATATAAAATTTAAAATGGCCGAAGCTACGCCAGAAATAACTCTTTAAGTGTATGTAAAAGCATTAGAAAATTTACAAAATGCTTATGAAATCCTCCACACACCTTATCCCAATTTTATGGTTGAGAGTACTAAAATGATGGTGTCTCCTGAATATCCAGTGGAAATAAGATTGAAGATTGGGATACTATTGAAGGGTGTATTGATTGAATAATGGGAATCAATATAGCCATCACGAAAAGTGATACGCGAACTCTTATTGAATGGTCTTGTAATGAATGTTTCAAATATGCCAATTATTGAGTTAATTGTAATTTAATTAAAATACATCTTAGTCATCCATAATAGTGTAAATAATATGTCTTGACCCAAGTCATATTTGGCCAAATCCATTGATTGAATTGTTAAATTGGATGGACGACTTTAATGCCATAGAATCAAGCTTGGAATTATTTTTGCAATTATTTGGAAAACTAAGTGAAACCAATGGTGAATAACAAACCTTATGTAAAGAGATTGTCCCCTCAGTCCTCGAGAAAGGCTTCAGTATATTCGCCTAACCAGAATTGAATGAGAAGCTAAGAGAGAAAATATTGTTATTGGTTTACTTGGTATTCAGATCAATATCCTTTGCTGATGGAACTGACAATTCTTTTGTCAACAAATGTCTAGATTCGACATTTTAAATATGGATGGTAAGATCTTATTTGCATAATTTAGTCATTATTTTTATCTGCATTATAAACATCCCCCAAATCACACATTTTCATCAAGAAGTTAGTGTTAAAGATATTGATTGTTGTCTTTAGAGACTTTGGAGTCTACAGTAGAAAATCATTGTCATTATCATTGATTCCTGTCTGGAAATTCTTCAATTCAATTACCTAGTTATATGTTGGTCACATTGTTTACCAAATCGATATTGAACACATTGACAGTTTGTTTTCTGAAGAATCCAAAGAATTGCCTCAGACTAATTAGAGAATTATCAATCTGCAAAATGGTATTTATAAAATATAGAATTTAGATATCGAATACAAATATTTAAATGAAGATGATGATTATGATAATCACATTGAGGGTCTTTGTGCCTATTCAATTGAGTTGATAACTATCTTAGTTACTAAGCCTGCTTTATATAACCTAATTAAGTTTGGTACCTTCCCATTACTGAATACGTTGGCAACATTCCTGATTGCTACCAAAGATTAGGAAAGATAATGGGTTAAAGATCCCAGTTATTTCATTCTCAATGACGAAGAAGAATTGCTGTAGAAAAGTGTTAGAACCCTTGCCTTGAGATTGATCAATGATATCATTGAAAAATACGGAGACACCTTTGTCCAGTAGATATTGATGGTAGGTGAGAAATTGATATTGAATCGCGATGAAAAAGAATTCATCGAATTGGCTCAATAAATTATATCAAAATTGAATTTCCAAGAATTGAAAGGACAACAATCCAAAGAATTTGATTAGGATAGTGTAATGTAATTCATGAAGACGTCTGCCATCTATGTTACTAATTCATTCTACTTAAAATCCTTTATTTAAAAACGAAAGGAGACTGGATATCTATTGTTGGGTAGTTTTTCTGAAGATATTATTGTTTTCCAATAAAAACATGAGAGCACTTTCGATATTAAGAAATGTATGCAGAACATATTAATTGAGTTGGAAAGATAAAGTATCACACCCTATTTATTTCAATCTAGATTCAAGTAGTTTATAGGCTCGAGCCATTTGGAGTACAACAAAATACTCTGAGTTGATTAGTCATTAATTTAAAGAATTGTTAGTGCCCTTCTTCGAATCAGTACTCAATTATTTGAAATCTGAATATCCTATCACTTTGAAAATTGTATCAGTCAAAGCATTAGGAAAGTAAAGCATTTAACAAATACTAGTTATGCCACAAAAATTAATAAATACAACATTGCTTTTCAGTATAAAGCAGAAATAATGGATTTAATATTGCAAGTATTACAAGAGGCTAGCCAAGATTAAATTATCTATGTCTTAGAATCAACCATTAATTTAGTTAGATTTTCAAGCATTCTGGCTACCACCTTAGCAAAAAATGGATCCAAAATTTTATTATCATTCTTTAGTATCTTTCATACTGAATCCATCGTTATTAAACAATTTAATGAATTAATAATGAGGATTTGCTAATGTAAAGATGCTTATCCACATATTTTTGATGTAAATATTACTAGTATCACAAGGTATTCTGTCCATTTATCATGGATTGCTTCTAAGTGTTTTATGAGGATATGAATAAAATTTAGGATAAAAGTAAGATGAAACCAACAGATATTGGATTAATGAGTGCCATTATGCATCTGACTTCCATTTTCATCAAATACTGTTCTGACAACAAGGCTTAAGAAGCATTCATTAATTTATTGCCTTCTATGGTTAATCTAATTTTGATTAATGAAGATCCACAATTATAAGTACACACTAGTTAGTGCTTAAAAAACTTCATTATTATTGAGACTGGATAAATTCTGAAAATGTAAGTGTATAAATCATTTTAAGGAATCTTGTCTAAGATGTAATGAAGGTAAATCTGAAATTATTGGAAGTGCCTCAGAACTCTGCTAATGAATCAGCATCATTATTTGCTGGAAATTTGGTGATGATAACAATCAACAACTTATTAGATGGAAATCCAGATATCAATTTATTAAAATCTGTTGTCTTCAAGATCTATAGATCTAGAATGCCATCTACTGTCCAATCCTTGGTTTTGGTGTATGCCAGAATGATCATTGAAAAACCAAAAGAATCCATCAATTTCTTGACCTCTTGGAGTATTGATAATAGAATGGCTCTTAAAGTCTTAATTGATAAATGGCTATTGCAATAACCTTTGTTTAGAGGAAAAGGCACAAAGAATGCCACCTTCACTGCTCTAATGAAACTATTTTTATTGAAGGATAAGACTCTAGAGAATCTATTAGTTATAGGCTACAATCCCAGTCATCAAAATATAAATAGTGGTAATGGCATTTATTTATTTAGACGTTTATGCTCCTTTCAAGATATTGTCCTTATTGATTAGATGTTTAGATAATGAAATCACTCCTCATACTCAAAATAACAATGATATCAAATAAGATGATGAAAGATTAGAGGTTGAAGATGATGACGATGAAGTGATCAAAAAGGATTAATTTTAAGATCAAGTTGATGTTGAAATTGAAAAGATCAAGGATGATGAAGAATAGGACATAGCAGAAAGATTTGCGGTATTCAGTTATTTAATATTAAGTCATTGGATCCAAAGGAGAAGAAGGACAAAGGATTAGCAGATCTTGAAACAGGCTCAACATTGTATATGAGTGAATTCCTAGATTTCAATTAGGAAGTTGGAGAAGAATGCGATGAAACTACTGAAGAAGATTTAACTTATCTTAAAGATCCTTGTTTAAATATCAATTTAGTGGTATTTCCTTTAGATATATAAATCTTAGGAAGCTCTCAAGGACTTTTTCTAAAATTTAGTAAAGAACGATCCAGATTATTTAAAATTCTGTCTTAAAAATTTGCTTAAAGAAGATATCAATCTATTATAGAAATATATCAAGCTTAATTTCTGATTAATTTGAATATTAATAAAAAATTGTTTATATTTACAAACATCATTATTCTTCTGACAAAATTCTCTCTATAAATTATTTAGATTAAGTTTATTTTATTTTTTCGCTCAACATATTAGATTGTTTCTCCACTTTGTCGATCAAATAAGTAACAAATTTTTTCTTAAATAATCTTTGCTTTTTAAACTTCTCAAACTCTTAATTAGGTTCTCTCTCGAATTAAGGTTTGTCCATTGATAAATATTGACTTGCTTTATCCATTATATCATCTAGAGAATTAAACTTTTCCTTCAAAAGGTTTTTCTCCTTCTTGAAATTATTGTCAATCACATCACATTACTTTAAGAATTTATTAAATTCTATTTCTGTCTTTATACTTGTTTAAGTTTTTAGTGTTCTACTCACACTAGTCTATGGTCTTGTAGTCTTTGAAACCTTACTTGAGTTTTCCATAAATTGACTCCTTGGAGATTAATACGGTTAATTTTTCCTTCGAAAATCCTCTTACTTGAAACCATTTCCTAAATTTTCAGTCGACACAAAAAACTTGTGATATTATGAATCCTATGCTTAATTAACTCTTTTCATGGTTGTCATTTTGACTTTGCTTTTAAAAAAGTCAGGATCAAATTGATCAATCCTTGTTTCCTTAAATATCTTGACTAATTCTTTATTTTATTTCAATTCTTCTTCTCGCATTATTTCCTATAATTATTCCTATGTAATTCGTTTCTAAACAATGTTTCTCCATCTCTCTCTTTCATCACATTAATCTTCCTTAAACGTCAAATCGTCTAAAATTATATTTCTGATTTACTATTTTAGATGTCTAAAACCGTACAAGCATTCATTTTTTGATCTTCGCAAAGTTTTTTCATAAAAAAGTTAACCTACTCCTAGTCTTCAAGCTCAATATTCTAATATCCCTTGTGTTTTCCAATGCTTTAACTGGTAGTCTTGGGATTTTTTAAAGATTACTTTACTTCTTTAAGCTAAATCAATCACTATATATACATTTTGCTTCAGATTTTATCGTTTGTAACTCTAATAGAGATCATCTAGCTATGCTTACTCTATATTATCATTCATCATCATGGCCAATTTTTGTTGAACAGATACAGGTTTTTTCTTCCAATTCTTCGATCTTTTGGGAATCACTTAAAAATTTAATAAGTTCTCTAATTATTCTTTATCAAGAACTCTTTACATTATTTCTACCACTTCAGGTTATAATTCATAATTTCCTTAATATTCCTTATTACCTTCTTAAGCCTTTAATTTCACTTGCAATTAGGTATTAGCCAATGTTTTTTTGGGTAGTATTTTAACTCCGGTTCGCTCTACAGGAAATTTAAACTTTACTTTTTAGATCTGCATATTTTTTCTAAATATACATACACATGTTTTTATCACGATAATCATTGAAATTAGCATCATAATGTCTTAAAGGATTTTGTTATATAGTTTTTGTAACTATAAATCCTGCGATTGCTTCGTTACTCATTATTTATTATTTATGACTTTTATATATAATTTAATAAGTTATGGTATTGTATTTGGTGCAATATTCAATCAGTTGCCATAAATTTATAAGATATATAAAAGCAAAAGCATCTAAGGCATATCATTTTCATCTATCTATACAGAAGTATTAAAAAAACTTAAATAGACTCTTATGTTAGTTTTTAATATTGCTTATAATATGCATGTAGGAACCAGTTTCTTACTCTACGGAGAAAATGTCATTTTATACATTGGATACATTGTCGTTATACTTCAATTTAGATATTACAGTTAAAAGCAGAGCGATTACCAAAGAAAGTTGAGTTTTTTAGGAATAATTAGTGTGCTATTTTTATTTTAGATTGTCCCTTCAATTATATTTAAGCATAGCATATATATTAACATGATTTTATGTATTAGAGGCATGATTATTTTTAGTATTTTTATCGAAGTGGCCATAAATACAAATGAATTACTAGAGATAATCAACTGGAGAGCTTGCATTTTTAACACATTTATAGAATTAAGCTGGAGCAATTCCAAGAGCATTAACAATATTTGCAGAGTCTAGCAATGAATTATTATATGTATAATAATATTCTTAATATAATAGTGTTTGGCGATATTAGATAATGGTTTAGTTTTAATAATCACATTATAATTTGTAGTTTATTGGAAAGCGAGAGAGATATCAAAGAAATTGTGAGAACAAATCATGAATAATAATATTATTAATTCTGGTTTTAAATTAATTAATTAAACAATTAATCTATGATAAAATTTATTTGATATATTTCACTTTAATGCTTATAATGTAAATTCTTTGTCTCCTTAAACTGCTAAAATAAATTATCCGTGTATTTTAGATTGATAAGTTGTTGGCATGATATAATAACCATTCTTAGTTGGTTAGAGATCAAATTCTTCTTAAATTTCATTGATTGGCAAGAAATTAGGAACTCTCACAATCTATTATGTTGTAATTTTGTTCTCTGACTTTTCAATCAAGTAGACTCCAATCATACCTCCGACTGTATTCTTTGTTTTTGACTTCCAATTCTTTTCTGCAATGCAAAGCGTTATAGTGATATGAATGGGCTCAAAAAATTACAAAGAATATTTAGGATTCATTGTCCATGTTCTTTTGCTTGTGTCTTTTTCATAAGGATCTTCATAAAGATGACACCCTCCATCTGAAATATCTTGTTCCCATTTTCCAATATGAACTTAATTCTTGGTTTCATCTAGCTTAGTTAATTCCACTTCCTAATTAGAGTAAACTAAAAAAAGCTAAATAATAAAAGTACTAGTTAATTTATAATTGGCAGAACGATCCTCTTAATCTAAAGATGGGATTATAATGAAAGGGCCTTCTGTTGGATTGAAATGGAAATACAAGGCTGCCACATCTTCATTAAAGTATGTAGACTATTTAAATTTCTCATTAGTTCCTATTAAGAGTTTTCTCTGAATTCCAATCATTTTAGGAGCTTCCAGTTGTTATTAAGTCTGTTTTAATAGCCTTACTAAATCTAATAAGAGTTAATAACATGAAATTACTTGTTCCTCCTCCTTTTTATTATTTGATGATATTTAATGAATTAGTCGGTGCTTTATCAAATCTACAGATGGTCATTCCAATTTTAGTACCTTTAGCCCTTTTAACTTGTCCCTATCTTCTTAAGATGATCTTTAAATGAGTGCTAACAGATAAATTCAAGAAATATTGAGGATTCTTGCACCAATTAGGATTTTCTTTGCCGTTATCATATTTCCTTTTACCACCAGCAGATGTCTCATTCCAACTGCCTTCTTATTGAATTTCTAATGTTTCAGGCATTTCGGCCACATCAATTTTATCAGAACTAAAAATTCTTAAGATGAAGTTTCTTTTCTCCTCTTTTCTCATTTCGTTTACAATCATATTGGGAACAACCATGTAATTACCAAAGGTTTTGCCCTCAAAATTTTTGAGTATCAAATACTGAGTAATTTCTCTTTAAGCTTGCATGTCTCCTTTAGGATTCATATCAATAACTATGTCTTAATTTGGTGGTCTCTCCCAGATTCTGCTCAGCCTTGCCTTATTAGCAATGACCATTAGATTGCAAGCTACATAAGGTTATTATGTTATTTTTTCATCTTCTAACATCAATGATAGATATAGTTTAGTTTCTTTATGTACTTTAATTTTATATTAAGGATTGTTAAACCACTTTTCATCAGTGTCTACCTACACATATTCTGGTAAGCCTTCAGATGGCATTTTCAAAGGACAAACACCTCCTAGTGTTTTAGCAAACCAATTTCCTTGGATTGCATATTATTACCAACTTTCTGGGAATACCTTGCATATATAAAACTTATTGAAATGTTAATGCCAATCTTAATATGACATCCACCATGTTCCATCACTTTTCTTTGATTTAAATACTAATTTTAATTCTTCTCTTAGATTTCTATGTTTATCCCATTCTTCAGAATCATCTGAAAATGCTCCATTCCATCCACCCTCTGGTCCCCAAACATTTCTAATTCTCATCAATCTCAGTTTTTCCTTAGGAAATTCTCTTACATCCACAATTCCATAATGATGATTCTCCAATATACCATGAGTACCTGTATCTGCATTTTTTGTTCCTTTAGTCTCATTGTGATTCATGCATCCCATAAAAAATTATAATTTATGTGTCTACAATAACACTTACCATAATTAGTCATTTTCAATCATTTTACTTAATTATGGATCTCTTAATGAATTGATTTCAGCTATGCCTCCTGTTAAATCAACTAATCCTTCTCCAATATGTCCATCACATATAGTTTCATAATTTCCGTGTAATTTACAGTAAGCCTTTTCCATCAATGGCAACCAAAATTCAGAGGGATTTGCACATTGAGTAAATAATATTTATTTACTATCTTAATCAAAAGGCAGAAGTGTATCAACTATGACTTATTACCATTCTCCATTTTTAAAGAATTGGAATGCCACAAAACCACATTCATCAAATTGATCATAATCTAGAATCAGTTTTTCAAGTTAAGATATTTATTGTTAAGATAACTATTGGGTTTATTTGTTTTATTTTTCGTTGTATTTTTTCATTTGTCCAACAATGACAACTGCTCCTACAAACCAGGATTCTCCAAAAGCCCCTTATTTATAATCTCCCTCAAAATCAATAACGAATTTAGCATCTTTTGAAATTTCATGTGGTCTGACCCATTTAACAGATTTGATATCCTTAGCAAATTCGGGAGGTTTCTGAGGATCCTTATACAAACTACTGTTATTGATTGGGAAGTCTGGATCAGTGTAGAGGGTTTTGCTTTTTTAGCAATTTTATATGATTTCCATTTTCTTAGATTCGAATATTTAAAGTGGATTCAATTCAATGGGTTGAATCTCTTATTCTTATTCTTCATCATTTTGTTGCAACATTGGATCAATCTATTTGTTTTATGAACTTAATCATAAATGATAACTTACTGAGTTTCAGACTAATCGAATGCTTGAGGATCCTCCTCTTGTGTTTGTTTCTACTTTAAAAAAGAGTCCTCATTCATCAGTCTTTGTTCTGAGTAATTCATATAGCTTTGAATAGATTCATTCTTCTCAATGTTGTCAGCCATTTTTATTTTATTTATTAATATATTTTATACAATTCAAAAACTAATAAAATTACAACATGAGACTTTCCGCTAATTAAACAATAAACATAATCTCTTTGTTAAGTCCATAGCCTTCTTTGATTGAATCATGCCTGCCAAAAAGGTCAAGAAGATGATTAGATTTCTTATGATCTTGCAAATAATTATTCAAATTACTAATTCGATTTGAGTTTAAGCAGTGTCTGATCTCAAACTGTAATCCAGTCTCGTTGAGAAACCAACTATTATTATAGTCACCAATCCCAATAGAAAATCAAAAAACATTGCCAAGGTTGTGTATTCTTTTCGGAAGTATCTGAGACCTGTGTAACGAATGATCAAATCTATCAACCACAATCCCAATCTAAAAGGGAGCAGTATGTACAAGAACCAAATGGCAATTAATTCTTCCTTCAAATCATGCAAAGTTTATCTTAAGTAAATTAGATGTTTCATACTCATCATTAGCAGTAGGTCCTGTAGTATTATCGTATTCAGTCTACACAGAATCATGCTTCAAAACCAAGAGGTTATATAACATCGAATCCAAACAAACCTATAACAAAAACAATGTTAGCAAAATTAAACTAACAAAGAATGACCAAGTTGGCACTCCTTCTATCATGTTTACAGCTGTATCTATCAAATAATGCTTTCTAAAATCATCTATGTAATTAATTTAAAAACACTTTCAAGATCTAAATTCAAATCAATTATTTATTTGATTATGTATCTCTTTGCGAAATCACCATCAAGCAAACTTGCTCTGTTAATCAACCTAAATCCTCTGACGTTGAAAGGCAAAAGATCGTAATAATTTTCTAAATGATCCAATCTACCCAAAATCCCAGGTTCTATTGTTTTGAGTCTAATTTTCCCAGCCAATATTGCTATCAGATTTTTAAAATCATCCTCCCTCTCATCATCAGGTACTCTGTCTTGATCAAACTATTGCATCTCGATTTAACTCATTTTCTTCTTATAAATTATTAAATATTAAATAGTTATCACTAGGATTAAGTAAAATCCATGAAAACAACAAAACTAAATTTAGAACTAAGATAAATATTTATTTAAGGATAACCAATCAATTATAAACAAATCTTATTCTACATTAATATTTTTCCGATATTAATCATCAAGGATTGAAGTTTAGAAATTAAAACTAATCAACCCAATTTGTTGAATATATTTGGTTTCAATAGAATTTGAGAAAAAGAATTTGAAAAAAATTTATAATAAATCATCAAGAATTCTATATGATTTTTAAAGATCTATTCAAATATGGCATTCAAAAAAGTTATATAAATAAAACTGTAATAGGAATAATCATATCTAATTATTATAATTACTTTATAAGGATCTGTTTTTCGAGTTTTAATACATAATGTAAATTTTGTTGAATCTAAAACTAAATATTTCCTTTATTAAATATTTAGTTATAGGTTGGAAGAATGAACAAATATCATCGAATAAAATTATGAATGTATAACAATTTTTCGTTTTAAATAATTAAATAAACTTTTATATGTTCAAGGTCCTCTTTTTTATCCTCTTCCTCCTCTACCTCTTCCTCTAGGACCTCCTCTGCCTCTTTATCCACCTCTTCTACCTCCTCTTTGTTGGCCTCTTTTGTTTCCGTACTTATGAACCTTTTGTTTTTGGGGGAATGTTAACTTGACCTAATGATGAAGAAGTTGTTGATTAGGTAAATCCTTGATTTGGTATTCTTATGGTAATGATTCTGATATCATTTTAATGTATTAATGAACCACATCTTCATTTCCTAAATATAACTTTGGGAATTTCTTCCACTTTTGAGTAGCAGATTAAATAATTTATTCCAAAGTTTGGCCTTTCAAAATTTCAGCTCTAACATATTAATGGAATCCTTATGGAACCTTTCTTCCCCATGTTTAGATATGTCTCTTGTAGTCTAAACCATTAACAATTAAATAAAATGGACATTATTTAGACATACAACAATTACTGCTTAAACCTGATTTAACATTATATGCAATTGTGTTTACATCAATACCTTTGGCTTGGCATTCCAATTGTAATTCTTCATATGTTAAAGGCTTAACCATCATATGATTTTTAATAAACCATACTATGTATTCTTTTTCTAAAGCAGCTTTAGTTGATTAAGTTCCTTTGGTTAAATCTCCCTTATTTTATTAAATCAATTCCTTTTAGATATCTTTGATATTTCCGAAATTGACTTTAGTTGTGAAGACTTCATTTTCTGGGGTCTTAATTACATGATAAATTAAGTGAATGTATCTCTTTTAGTCAAACTTAACTCCTTTAAATTATTCGTAGAAATTTTCAATGACTTCTAAGGTAAGTTTCATATCTCTATTAAATACCTTCTCTTCATAAAGATCAACAGTGGTATTATCGTTTTCAAATCTACTCAAAATAACTTATTCTATCTCTTAAGTTATTGATTATCTGAAATGTTTGATGCTAACATGTTTTTCAAAGGATGATTTTAATTAAGTTTACAAACTTTCCTCATCTTATTTCTCTAATTTTAATTTTAGATAATAAGTTAATTATTATTAATGTTTATATTGCTCTCTGATGAAGTGATATAAGATTAATTTTTCAATTTCAGATTCAAAATCTTAAACAATATTTTTGGTCATCATCAAATAGAACAAGGAAATAAATGGCTTAGAAGTAGCTACATAATCTTCATATTACTCCTCTTTTTCTAGATAGGCGGATGTTGGATTCTCCAAAAGCTTTTTTAAATAGTTTTCAAACTTTTCTGTTCCTTTATAAACAATGGAAGTAGTTGAGTAGATCAAATTGATAGTATCCTCTTACCATTTGGATCTGGGTTACTTGTACACAAAGATTAAAGCATTGGCCAAAAGAGCTAAATAGGTTTCTTCATAGAATGTATCCACATTTTGCTAGACCATGAATGTGAGTAATAACTTAATGATTCTAGATCTTAAAATAGGTTGGAGGTCTTAATCTGATTGAGGGAACAAAGGTAAGATACAATTAATTTCTTCTTTTTTTTCTCCTCCAGTATTAAGTTCTACTTTAAAGTTATTCTTGATTAAATAAGCAGAGTCAATGACTTTGTTTTGTTAAGCAAAATTCTCCACTTGAACCAACCAAGGATTGACAAAGCATCCATCATTTCTTTTAACTTTTAAGCCATGACCAACCAAAGGGAATGTTTCAGCAAAATCATATTGAGATTTGATATACTTTAATCCTTCAACTACGAGTTTAGAGTTTGATACAATATCCCTTTGAGTTTCAAGACTTACAACAGATCTTTCCTGTCCTTATTCATTTTCCTTCTTGAAATCACAGTTGATGACAATATCTTAAAATTCATCTCTCATTTTTCTAAATTCTTCAACAGTAATACCCTTTAAAGCCAAAGCCTTTTATTAATGCTTTCCAGTGATTGTACCAATATTTAGTTTTTTAGCTGCTTCAAAATCTCCCAACTATTTGATATCAACTCCTTTTGCTAATTATCTGGCTTCATCAATGAAGAACAACAATTTATTTCCATATTTATAGACATAGTTTCTTTAAGCTCTGACATTAAATGGCTATGTAGGATCAACAATTTCTGCTTAATTGAAATTCAAGACATTCATATTGAATTGATCACTTAATCTATTGGCTATTCTTTCCATAATTGCCAAGGCATCAGCAGCTTTGTCCTTGATTCCTTAGGCACCACTCATTGCTCTGATTTATAGATTTTACACCCAAGAACGGAATAGATCCACTACATCATCCACCAACAAATCAGATTCTGCAATTGGTTGTAATACAATGGGATCTTTGTCTTCTTAAAGAATTTAGAGTTAGTTCTTCTTTGTTATGATCCATTATCCTTCATAAACCTCGTCAGTCACATCTTCATCATAGGGGAAAAGATTAATCATTCTGTCCAATTTCAATTGTTAAGAAGGATAAAAGTATTTCTTCATGGTCTCAAATTTGTTGAAAAATGCTTATGGTGAAGCATGCTCAATCAAATAGATTGCAGGAATCTATGGATCACCTCTATGGTACAGTTATCTTAAATTCATTGAAATGTTGGTTGGGAATCCTGATTCAACTCCCAAACAAATAAAATTAATATTTCGATTTTATGTGTTACCACCTAATTTCTTCATTCTTTCATCGATCGTTCTTACATTATTGTCTTGTCCATCACTTATAAATATTACAGTAATGTTATTTTAGATGGGAACCTTCTACAATTCAGTCTCCATAGTCTAAAAGGCAGGAACAATCTCTGTTCCACCACCTCCATGATCCTTGATTCTTTTTGATAACACTCCTTCTGCTGAAATCTTCTATCTTGTATCAAAGGTTATGGTGATTAAGTTCTCTTTGGGTATGCTTTGATTCCAAAAATCAGATAGCCATTCCCAACATCCACTCATCGAGCCTGATGCATCAATTACTCCAATAATTGTTAAAATGGCATTTCCTTCCTTTCCCTTCTTATCTCCTTTTTTTGTCGACTAATCTTGACTTTACTCAATAAAAGGAATCTTTAATGCGAAGAATTAATTTTGCTCCATTATTTAATTGATCGGATTTTTAATATAATTGTTTAGAATGTGCTTCTAAGCATTCCCTGATCATAATTAACCAGTATTTAAAACAAAAACTTTAAATCATTATAAATTCTTTAATAACTCAATTTAATAACTCTGCATTTATTTCCATTGACCTGTTGTATAATAATGAAACTTGTAAAATTCTTTTTCAAACAGAAATCTTTCAATTCTATATAAAAAAATAACAAGATCGTTTACTAATTCAGTTTTTATCAATCCCCAATACTGCCTTAGCTTGTATATTAATAATACATTGCAAAATGAGAAATGCAATTTTTATATTTTATATTACTAAAATATACTTTTTTCTTATTACATTCAGCTCAGAAAGAAACCTAAATTCAATCATCTTATGAATTTTGCTGTTGAATCTTTTCTCTTAAGGTAATTTTCTTAAACAACCGATTTTGATTTCAAGATAATTTAAGTAAATTCTTTAAAAACTATAGAGAATAAAAAATAATCATTTTCAAAGTAATATGTACACAATTTAGTATAATTTTTAACTTATAACTCAAAATTTGATAATATTTATTCAAGCTTCTATACTAATTCAATCTTCTTGAATTATTTCTAATCTTATCATAATTTCACTAATTATATAGTGGATACTATTAATCACAATTCTCCTGAAACTTCTTTTATAATTCTAATTACAAACTGTAAGTATGTAAGAAATATTATTTATGTGTCTAATTTGTTGAAAAACTAGAGCTACCTATTAATTTAAGTTCATTAATTAAAGATCACTTCTGTGCTTAAATAATCTTAACTTCATAGTTCAATTTAATATAAATCAATTTCAATTTACTTTATAAATGATTGATTATTATTAATGTTTTGATTTAATTTTCATTCTAGTGGCCTAAAGATCATGCTCATTTATCCTACTAAAATTAAATTACCATCAATAATTATTGATTATTATTAAATTCTAAACATCTGTAGTAATTCAATGTTCACATTAAAGGGTACTTTTAACCCAAAAGCCAAACTAGCATACTCATTTTATTAATATATTTGTTTAATCATTTATTATTAATTCTTCAAAAAGGAATATGGTGTAAATCCATTAGATCCTAATTCTATCAAGAATTAAGAAAAAATTTCATCAAAAACTAAGCTTAACAGATACCATTTTTTCATTATTATAATAATTATTATAATGCGATAAAGTCCATTTATAAATTCATAATTTATCTTATGTACCTTCATCTAATTATTTCTATTTAATCATATCAAGAATTGGTGCTAAATATCAATTGGATTGTATTATCAACAACGAATTCTATTTAAGCTATTGATTTTCATTTTTTAGTTATTATTTCTCTATTATTAGTTATGATTGAATTGATGAGTACAAATATAATTCATTATTAAGCATAGAATTTATTGACTCCATTTTTTTATTGTCTTATAAGTATCTTTATTATAATAGAGGTGACGAGAGGTTTAAGTGTCTTAATAAATAAATCTGTCTTCTAAACTTCTTTTAGTTATTCTGTTTCATTCTTTATTAATTTAAATTTCTGTACATTTTTAATGTGCTATTATTTTAATACATATTTTTAACTCATTAATGGCAAAGGTTTGAGTCAAAAAGAAAAAAAGTGACATAAACTATAAATAATATATATCAATCCAATATTAAGTCAAAGAAAGCAATATTTAATTTAACCAGTGAATTTATAAAAAAAAAAAAACAGATAGAATGTATTAATCATTGTTCGGTTTTGAGTCTCCTTGAAACCTACATGTCATTATAAAAATGGCTCTTTGGCTACTCTTGTCTTAGTTTTTGAACAATATTTCTTATTTTTTCTTTTGAAGGTTGACTTTGTGATTTAACTCCTTGGTTCACTTCAACTTCTTCATGTTAGATCACTTTGAGTTTTTTGATTTAATTGGTAAAAGTTAACGTTTTGGTTTCCAAACGTGGAGATATTTAAATATAGAAGTCCTCTTTGGATGGTTCAGTTTTTAAGCTTTTTGTTGAATCAGAATGAGCATTCAAACTGTTGTTGACTGATTTTTTCATGTTGTTGCTTTTCTTCATCATACCTAGATTGGTTGAGGTTTTCATGCTATATGACATTTAATATATAGAACAAGTATATTTTTTTAATTAATTATTCTGTTTAATTAAACTTATTCTTACTTTATTAATTTGAGCCCAATTAAGAACTGATAATAGGATTGATTTAATTTTTGTTTACTTTTTAAAGTAAGAAAAACATGGATAAATAGTAAATATGTATTTATAATTCATAGTTGAATTAAAATTGATAATATTATGAGCAATAAGTTTAAATGCTTTTATAAACATAAATAGGTGATATCTAATAAAATTGATGTTCATTTCCGTGTGATTGGTTTATTCATAATTCTAGTGACATCGCTTCGAATGTGTCTGAATTGACCAGGATCCGTGTATTTAGAATGCAATGTATAAACACCATCTAGATTGAATAAGAAATAGAATTACCTCCTAAAGGCAAACTGGTAGCGATATCATATGGATGAACTTAACTAGCATTTTTTTTATAATTATCCATACTGCTCTGTCTTAAGTTATTTTAGGCAGTTGTCAATCCTGCATCTCCGCAATGAATCCATTACCTTTATACTTGAGTATTCTCTTTTGGATCGATGGCTACAATTAGATATAGGATTGATACAGTTTCTGTATTTTTCTCCTGTGATAACCGAAGTCATCTTCAAGCCTTAATCAAAGGGATCTCTCTCTCGACCCCCAGCTGCCTATGGCTTCTTCTTTTTATCCGACAGAATCTCTGCCACATTGTTTTCAGGTTGTTAAAAGGATTATTAGTATGTAGTAATGGCATAGAATTTATTATGTTATTCAGGATGGTTTCGAAATGTGGAACCAAAGTCTGTATAATTTTGATGCACTGCTCGATCCACCAATATTTATTGCATATTAGTTTGATCCAATTATTTGATTGATTTAGCTCCTGCAGTTTATGCAACGGTTGTATTGCATTCTGGGAAGCTAACTTTATCGCCATTGGTTTTTATCAAAGATCTACAATCCCCTAATTACATGTTCTGAATGTTTTTGGCATCAAACTTTGTCTGGAATTCAGTTCTGAATTCTCTCTTTTAATTTGTTTATATAATAATACATATCCATCATCTGGCACTATAATCTCTTTAGTAATATATGGTGGATTGCGATTCACTCTTGGCAAAGGAAGTAAGCATCCATTATCTCCTGGGATGGATATGCCTTCTTCAACTCCTCGTAACTGAAATTATATATCAAAATCCATTACTGATTTGGTGGCATTGGGATCTCTCTGCAATTATTGGGGGGCCAATCTATCTTCATACCAGTTGGCTAGATTATCTTTCCATAATACCCATTAAAGCAGTTTTGCTATACTCAACTTCATTTGGCCTTCTCATTTATATTATTAATTTATTTATTTATTCAAATTATATTATAAGTTCCTTCTTCGGACATCATCAATTAAGCATGTTCTTCTTCTAAACAATTCAAGAGTATTTTGCATTGTCTATCAGTCCATAGAAATATTATTAATATTTCAATTATACAAAAATAAGTTGCAAATTTATAATTAACAGAAAAATAAATAACTAATTGAATGGATAATTTGCTACCGACTGCCAATCCCATTTTATAAACCCCTTTTGAATTTACCAAACCCAAATTTGATTATCCTGGAGAAATTGCGTATAATATAAATCTAAATAGTCCCATGCCATTTTTTCATAATCACTACAAACCTCCCAAGAATGTCCTTAACTTCGAATGTTGTGATATAGATTTCTTTTCCAAAGAACCTACCTACTTTAAAACCCTACATGAATTACATGCCAATTCCCCTCTCATTTATTAAAGATTCATAACTTAATCCTCCAAGACTTAGAATTTTGCATCTCCATAATATCAAGGAACCCAATTGTTTTCCAAAGGCCCTGTTCATTTTAACTCCAACTTCGAATGTGGCAATCTCTATACAGTATATAAAGTTGCTGATAGAAAATATAATCTAATTCTGCATAATGACACTCAAACCAATGGCTGCACTAGATGGTATTTCTTTAGTGTAAGAACTCCTGAAAGAATGATGCTTCAATTGAACATTATCAATCTCAGTAAATAGGCATCCCAATTAAGCGTTAATCCCTACATCTACACTTCAAGAAGTGGCTGGTACAGAGGAGGCGAGAATGTCTAATACTACAAAAATCAATACTAAAAGAGAACGGATTATTACTACACATTGTCATTTAGTTATCTATTCGAAAAGGACGAGACCATTTATTTCGCCCCTTTCCCTCCATACGGAATCACTTCACTTTAATCCTTTCTAAAACCTTTAAGCAACCAGTAATAATCATATCTAATCACAAGAACTCTTCTAAAACTCAAGGCTCTCTCAGTTAATTAAGGCAACCAATACCCAGTATTAACTATGGGAAACTCAACCAAACCATTGATTGTTGTAGTTGCCAGATAACATCCATCTGAAGTTGTTACGTCCTATGTAGCCGAAGGAATGATTTCATTCCTAATGAGTGATGAAGGCAAACAACTAAGAGATAACTTTTATTTTAAAATCTTGCCAATGATGAATCCAGACGGTGTCATCCATGGAAACAGCAAAACCAATCTTTAAGGAATAGATATCAATTAAAAATGGCATAAAGTCAATAAATAAGTTCCCAGTGCTCAACACGTCAAAGCCATTTTAAAAAAGACAGGCCATCTATACTTAGCCCTAGATTTACACCAAACTTATAAATAGTATTAAAACAGCACTATCAATTTAGATATGGAATTTCATTTGTAGGAAGATATGATGAGAATCCATAATTTATTACTGCATTTTCTTAAATCTGTCAATATACTAATTTAGAACAAAGCAAATTTGGTAGGTCTAATAAAATGGAAAAAACTCTGCCATTTTCTTTAGGGTATTTGATATGTTTAATTATTTTAGTGAATTGCTTAATGTGAACTGTATATACTAAGTTAGAATTTCGGATCAGGCTGAAGGTTCAAAAGATTTCACAATCTCTATGTTGAAGAACATCGGTGAAAATTTATGCTAAGCAATTCTATTAACATTAAATAAATAAATGCAACCAATCAAATTGAATCAATGCTATGATATTTCAGCCTCTGAATCTTGTGAATCCAGTGATGAAACTTAACAAATCAAAAAGAAATTGAATAAAAAAAAAATGATCACAACAAACCATGGCAATGAGAATAACTTATCAATTGTGACTACTTCCTTAACAAAGAAGTCCATATTGGCAACGAAATTAAAACCTTTAAAACCCTTGTGTGATTTATCCCAATGTAATAATCATAATATATTTCAAGTGAATTAAACTTCGAACAAGAAAAGTGTTCAATAATCTTAATTCAAAACTAGAATTAGATCATTTTCTACTAGAAACCCGGAGTTCAATTTAAAACATTGATTGATATATTATTATAATACTTTATTAAGGATTTATTCGAAAAAAGAAATAAAATTAATATTAGACAATCTTATTGATAATTCTTAAATGTTATTCACTCACTTTGTTGACTTTGTAAAATGATATTGGGTTATGGCTATACCAAAGACTCAGGAGCATCTTGATTATTCTATTCTTCTTAATAAAGGGTTGGGAAACATAGTTTAGTGTGTCTTTTACAATAGTCATGAGTAAATGGTGATACAGGAAATCCGTACTTATTCATTCTGTCTTCCATTTCACTCAATCTTTAGGTAAATTGCCAAAATTATTCAGTTTATTTTGAATTAGGATTCCACAATCTAAGAGATACATTAAAAAGATTACGTGTCTCCTAATATTGAAGATCTCAAGAACATTTTCTAAAAATGAGTGTTCTGATTGTTGGTTTCACCCCATAATGTAGCTTCTCCTCCTAAAACCTTCCCTTAAAATCCTTCAGGTGGTACTGGAGACCATTTATAGACATCTTTCCATGTTTAGTAAGCATCATAGGAATTACCAAAGGCATTTCCAACTCCGACATCCAAATATAAGGGATGATAGTCGCTTAGAATAAAATCATTCTTTCTATTTTTCACATCTCCTAATTAGGATGTTAATCCCCACCAATGAATAATATCATCATCTTCAGCAGGGAGTTGATCTTGTTTATTATACCAATAAGCAACTCTCTTTGAAGACTTGACAACATTTTTCCAAATTTCTTTTTATCTTTATCTATAATAAACCTGAAGATCAAAGTAGGTTGCAATTCCATGTTCATTCATAAATTGTTTTATTGATGGTCTTTAATCAAAACAGGAATTACTAGCTTCATCTCCACCAAAATGAATAAATTGTACTTTGGCAAACATGTCATTGAAGTCTTGCATCACAGATTTCAAGACTTCATAAGTTAATTCCATCGTTGGGTCAAATTGTCCATATTGCTTTATGGTGCTGCCACATGTGATTATCATTTCTGCAAGTTCTGGAGATCTTCCCCAAGATTGAGCATGAGCAGGAGAATCTATTTCAGGGATTATCTACACTCCTCTTATGGATGCATATTCAATGATATATGAGACATCTGATTTTGTGAAATAAGCAGTATCCCAATGTTTGGATGTGTTTGTTATCTAACTATAATTAGTCAACAAGAGAGGAAAGCTTTCATCATCTGTTATATGCCAATGTAAAACATTCATCTTGTTTATTACTAGTGCATCTATAGTTCTTTCTAAAATCTTTAGAGGTAAGAAATGTCTGGCAGTGTCAACCATGACTCCTCTGTACGCATAAGCAGGTTCATCATAGATTTTTAGAGGAAGCTTCGAAATATTTAAGATAGATTACATTTTCTACTTCATTGTTTTCTGTGAGTTGATTTACTGTATCGATAGCTCTTGCCAAAGCCCAGTGATTGGGAGCATTGATAACAACATTTAGCTTCTCGTCTATTTCAACAGTGTATGCCTCTTGTTTTGTATCATTAACCCAATATAATTGCTCATCGTTTTGGAGATTGATATTCAATTTCAATGACCCTTCTACTTAAAGATTTTGTTTCTTGATTGACTCATCGAATTAACAATTTGAATTTTAAGTCATCAATTCATGATAATGACGTAACAATTACAGAACATGATCAGGGAAATCTTATTGAGATGAAAACTTAATTGCACATCTCTATAGAATTTTCACTGTCTTATCTCCCTTTTCAAATTGCTTAGGCATCGGCATTAAAGTGAAAGCAACCAGAAAGAGCAATTAAAAGTATAACAATGATGTCAATTTCATTATAATATTAATTACTTAATAATTAATTACCCTTGGAAATATCAATGCTTATCAACAATACAATCAAAGAACACACTTTAAACAGACTTCATTAAAGGAAAATTTCTGTATATCAATTGAGATTCCTAATTTATTGATTATAAATTTCGATTTTAATTTAAATTTATTGTCATCACATGAACCTCAGCGACAACAATTTAAACGATTATAAATTTCCAGGAAATCATTCATCTATGTCAAGTAACACATAACCAATAGCTAGATTCAAGTAGAATGTCTGAAATTTGTAATCCTTTTCACACTTACTTAATTGCAGGATAAATCATTCCCAAAAATTTATCTCCTTAAGAAATACAAGATATCCCTTTTGAAGAATAGAGCAATGAATATATTAATTCACCATAAATCGATTCATAAAAGCATATCGTACCATCTCTAAATCAGAAAGAGTGTACAGTAAATTTCATTTATTAATCATAGCCTACATCTGAATAAATAAGAGGAAAATAAGAATTATTTGAATAATAGAGCAATGATTAAAGACAATTACATTAGTTTATTATTATTAAGACTTTAGTTAATTCATTTGTTGAATAGCTAAAAAAAAAAGCCTATATTTTTCCAAAATCCTTTAATAAAGATTTTATGTTGATTACCTAGGAACGATACTTGAAAGACGTAAAACTTCAGTCTAAAGATAGAGAAGATAATAGCAGAAGCTTCTTATATAAACTTCCTATCATCCCACCTCAAGGAACATTTGTTTTAGTTTGGGAGTTGGTCTTATTTCTTCAAATCATGTTAATAACCTTTTGGGGGCCATTTTTGGTTTCTTTCCAACCAGACACAAGCACATTCATAGTTGTTTTTGAAAACTTCTTAAGATATATCGGTATAATAGATATCCTAATCAAAACAAATAAAAGTCTCCTTGTTTAAGGATCAATTCTAGAAAACAGAAAGTTAATACTAATATATTACGTAAAGACTGATTTAACATTTGATTTAATGTCTATAATAATTCTATTTGTTAATGACTCTAAATACTCGAATAGCATTGAATTAATTTCCCTTATTCTGGCTGGAATCTAAGTTTACATAACTATTAAAAGATTGAGACATTTTCTAGAAAAACTATAAGAAACTTTTGATGAATATTAAAACTTTTTTGAATTGACGAAAGTGTTGTTGATAGTATTTATATTTGCTCATATAACTGCTTGCATTTGGCAAAAGATAGCATTATTAACTGAAGAAATCGGATACAATACTTGGATGTCTTTGATGACTATGCATAATGATACTATTTGGATTAGATACAATTATTCTTTTTATTGGTCAACTATGACTATGGTGACAGTAGGGTACGGTGACATCACTCCTCAAAATCCTTTTGAAATGCTATTTTGTAACTTAACCATGATTGTTTCAAGTGCCATATTTGGCTATTCTCTTAATTCCATAGGAATGATTCTATAAAATATTAGTATCAAAGTTTAAAAATATAAGTAAGTTGTAATTTATATATTGATTTTAGAAAATTTTCAGTATAAATGAATAGATATATGAATTAGAATTAAGTCAATTAATAATTGCAGAGCAAAATCAGAAATTATTTAAAATTTTATTTTGAGCAAGATAGTGGCAAAAATGATGATGAAGTATTGTAAGATTTTTATGAAATTAGATCTCTTCGATCATTTAAAAATTGACTCCTAATTTAAGATAAGAATTAATTTATGATATATAGAGCAAACCCTTGTAAAATTGCTATTTTTTTAAATATCATTTATCTTAAGAAATTTAAAAACAGATAGCATTCTCTTTGTAATCTCATCATTTGAATCCATAAGAAATAATCTACAATAAAAACTGCATTGAAGATGACTTATCATTGTATATATTAGTAAAGGGAGAAGTGAGTCTAATAGATTAGTAAAGTGGTTAAACGTTGTGTATATTGCATAAAGGAGACTGCTTTGGTGAATATGAATTCTTTACAGGCGAATAAAGAAAATGCACAGCAAAAAGTATGACATTTAGTCAAATCTATAAAATCTCTCGAAATTAAACTTTAGAGATTCTAAATTCAAATTAAGAAGACAAGGAAAAGTTTTTTAGCATTAAAGACCATCTATTATTGAAGATCCCTTGCCAACATTCAGGATTAAAATGTAATTGCTGTCAAAAATCTACACATTTCATAACTGATTGTCCATATGTGAGATATATTCCAGACTTAGAGAAACTGATAAAGAAGGAAGGCTTTCTATTTTAGCAAAGGAAATATTAGAAAAGAACCAAACGAAAGAGTGGAAATTCATTATTTAAATTAAAAGTATATTATTGAATTAATTAGAAAACAGGAAAATTGTAACTAGTGTGTCAAATTTATTACTGAATCAAAACTATTTGAAAATGATGAATTATCTGAATTGTTTCATCCTCCCTCTCCAGATTCATCTGAAACAAATCAAGCAGAAGATAAACCTGAAGAGAAGGAGAGTTCACTGGAAAAGGTTTATACAAGAAATAGATCAAGATTTAAGTCAATGTCTTCAGAGAAGCCTTAATCATAACAGCATCAACAATATTAAGAATAGAAAATATCTTTAAAATTTTTGGATAAAACTTATAATAGGGCAATGTCACAAGAAAAATCGAAATAAACAATTCGTAATAGTGAAAAAAATGGTCTCTAAATATCTGTTACTAAAATAATGCCAGAATATGAGAAAAGCTCTTATGAACCTACGATCAGAACAAAGGGCAAAAAAAGTGTAGAAAATACAGATATCCATAGTAATTTGTCTGCAATTAACAATGATATCTAAAATTAGCAAGGAGAACTAAAAATCAATGATATCGTCCCTTAATTTTAATGCTGCGATATTGACAGGATGGAATCATTTAAATACTACTTTAGTCATTAGAATTTTCCATAAATTATTCAAGATTATTAGAAGTCTTAAAGATATATAAAAATATTATCTAGAAAAAATATTGGAAAGTATGCTATTTACTATAAAGCCAAAAAGTTCAAAACCTAATACAAATTAAAAAGATTGAAATAGGTAGCAAGAAGTTCACAGGTAATATAGTTTTAACCAAGAAGAAGCAAATAAGCAAAAACTAGTATCTTCTATCAACCTCCACCTTTATCACATGAAAAATGATGAAAGTGTTCAAATTTGTATTTATAAATAGAATTTTAACTGTGTCAATGCCTAAATTTTTAAAACATGTTTAAATCAGATATATTGATGCTTTTTCGCATTTTCTTTTACTAATTAGCGTCTTTAGTACTAACAAATCGAACCTTAGAGGGAGTTCGTTCATCGTCAGTGTTTTAATATGTCCTTTATTTTTCAAGGTTTATTTTAGCTTGATGTATAAAGTTCCAGTCATCTTAAGAATCTTCATCATTTAATTCATTTTAATATTTATCTTATGTGTGTTGTCTTTTATTTTCTTTTTTCTTTAGAGCGCTTTTTAAAGGTGGCTCTTTAGTTTAACTATCTCTTATATTGCTACTATATTAGCCAATAGAGAATTATAGTTATTTGATGATCTCTGACCTCCTTTGAAGATATTCTAAAATAAATTAGTTTGATATACATTTATCAAGTTCCTCTAATTTTTGGTTAGTATCCGATCTGATGTTTTGTAATTTTTTATTTAAAATCTCCTATTCTTCAAGAATAATTTATTCCTGCTGAATTATTCTCTAAATTTTAACTGTTTCTTCTTCATTTTCTTTTTAAATGCTTAATTATCGAGATCCGTTATTATATTTTCGAGATACATCTTTAACAGAAAAATCAAAGTTGTCTGATAAAAGTGAAAAGCAACTTTTTTATTAGTTTTCGTTAGGTGATAGTTAGGATTAGACTGGTGTGTTACAACGAAGGACATCCCCTAAAATTGCTGGCGAGGAGCATTTATATTTTTGGAACATGTAGTAATCTATCAATTATTATATAAACTAACAAACCATCATTAATTGCATGTTTTGTGCTATTTATAGGAATTGCCACATTAAAGTCAGTACTCTATATTAGCCTTTTCATTTCGAATTGTGATGATATACTTATATATTGTTATAATTATTACTAAATTATATTATCTATTTTCATTTCATAAAATATTAATTACAAATCACATTTAAATCACCTCCTCAAAAGAATTTCAAGCAGAGCTTTTTTGAGAAGGCTCTTATGTTTTTTGAAATTGTTTACTAAATCCACTCATTATAGGTTCATTCAAATGTGATGCTCTTTAGTTTCTGCTATTATATAAAATTAATAAAGCTTGATCGTGAACATTATTTTAATCTATCTTTTTGACATGATCCTCTAATCTGACAATAATATTTCGTTTAGACTCTAATTTCTTAGATGAGCATAATCCCATTTTCTATATTAATTTTACAAATAAATAATAATTTATATTAATTATTTTATTAAATGAAAACAAATCGATTTTGACTAATTTTTATTAATATCCTTATACTCAAATACTAAATTATTGTATTTTTATATCTTTCCATAATAAATAAATATAATTAATGGAAATAACCTTTTGGAAACACCCCAAATTAATAGGTTTCATCTCAATATTGTTCTACAAATTGTCTATTCTCTTTAAATTAGCTTCTCTTTGTGATTTAAAAATAGATTTATTTTTTTGTTTTCTTTGAGAGCTTTTATTTACTTATTTTACTATTGATTAAAAATTACTTTTATAGAAGGATAATTCTTATATTAAATAGATTGTGGGTGTAATTTATATTTACGATTCAAATATACTTATATTTACTCATTATTCTAAAATTAAATTTTACAAATTCTAAAAGATGTCAATGTAAATTATTAACAGTGATAGAGGGCACATTTCATCACCTATTTTGGGACCTTCATTAGAAATGAATTATCTCCAACTTGAGGCTTACTAAAAAGGTTAAGAAATTGATGTGTCTTCACCATCTGAGATATCATAAAATAATGCAAATGAGAGTAAGACTTAATAATTTGATTTACTAAAGGCTGGTTTTCTTAATAAAGGCTCAAAAAGCTTTAGTCGTAGATTGCCAAATCAAACAGTAATTAGTAATTTAATTTAATTAGAAAAACCATCAAAAGACTGACAGTGTGTCAATAAAGAGATAGGAAAAATCAACATTGTTAAAGAACTTTTTTATGAATACTTTAGTTTAAAAGTTTAAGAATAATCTATTATAACAATCATATGTACTATCATCCAGTATGAAACACCTCTTATAATCTGAGTAGTATTTATTAGAAGATGCATCTAAAAAAAAGAGAAGTAATTTTATTTTATAAATTTTAGAAATTAATAGTTAAAGCTCAAATAGGTTACTTTTTCTTCCAGGTGACAAAACTATTATAATTTGGGATAAATTATCTCTTATTATTAACCTATTTAGCTTATGGTTATGTCCTATTTTATTTGCTTTTAATGAAAACTCATCAATATTCGAGAGCTTTGAAATAATAATCATCTTATTTTTGTGTTTTGATATACCAATCAATTTAAATAGAGCAATAATTGATTAGGGGGAAATAATTGAAGAGAGGAGAACAATATTAAAAACATATATTATCAATCATATCTATAAAAATATTAGTAGCATTATTTTATGGATATTATGCTATAATCAATTTTATTAAATAAACGTTGCCAGAGAATTCATATTTATTTTGTAAATTGCAATCCTAATTATTTAAATATCAAATAATTTCTAAAAATATACTGAATAATTATACCTTAAGGAAATAGCAAGTAATGTCAAAGACATAATAAGTTTAATAATATTAATCTATTATTTTGCCCATTACATGGCATGCATTTGGCACTATATAGGAGTGAACACAGACTCTATAGGCACAACATGGTTAATTAAACGTAATCTGTTAGACGAAGGATTTTATATAAGATACAATTAGTCATTTTATTGGGCTTCAATGACAATGGTAACAGTTGGATATGGAGATATCGTACCTTAAAATTACGTTGAGATGGCTTTTGTAAATATTATGATGCTAATCTCAAGTGTAATGTACGCATATTCTCTAAACTCTATTGGCATTATATTAAAATCTTATAATGATTAAAAATAAAAATAAACGTACCTAAATTTTTATTTTATTAGAAAATCTTTAATTGTAATTAACAATTATATGAGGAAATACTAATTGGATGAAACAATATAATCAAGAGTTAGAAATTATATCAAATATCAAATTGATAAGGAATTTCAAGAAAATAGTGAATATGTATAATAAATAATCAATGATTTACCAAATGGATTAAAATCAGAGTTGAATAGAGATTTACAAACAAAAATTGTTTCCAGTATTAAAATATTAAATCAACAATTTTCAAAGCAATCCCTGAAAAATCTTAAGGATGAATTAAAAATCGTTAAAATAACCCCAAATGATTATGTATTTCATAAAGGTGAAACCTAAGATTAATGTTTGTAATTAAAACTTATTTAATTAGATATTATATTGATGAAGGAGAAATTGATTTGATAGAAGAGAACAGTAAAAAAGTATTAGCAACTTTTAAAAAGGGGGAAACTTTTGGTGAATACCAATTTTTTACTGGTTTATAGCCTAAATTTTCAGCTTTAAGTGTTGGATTTTGCTCCTTATATTAAATTAAAAGATCTGAATTTATCAATTTAATTAGGTATAATTAGAAGGATTTTGAAAAATTCCATAATATTAAGGATACTATTGTTTTTAATAATTCATTCTCAATCTTATTAAAAAATTGCAAAGTTTGTAAGTAGTTTAACCATCTAACAATTGAGTGTCCATTGTTAACCTACAAACCTAATTTAGAACAACGAATCAAAAAATCTTTATATCATTCATATTAAGAAAGAGATACGAATTTTGAAAGGCTTAATTAAAAACTAAATGTTAGAATCATGCATAAGGACATATAAGGATCAATTAAATCTTATTAATAATAAAGTTATGCTAACGAATAAATTGATGGCTCTTCTGTAAAAATTGATACTCCAGATATTTTGTAAATTAGCAAATAAACTACGAAAAAAAAATTTACTATCCAACCTAAATTCCTCATCAAAGATTCTAATGTCAATTAAGAAGATTAAATAATTAATTTATAGGAGGTTATCATGCGAACAGATGCAGAAAGAAGGAAATCTAATGCAAAGACAATATTTTCTAAAAAGGTGGAGTATAAAAATAAGCCAACCATTGGACTAGTTAGTTAATCAAGGGATACTCCAGTTAATTGCTCAATTCATGAAATAGCAGGTTAGATGGGCTTTGATTAATAATGTTTCTTAGATGAATTTTAACTGGAGCTACAATTTCATTAGAATGATATTGATAAAATTTGTTTTTATCAATATTATAAAAAACATGATAATGCAGACAGCATTATAAGAAATTATGAGAATTTAAGGAAAAAAAGAGGTTCTCAGCTATTTTCTAAAACAGATATAAACGCCTACCTTTATACTTTTAATTAAAATGTAGTTTATAAAATAATGAAGTTCAGGTTAATTAACAGAAGATGATTGCATATTATATTATTGACATTTTTAAACAAATTATGAAATTTTAAAGAATTGTCTGACTCAAATAACTAGAAGATATTTAATCTTAATATACTTTCTCAAGCGAAATTGTCATTCAAATTTAGGTAGACTTGGTCTGTTAATAGACTCTCAGATAGAACTTGTGTTTGCCATATTTGTTGCACTTTTTGTAATTGTGTAAATTTAAAAACTATCCTTAGCCTCCTATAATAGTCATAATATAGAATTTATATAATATAGAATTTTATATATGTAATTTTTAAACGATTAATTTTGAAAGATAATGTTAGTATTAAATTAAAATTTATTATTAAATTTTGATATCTTTACGGTTACTTATATTAAGTGTTTCTTTTTCTCTAAAGGTAGGGGAAACATCAATTTAAGAGATAAACTCAAATTTAATTATTATTTTTTCTATATTAATTATTAATTAATGTTAATATTGATAGTGTTGGCATTTGCTTATGCTCAAATTCAGGATGAAAAATAACTGACAAATGCAGCTTGTGTTATATTTTCGAGATATTACTTGCAATCTAATTAAGAGTTAGCTGGAAGAGCAATTGGAGAAATGGTTCACTTATAATAATTATCAAAAGAAGAAGCAGTTAACTCTGCTATTGCATCCTTGGTTGAATCCTGTTTAGATAGCATCTCTACTTAGGAAACAATGGAGGTAAGGATTACGATATTCAATAGATTATTCAATAATTGCAATCATAAAAAATAAATTTGGAGGCACATTAACATTTGGTTGAAAAGGCTGATATAAAGAAGTACGGATCAAAAAAGAAGAGTGCAAAAAAGAATGAAATTCTCAAAATAATTAAATCCATTGATGAAATGGCTAATCAATAGAAAAGAGATAATGAAGGGGGGGATGATGGAAATGATCAATAAGATTCGGGAAGAAAGAGACAGCGTAATAAAGGTAAATAATAAGAATTGCCTGACATGTCTATTTTCGAAGTGACAGAATTGATAATTCTCTCATCATTTGCTTTGGTGGGTATTTTACTTTCATATATAAGTATGTAATTTCTTAGATTTTTAGTTTGCTGCATTCCAGAAAAAAAGAAGAACTAAAAAAAAGAGAAGACCAAAGTGAAATCAAAGGAGCAAGACGACAATAAATCGTCACCTAAAGAAGAGGAAGAAAATTTAGAAGAAGAGGTAAGTTCTTCTAAGGAAGTAGCAGATAATAAGGAAAAAAAGAAAGCAGAATGAGTGTATACTTATATTAAGTAAAACAAAAAATATTAGTTAGTTAACATCACTATTTCTTAGTTAAATCGAATCTAACCTTCTTTTTTATTTGAATTTGCTATTATTACGTATTTGACATATAATGTAATTGATGCTTTAAAATCGTTTTTTTAGTATTCGTATCGTCTGGACGAGATTCCGAGGATGAGCTATCCAGTGATCGAGACGAATGTATGTATATTTGCTCATCATCCATATCCCCAAGTAATTTTTATACAGATTTGCATTCACAATGAATTTTCAACACTTGACATGAATAACAAATTCCCATTTATCCTTATAATTTATCCTTACTAGTATATAACTCTTTTGATATAGTAGGAGTTCCATTTTGAATTTATTAATTATTCTCCTCTGACTTAACCATTTTCAGATCTAATTCACCTCCTCTTTAAAACAACTCTGTACAACAGACAGCACCCATAGGTTATATTATTATATTTATATTTCATAATATTAATTCACTTTTTACTCAAAAGTAATAATTAGATATCTTATATTTTTTTTTGGCATTGATTTATTTTTGTGTTTATAGATAAACTGTACTTACTTCTTTAATGAAGTATTTATTTTTATAATGCTTAAATTTGTCTTTAATTATAATCAAATTTATCGATGTTCTTATGCAATTATTTTAAATTCATCGAATTTTACATTAAGACTTGCTTGATTTCAGTCAATTAAGTCTTGTCCTTATTTACATTAAAATTCTTAAAATATTATAATAATTCTTACTGCAAAAAAGTCTTTGGAAGAAGATTAAATAAATGCTTAATCGCCATCAATGGATTCAGAATGCTCTCTCCTTATTGTTGGTTTGTTTTAGGTTAGATTCGTGCTTTAGGTAATTGTTTTTGCATGTCTCGCTTTGATTTATGTGACTATTCTATTATCCAAAGACTCTTTATGAGAAACTGAAAAAGATATATTTTTATTGGGTGATAATAATGCTCTCCAAGTTGCCATGTACTTTTTCGATATATATTAATAATTTTATATATATATTTGTTTTATAAAACAATAAGAAATAATAGTTTTTGTATCTTTACTTGAACATCTAATTAAATAATTAGTCTCATAACCCAAAAACTATATAGCTCAATACACATCTAAATATAATATGGTTTAAATAATTGTTCATTTCTTTAAATGGATTTGAAGCCTAGTTACAAAATTTCTTATGCAACTAATCAAGGATTTTGTGAAAGGAATGTGTAAGAATTCATTTAGTCCATGTGCATTGGAATTTGGTCCCAAAATTCCAGTTACTATAAATTAAGCTTTTGGATATTATTATTTAAGTGTATTCATAAGGGGAATCGAACTAAGGTTTATGCATTTTTCTTGTAGAACAATTAGGAAGCACTTTAGATGAGTTAATCCAGATATGGTTAATTTTATGGGGCATTAAATCCTGAGTCATACCTAATACTTCAGCTGCCTTTTAAGCTTGTAAATATCTTCTCTTGGAATATTGACTTGGAAGTCTTCAACAACTTCTCCAGTATTAGGATTATCAATTCGATCTAAAAGGAGTCTTTAAATTCTAAAAGATGATGGTACGACACCTGAGGCATCACCTGAATGCACTCTTTCATCTAGGACTTAACAGTGACACATGCACCTACCATAACTCTCAAACTTGTAGTAATCCATAATTATTCATAGTTGCCACATCCAGAATTTAGACATATAGCCAAATCAACTGCTCCTATTTTTCTTTTAATTTTGCCAAGTAATGATCAACGTGTACAAATCCACTTTCTTCCTCTGCTTCGAATGTCATAACAATCATTGGATGCTTCAAACCCAATTCCTAGATTGTCTTCACTGCTATTACAGCTCCAAGGATTGAATAATGATCATCTGCTCCTCCCTCCTCTTGCATATAATTTATCATCCACTATATTTGGTTCGTAGGCACTCAAGCCCTCTTTCCAACCATTGAATGGTGGCTGTTTATCCATATGACAGAAGAATAAGACTGTACCATCAGTTTAACCCTTGGATCCATCTACTTCAACAAATAAGAATGGGCAATATCCCTCATCTTATAGAAGCTCTACTTTAGCGTCTAATTATTATTAATATATAGTTTAAACTCTTTAAATTTGCTGCTAAACATAATCTCTGAATTCTTATGATGTTTTTAACAACAATCCATTTGTCAAGTATTCTGGGTCAAACAACCTTGATTGACTAGGAATCTTGAGTTCCTCTATGAATTTTTGCAATGCATCATCAAAATGCTTATTTACCAATTAGTTGATTTAACAGCAGGGATTTCCTATTATTAATCCATACCTATAATTATTTAATGATTTAATCACGCCTGCAAACTTTGATATTAATTACACTTTTTATACACGCTTTTCAGAAAGGCGAATCTTTATCTGATAAATTCATAAGCAAATTAGAGAAGATTTGTGAAAATTAACAATGTTTGCATTTACCAAAGGGATTTAATGACAATTGCATTAATTGGTGCGTATCATCCTTATGTTTCCTTAACACTTATGAAGAAATTCCAGAAGATGGAGAAACAGATCACAAAAAGTATAAGCTTTGATTACATCTTAGAAATATGTATTTTAAAAATTGCGTAAAGAATATCCTTAAAGACTGCCAAACATCCAAAATACCATTTGATAATTGTAGAGATAATTTACATATAGATTTTACCAAATAATAATGAATATACATAAAATCACTAATAGAAGTCATACTCATCTTCAAATTACTTTTCATCCTCCAAACAATCATCAAATCCCCAAATACCAATCCCATTGGCTTTGGCATCTAACTCACAATTTTAGAATTGTTTCAATGGATTATAAGGTTGTCTATGATCGATACGCCCTAAACTGAAATCATAAGCACTATTTATTACCCTCTATCTAGTGCAATTTTATTAATTGTAAACTATAATTCATCCAATTGCCCTTAATGTTATAATGTTACAAAATGCCTATTTGCACTTTTTTCAGTGTATTTAACTTTGCAATCAAACGACTGTTCTAATATCAATTCTCTCAAAATATCAGCAGCTTCTTCTGAAAATTCATGCGTTTGAGGTGGAAATCTTAAATATGCCAAAGAACACATCCTTGTTTATTAAGGGATACTAGTAAATTAAGAGGGAAGCGCTCCCATTTCCTGGTATCCAACTTCATCATTATTACCATAATCAATGAATTTAACCAAAAATCTATCATTCTTGAATGCTTAGATGACTTAGGCTCTATAGACTCTGTTGTCTTCTGAAAATCTAGCCAAACAAAGTGTTCCTTTTTTAACTGGCTTTTTTAAAGGCTATAATAGAGATATTAAAAGATATAGTTACAATTAACTCTGCATTTTCAATTTAAATTTCTAATTCTTCAAATTCAGGATTGTTTTGTCTTCTGATATAAAATTCATTAGAATCATTAACCACAGTAACAATCACTTACTCTATTAACTAATTATCGTGTTCCTAAATGTTTTCTATTGCATTTACTTACTTTTTCAATGACTACTTATTGTGGATAAAATCCAAAATGAATTGAGCGTATGATTCAACCCAAAATCCTTTTTTATCTTCTTCTGCTTATTTTTAGGCTTCCTCATACCTATCATAATAATCTGTATTGCTTTTTATAAATGTTAATCCTTCTGATAATAAATTTATAGTAAAATCACTGTCTTTGTTATTCTTCTTGAGATAAATTCTACCATAAAAATGGTTTTCTTAAATGTTGAAATGTTCAAAATACACCCAAACATTTCTTTACATCAATAGATTGTATGTATAATTATACCTTTGTTCTTGATATTTGGCTATTGATGGAAAACTTGTTTCAAATTCATGTAAATTAGTAATTCCATTTATTTAAAAGTTGACCATAGAATGATATTTAATGATAGTCATTTATAACGATCCATTGAGGTGAATTTTATCGATCAAAACTTCTAATAAATAATCCTCCTTTATACTAATCCCAGTGCTCACTCCAGATTATTTGGCACTTTACTTGTCTCTCTAAATGTTTGACCAAATTATTTCATTTACACACTTTCCTGATTTGGAGTCTGTTTAATCTTCAACTCTCCAAGTTAATTCTTGACTATATTATCCTAGTTTTTTCTATTTTGCAATCTAATTAATTTATATAAATTATTAATATTTGAATTTGGATAGGCCAGGATAGCTCTCTTTTGGTGTAGCCCATCCATTCGAAATAAGTTCTTCCTCTATATCAAGATTGTTTTCAATTAATTGAATAGAATACAAAGGAGTGTTGTCGCCAACCTATAAAACATACACTTATTTTCCAATCAATAATTTCCTTGTAAATTCTTTTGCTTCTTAGCCTTCAATGAAAATCCTATCTAACTTTATATTCAACTTTTCTGTATTAGTTTTTATATAGAATTAATTTGCCTCAATAATTTCAACTACTTATCCTTATAATTAAGAAGTGACAGAGTTTAGCATACCCCTATCTAATTCTCCAGCTTTCCACATTCCTAAATTTTATCGTTTGGCTTCTTCTTAACACTAATACAATAACTAGAATGAGTTTTGAGATAAGTTTAATTTTCTAGGTTTTTATTAAAATAAATACCCCCAATCACTAATAGAAGCAAACCCTTTTTGAACTAAAGAGGAATAAAATTCATTGCTTAATTCTATATTTGGTTAGTTTGTGAAATGTAATTCAGCTCTTAAAACAGGTATGTTTATGACATTTTCATTTTAGAGAACACTCATTATCGATGTTCCTTTAAAAGTGATATTAAACTCTTTGTTTAGCCATTCAGTCTATATCAATTTTGTGTACTCTTGATCTTTAATTCCAAAATCTGAATGTATACAATATAGATACCATCTATTGTTATTGCATTTGGTACTACAGAGATGATTGTGTCATTTTAGTAAAGAAAGTTTAAACTATTCTATTCAAAAGATACCAAAATAGCTTTAAGTGTCTTACTTCTCTTTTCTCTAATAAACTCATTAACCACTGAAGATTCTTTGGGTGCTTAATTCTTTACACCAACTAGATTTAATTATATCTCTTCACTATCCTCAATATTTTGAATGAGATCAATTCCATTCAGTTAGATTTGATTCGATTTAGATAAATACAATGCATCCTTGTTGACATATGATAATTATTCCAAAAACCTTTAGAGAGACTTTTACTTCACAATCAAATTATCTTTTGTTAAAAAGTTGGGAATTCCATCGCCTACAATTGCAATCTTTTATTATTGTGTTTAGATCATAAATTGATTTGGAGAGAGAATAGATAAAATTTTGCAGGGTTATAATGCCATTTTAATATTTTTAATATCAAAACTAATGTATTGTAAATATAATTCAATATTCAAATGCAAGAAATGCAATTATTTATTATTTAATAAAAATACTAACATTCTGATAATGTGCGGACGAATATTTCAGATTCATAACATTGCTCAATTATTGCAATTTGCTTAAACAAGAAGGGTTAGGAATGTTGCCAATTTTAACCCAACTTATAACATGGGACCAACAAATTATATCCCGGCTATTCGACATGTTGAGGATGATGACAATTTCTAAGAGTACGAAGAACCAAATAATGTGGAATAAGAAATGAATTAATCTTCAGACATTGAACAATAGATTGAGGAGTAAAGCTAAGAAGTTATCGAAAAATAAAAGAATAAAAGAGGACTTGATTTTTTTAAATGGGGATTCTAAACAAAGTTCAATCTTATCATCAATGCCAGAATAGAAGAAATGCATGAGAAACATACCTTTAAACCATTCTTAGATAAAAAAAGATGTGTTATAATTGCTGATGGATACTATGAATGGAATAAGAAAAAGGAGCCATTTAAATTCTCTACAAATAAACCCTTATATTTAGCAGCTATGTACACAGATGATGATGAAATCTTCGTTTTAACTAGAGATGCTTTTGGAGAATATGCTAAGGTACATGATAGAATGCCTGTCCTATTAGAGGATGACGAAATCGATCTCTGGATCAATCCAAAAGTGTAAGCAATTATCATTATTATTGTAGAGGCTTCTTTGACATTATAGACAAGAAAATTTTGAATTCCCAAAAGAAGATTTGGGGATAAGTACAAGTCACCAAAGTTGCTCCATATGTTAATAATATAAAAGAAAAAAGTGAAAAATGTTTAATCACACTCGAGGAGTACAAGGATCAATAATTTAAAAATGGAATTGGCAAGTTTTTTTAAAAGAAACAAACCTAAACCACATAAGAAACACAAGAACCCTAAGATAAAACAAAAGAAAAAATAACTAAATCTTTAGATGATTGATTATATAATAATTAATAATCAACTTAGTTTTGGGAAATTATGGTCATCAACTACAATTCCCTAGTGAGCTGCTCTAAATTTACTAGAGTTTTGTTCTATATCATCATAGTACATGTCTTCCTACTCATCTTCATCAACTCCATAGTCTTTCATATCATCTTGATAGGTCCCCCAATTATTTTTTCCTGTTCCATTCTTTCTCATCTCTTTTCTATTAACATATCACTCGTTATGATACCCTCTTCCTGTTCCAGATTCTCTATCCTTTGGATGTGGATCACTAGAAATTCCTTTTCTTTTTATTTCTAGATAAATCAAGAAAAATATTATACCTTCTTTGGCTCTCTAATGTGATTCCTTTTCCACTATATCGACTTCCATTAATAAGGGTTCTGATTTCTTGCCTATATTAGTTAGCAGAGATGAGTACCTTTAGACATTTGCTTTTTGAACTGGTAATTTATTATAAAAAATTATTAAATTAAAGATACTTCATTATAATTTATATATTGAACTAAACTTTGGCTAAATAATTAAGAACTCCGAAATCATCAGAATATATATTCCTTTTCTTCATATTAATAATAAGTGATATATTTATAGTAAATTTATTACTGTAAACAAATGTACAATTAAATTTAAAAATAACAGCTATTTATTATCAAAAATGGTTTATTGAAAATTATAAATTAGAGAACAAAAGAATTTTGTTAAATTTTTGAAGCTCTAAAAAATGTAGATTTTTTGCAAATTCATTTAAATGTGAAATTCTTTTCTGGAATTAATTTTAACATACATATTAATTATAAAATATAAAATTAATGAGATCAAATTCTCATTAGATAATAGGAGAATTACCTTAAGTCAATGCTGATCCGAATCCTGATATGTAAACAATAGAAATTAAGAAAGAAGAATCAAGTAAGTAGAGTGTATTTATGCTAGCATATCGTTTTTCAAATACTAACATTTGCAATATTGAACAACTTATTTTACATTCCATTTATGAAGGAAATATAGATTAATTAAAATCTATGAAAATTCATCTTAGAGATTTAAATTATTTAGAAGAATTTAGCGAAGATTTAATAGATAAATAAATATTCCCTTTGGCATTGGCAGTTGCGACAGGTTAGTTAGAAATAGTAAAATTGCTCTTACAAAACGAGGCAATAGAAGTGAATATGGTTAGTAAACCATAAGAATTGTCAGCATTAAAATTAGCTTGTAGCAATGGATATTATGAGATAGCTGAACTTCTAGTTTAATAAGATGCAAATGTAAATCAAGCAGATTCAAAGGGATCTGTGCCTTTATTTTATTGTTTCAGCAGATTGGAAGAGGAAACCAATTATTTTGAGAATAAACAATTGTGTTTTAAACTGGCTGAATTATTGATTGACAATGGAGCTAATATTGATGCAGTAGTAAATGCTGAAAAAGGATACACTTTATTGATGCTCTTTTGTGCAGTCAAAGATAAATTAAATCCAAGAGATCTAAGAGTTAATTTGGATGTCATACGATTTCTGCTCTCAAGAGGAGCATCAAAAGATAAATTAAGTACTAAAGGCAAGACAGCATTACAATTGTCAAAGCATCATTGTGCAAAAGATGAAGTCTAGAAAATGCTCAAAGATATCAAACCTACTCAATACAAAATATTCTCTCATCGACCATAGATAATTTAATAATAAGTTATTAAATAAGAAGGAGTCAAAGCATCTGGAAATAATAATGGAATGTGTTGTGGTCTATTATCATCTAGTCGAAATAGACCTCAATCAGAAAAATCATGGTGGCAAATTTTTTGAATTAACATTGAATTTTATATATTAATATTCGCTTTCAAATATATGCTAACATTTGATATCAATAATTTATACTTTTTATCAATTTTATAAATAATAATTATTTATACTTAGTTTTCATATAAGAATCAATAAAAGATGCAAAACGAAAGAACTTCAATTTCCCTTATCTTTAATTAATACTAAATTATATAGTCTAATTTTATTATTATTCTCCAATTTTATCTAATTATCCACTCAAAATTTATTGTTATCAAAAATACTTGATAAACAATAATAGTACTATTCATAAGATTAAATGAAGTTGATACATAATTGATTTAAATCATCTTTAAAGCATAGTATAAGCATTAAATGAATAATCTATGGTAGATTTTGTATCAATAGGCCTCAATAAAAAGGAATATATATTTGAAAGGGAATCAGATAGATTATATAGATTAAATAAATTCTAAAGAATACGCAGATAGATTATAACTCATATCCTGTAATTTAAACTCAATGGTAAATTTTGAGAAAGTTCATCCTAAGAATGTAAAATAAATATGTTATTAAGAAATAATATTTTTAATGAAAGGGTAATGCAATCAAGAATTGAAAAAAATAGAATCCATGCTAGAAAGTAGAATTCATCTTGAATAGGCTGGTTAGTAAGTATGTTCGCAAAATTCAAATACCATTTTTTTATTAAAGAATTTTTTAGTAAAAATAGGAGATTCCTTTTAAAAATATTTTAACTTAATACAAATTTTAGAATCTAAATTTACATTATAGATGATCACTTTGAGTTTTAAGGCGTATCAAAATTATATTTAAATATTACTTTATAGAAATTATTTGATTACCTGTGTCACTTTAAAAATGAAAAATATTAATAGAAGACTTACAATTATGATGAGCCATTCTGATGATAAATAATATGCAGAGTTGTTTATTCAGAGATTAATTAAAATTTTATCAAAGTTGCTATTAAAGTATTCATTTTTCGTAAATAAATGTCAATCCCCTAATTTGAAATGTGAGTATGCAATCATCAAGAAAATGGATTATTGATTCAAATAAAATTTCTATACCACCTGAATTAATGATTGTAACTATTTTGAATTAACAATTTAATAATTTTATTGGAATAATATAATTTGATATTGGATGTTTTTCTTATATATGGAAACTATTTACAAAGCCTAAATCATAGGTCCACAGATCTATTGATAAATGCTCTGGGGAATCGAAGTTATCAGTAATTTAAATTAATTATTACAAATTTTACCAAGTAATATAACTGATAACATCTTTGAAAAAAACTGATAATTTAAAAACTTTAGTTGAAATACTCTTCTACCTCACTTATTACATTGTAGATATATGCAAACCATAGCAAGACTCTTTATGGTAAGTCTGCAATAGAGTATGCTAATCAGTTGTGATCACATTAATAAAACTACAAAAATATTTAAAAAATATATAGTATTTTAATAAGGAAATAAACCGAAAATTCTACTTTAAATAGTAAAATGAAATCGATTAAATAATAATTAAAAACTTATGTGGAGTCAGTCCTTCCCCACTGCTTACATCCAAACCTAACAACCAATTATATATCCAATTTATTATGTGCCTGTTGTTTAAGGATACTTAGGATAATAGAACTCTTGCTTCAATAACTAATATTATCCTCTAGGATAATGTTAATAAGAGAAGAGTATTGTTGCCGATGTGTCCATATAACCTACTGAGCACTCCTAAGTTCAATAATAAGAGAAATAACAAGCAGAAAATGTTGATTCAATAAAAATGACAAATAAACTGAAATCAAAATAATATGTATCAGCTCTAAATTTATCGCTAAAATCAACTAACATATCTAAGAATTATGCAAAAGCTATAATCTTATTTATGATAAGATAGAGAATTGAAATATTAAAATACCTAGGGGAAAAATAAGGAATAGAATTTTTAAAAATCTTAACATCTTTGAAAAATAATATAAAAAATATTAGGCATATCAAGAAGTATATAAAGGAAGATAGCCATTTGCGTTTATTTAGAATAATAGCAAATAGATTTTTAAGAAAAGAAGCCGTTGGATATGTATATAATTCAAATATAAAATCAACAAGTCATCACCTTAAGTAAAGAAACGAAATAAGACTTAATTTATATTAATGCTGAATAAAGAAAATTTAAAGCAAATGAATTCTTAATATTCATATATTTATACAGATATTGTCGAATTACAATTTGATAAAAAAATACATCAATCTCTCAAATAATTTTTCTATTGCTATATAGTTAATCTTCTTTGTTTCTTTTTTGATCTTTGTTATTTAATAGATGTTTAAATGTCCATTTTACATCAGAATCCATATAAAAAAGAATAACAAATTAGAATTTGATAATTTTCCTTCATGCTCTTCGTATTGATTAATCAGTAGCAAATTGTAAATTAATGAATTTTGATCAACTGGCCTAATTAAAATGAAGTGTAAGATTGTCAGAAAGTCAGACAAAAATAAAACATCATCTTAAGTAATTGAATCGATTTTAAAATTAATTGATGAATTTTTAATAATAAAATTAGAATTAACATAAATTACATTATTATTATTAAATTATATGTATTAGTAAAATTTAAATACATTTGACATAGAGTAGGGAGATACTTAAATAGGATATAAATCATTACTAAATGATGAAAATGTTAGAATCCAGTTCATACGCAAGGTGAGAATTAATATCTAATTTAGGTTTACTTAATTTTAAGCTTTCAATTATTATTTACAACAATATTTTGTACATTTTCATACTTTTCAACAGGATTCGCTGTTTACTAGTTACAAAATACTTGGTTGTTTTATGTTTTGTTAATAGTTGGTTTGATTTGTGAGATTTCTTTAATATGTTGTAAGAAGTACTACAATTATTTTATAATTTTAGTGTTTCTAGAAAAGTTCCAAATAATTACATCATACTAGGAGTATTTACATTTTGTGAATCTTGGATAGTGAGTTACAGTTGTTCAATAGCATATTTGATTTATCCAGAAAATGGTGGACAGTTGGTTCTTATTGCTGCTGTGTTAACATTAGCAATAACAATATCCTTAACCTTATATGCTTTCACAACTAAGTCAGACATTACGATGGCTGGAGGAAGTCTCTTTATATTTTCAGCAGTGCTACTCGTACTGGGATTACTGTGTTTAATATTCAATTCAAAGATTATACATATGATATATATTGGTGGATTGGCCATTTTGTATGGGTTCTATTTAATTTATGATACACAGTTATTGATGGGAAACAAAGTAAGAATATATTATAAATTTTAGGAATATTCTTATTCTATTGATGATTACATAGTGGCTGCATTATAATTATATATTGATATAATAATGTTGTTTTTATAATTGTTGTAGTTATTATTGGAGTTATTTGGAAAAAAGGATTGATATGATTTATTATATTGTCTTAATGAATATTAATAATACATTATGTCATTCAATTGCAATCACATCTTCCATACTTTGTTTATTTGCACCCTAATTAGCATTACTAGCAACCAATGCCATCTGAACAAACAAGACAATCAGCGATTGCACAAGGAATGCAATACTCTCCTTTTGTTTCAAAATATCCTGCATTGCATTGTTTAGTTATAGCATTAAATTCATGAAGTTCTGTTTCAAATTCTAAGCAATCTGATTTCTTTGGACCGCTGCATGACTTGCAATAACGAGTGCATTAATGAACTAACAACACAGTATTAGTAATATAAGATTAGCCTACCATTTATGAAGATTGGATTTAAAAGCTGAGTTCTATATCATTATGAGGAATAAATTAATTAAGATATACAAATGAATCAGATTTATTCTAGTTACCTTAATTGTATTAATCCTTATTACTTGGAGTAACCACTATTTACTGATCTTCCAAAACGATAACGAATTTTGAATTCTCATTAATAAATAAGATCTTTGTTTATATTGATATTCCATAATGTGGTTTCAAATATTGGTACCTATAAGTTTGTGGCTAAGAAATACTAATTAAAGGTTCCTCATTATAAAACCAATATTTTTCATTTTAGTATTGATTTTAATTTTTGAATACATCAAGTTACCATATTTGAGTATTCTGAATATCGGAATCAAAACATAAATCCTCACCTAGAGGTGATTAGAATGGGCATTTCTCAACACATTATCCATCTAAAGCAATGAATGGAGCCTAACATTTAATGCATTTTTCAGAGAATCCAAATTTAGCTATTTCTGAACAATGTTCAAAATGTGAAATCGTGTTTTGAATCATCAAGACATTTATATTTAAATTTACTAGTTTCCAATATGTATTAATTTTTTTCTGCTATTCATTTTCAAATTATATAGGATATTAATCTTCACTTAATTGAACTTATAAGTTGAGTTTACTTTGTTCTAGTTATAATATTTTTGATTTAAAATGATAGATTTAGCAAAATTATTCAGATTCACAGTCTCTATAAGATATTTCTTGAAAGTTTATAGAATTATTGTCACCATCAATATTCAAATAATATGCATAAAGTCCATCATTCATTGTAAATTAGAAGATTTATAAATACTATAAAGCAATATGTTGAAACTCTTACATCAAAGTTATAAATTTAGACTTCCATGTCTATTTCAAAGGCTCTATAGCTTTCCAAATCGAATTCCAATTCCAATGGTTCATCTTTTCTATAATTCTTTCTCAGATTTTATTAAGCTTTGATGGTCTTGATAATTTCTAATATGAATTTAATTTAAACCTCTGTTTTGGCATATATCGTAAAAATCTGGTGAAAATCCGTCAAAGCACTTTTCAACACAAATGCCATTTTAATTAAATCCACTGCAAGTACATCTTGGTGAACCATGAGTTTCAAAACCCTCATTACATTAAGTGCAAACTGCCGCATTATCTTAATATACACATCTTTCACAAAATTCAGGACATTGTAGTTATAGTATGTGTATTTATTTGATTGCAATTTTTTAATCACTTGCAGCAGTAAATATACCTTTTTTAGACTAACCTCCTATCAACACAATATTGAGTTCTTGTATTTAATTCCCAAATATTTCCTATACAAATGTTTGCTCTATATATTGAATGTCTCCCACTAGACAATCATCTATAATTTATCGTTCATATATTTGATCGATTTCTTTTGGATCATAAGTCTTATTCTATATCTAGATTTGCACATCCATACCCTATGGTCTTAAGTAATCAATCACTACTAGGGAATGAGCAAAAGGTTTAAAATTTCTAAAAGAAATAGTTTTCTATAAGTAAGGATTTGATCTAATGATTTAATAATTTGGACGCTGGCAGTCAGTGACTAACCCTACATCTTATTGAAATTGATTAAACCCTGAATCCCACCCTTCGTGATGAGTAACTACCCATTGAGTAGATTGAGATGAACAACTTTATATAGTCAGCAAAGCTATGGCCAATCGAAATAGTATCATATAAATTTAATTGATAATTCAACACAACAATTCTCATCACATTCTACTAAGTTCGATTATTTTTATAGATGAGATATATTTATCAAAACAAAAAGGGAATAATGACATCATCGGAAAACTATTTCTTTATAATATTAATCATTAAAATGAAAGTTAATCTCTTTGACTTAATTCAAGTAACTTAATATTAAAGTTTATTCAATAATTAACTCTATTAATCCATAAGAATCAACTAATAAACTACAACATAGTTTCTTTTGTTAGATATACATGGATTAGAAATTAACAACCATTTTGTTGATCTAAAAATGCGTTAATATAAGAAAGTGAGAAATTTCATTCTTATACACCCTCTATGTAGATATGATTCTTGATTTAAGAGGATTCCTATGAATATTGAATAATCACAATAATAGTTCAATAATTTTAAAGTCAATAATATCAATTTACCTCAAATTTGCTCATAAATTATACTAATAAATGAGACCGATGATCATATTTTATCGCAATAATATATTTAAAATCAATTTGGTTATAAATTTGTTGCAAGCTTGTTACTTTACAAAATGGAATTTTATTTAAATGAGAAGGACTTAGATCATAGAAAATAATTATATGATTATTTAATTATCAATTTAATACAAATATGAATAAAACTAATGATAATATTTTATTATTTCTGACAAAAAAATTTAAACAAAAAAGTTCATTTTATAGGAATAAATGCAATTTTCATCGGCTTAAGCATCTCTTATGATTCTGTAAAATGATTACTTAATAATTGTTCAAAAATGCTTGATTTGATGTTCCATTTATTTAAGGGAATCTAACAATTAGGACTAAAATATTAAGCCATCCAATTATATCTTGCAAAAATCTTATTTGGAATATGTGACCAACCAAAAAAAGGTGAATTGGTCTTTAGAACGCATCATGCAACAAACTATCTTACTTAATTATTATAATATATTTTGAATTGAAAATATCGTAAATTAATTTGATAATGTTAATATAAAATTAGATTTGATTACAATAAATAATAATAATGTTTAATTAACATAATTACTCATGTATTAGGTCTGATTCTTAATAAATAGATTGTTTATATGTTTGGCAATAATAATTGATATTGTAATAAAGTTATATAGATCTATTAATATGAAAAATTGTTCTCTTTATTAGAAAGGAAAACTCAGGAAAATGAGAAAATCTCTTGATGATGACAACATTTTGAGGAAAATTAATTTTTTTTAAATAAATTAGGTCATTTAAAGCTTATTATCTCAGAAGGTTATTAAATGTTTAGAAAAGTTTATTGATTTAAAATATATTAAATTTGGATTCATCTGAGAAAACATGCAAAGCAATTAAAATATTGTTGACACTTAAATCATAGGTTTATCGAAATCTTCCAAAATAGCGAAATAAAAGTAAAAAGAATAAAGAAAATATTGTGCAATAAAAAAGGAATTTTAAATCATTGTTAACATTCCGAAGACCTTAAATATGAGAGAATACTTAAGAACTGAAATAGATATTATCTTCAGCACTGATTATCAAATCGATTCTAATTTAGGAGAATTGTGCACAAATATTTTTACAGTAGGGTACAAAATATTATAAACTGATTACTTTTCAGATAAGCAAGCTTTTACATTGTCCCCAAGAGATTTGCAATGTGTGAACATAGAAGTCATATTTAACTTACTAGAGAAAATGAACTTGTAAAAAAGTAAAGATGACATATAAAATTTTATGATCGAACACAAAAAAAGAAGCATTTAAGTCAGTTAATGCACTGATGTGTATTATCTCGACATGTATGCTTCCTAATTTCCATATGAATCTTACTTAATAAGATTTGATTCAGCCGGATCAAAAGTTTTAAAATACATAAACAATATGAAATATCTTCATTTAATGGGAATAACAAGAGAAATGATGGAATGGAATTTAATTTAAACCCAAATGTTGCCTTGTGCCATAAGAGTCGAATCATATTTGGATGTATGGAGCAAGATGTTTGAAGCAGTTTCTAGAAAATCTAACTTTTTCACGGCCGAGTTATAAAATTATAATGGTTAACGAACATTTGTAAAAATGGAACAAAGATTAATATATATAGTCTAGGAAAACGATAGCAGTTTGTATTGCTATCTCTATTGGATATACCATACAAATCCTAATCCAGCAATAGCAGATGAAAACTATTAGAAGGAATTAGATTCTTAAAATCCTAAACCAAAATAATGTACATATAAATAAATTTGCGATTGATTAACTTAATTTTGTAATAATTTAACATAATAATATCATTCCTATCATTATGGAGCTCCTCCTGCTTGTTTTCCTGCTCTCATTATCTATAAATTAATTAAAATATATACTTCATCAACTAACAATAATTATTAAGCTAATGTGGGTGCAATGTTCAACCATGATCTTTTAGAGCAATAATTATCAAAAATGCCATTAGCAATTGGAGCAATGAAGCCTTGTTCATTGACACTCACTCCAACTGGAATATTATTTTTAATGAATTCATCTGTAACTTAAATGAGTGTTTCCTAAACATCATATCCGCAATTCTCTGCCAAAGCTTTTGGAATAACTAATAATGATTCAGCGAATGCTTGGACTCCCAATTTAGCTTTTCCAGCGACTGAATCTTTGAATTTTTAAAGATGTACACTGGTGGCAATTTCAAAGGCACCAGCTCCAGGAATAACGCATTTATCTTCAACTGCATTTTTCACAGCTCTTAATCCATCTCTAATAGCATCTTTGATTTAGGCAATAGTGTGTTCATTTGGTCCTCTAATTAAAATGGTGCATGAAGTGGGATTTTAAACTCCTTCAATAAATGTGTATTTCTCTTCTCCTAAGGTATATTCTCTTAACTAATTATAATGTAAAATGATTACCACTTCACAGTATCCGAGATCACTTTCTGTCAAATCTTCAACTGCATTTACTGAATTACCACCACAGGCCTTTGCAATTCTTTCCATATTTCTCTTTTTTGCTCTTCTGATACCAACAATGCCTTCTTTGGCAAACATTTCTAAACAGACTGGATCAATTCCTTTTTAATTGATAACTGCAAATCCATAGCCATTCTTCTCACAAACTTTTCTCTTGAAATCAATAATTTATTAACATTTGTCATCTGTCAATTTTCTTTCAGATCTTGCCAATTTCTCTCTGTCATCAGCTGTATTATAAAAGAATCCACTGTGAACCTATTAATTTATTTCCATTTTACTTCAGTCTTCTCATATTCCAAAGAGACATTCAAATTTAAGATGTAACATTTCTTAACAAACTTTGGCATATCTGGATGTCTTGCTCCATGATCCAATACTAATCCTCTAATCAATTCTGTCTCTGCTCCCATCTTATGTTACATATGCATGATCTCAACCATAAATAAATCTATTGGCTTCTCTGGTACTTGAACTATTTAAACTGCATCAACAACGATCTCAATAATTCTAAGTAATATTATATTATATTAGTTACTGATTAGCAACATCTGGAGTCAATTTACTATTTAATGAAGTTCTAGCCACATTTATTAATACAGCCTTATCAATTTACTAATACTTGAAAGTGTCCAAAAATGATAAGGCTTCCTTTCTAGCCAATTCGAATCCTTCTGTGATTACTCTGGGATGAATTCCTTCAGCCAATAATCTTTCTGCTTATTTCATTAATGCGCCAATCAAAAGAACATTGCTTGTTGTACCATCTCCAATGATATCATCCTAGGCTGTAGCACTTCTGGCAATCATGGCTGCTGTGGGATGTTGAATTTGCATTTCTGATAACAGAACAGCACCATCCTTTGTAAGTTTTATTTATCCAGCACCTCCCACTAACATTTTTAGGGTTCCTTTTGGTCCCAGATTTGATTTCATCACTTCCATTAAACCAGCTGCTGCATTTATATTCATTGCCAAGGCTTAATATTTACGAAGAACTTCAGCTTTGGAATTGACAAATTGAACACTACTCATTTTTTATTTAAAAAAGAAATTTATTTAATTTTTGCATTTTCATAAGATTTTGTAATTAGAAGTCACTTCTCTTAAAAACTAACTCCATTTCCTATTTATTTCAATGCATCTTATATTGCCGAAGCCTTGCTAATCAAGGACTTATCAACTGAACTTGTAATCCCCTCATTCAATCCCCAAATATTCTTAAAGAAGTCTTGAGAACTTGCACTATCATCTAGATCTTTTTATCTGTTTTCTATGTAAGTTTAGATATTTTGGATCTCATCGAAAACAGTATTGTATTCTTCGATCTTTGAATTGTAAAGTTCAATTGTTGTGTCTTTGTCTTGTAAAATGGCTTGTCTTCTGTCTTCATACAGTTACTAATTTCTATTGGCTTGACTTATCAACTCTATTCTGTAATCTATGGTATTCATCCAAAATTGATCCAACAATTATTCAAGGTCTTTTAAGACTTTTCTGTCCTTAAAATCAAGTTGTAAGAGCTCTTGGAGTGAGCCAGCCAAAGTTAAAAGAGGAGAATCTGATTTTGCCAATGAAGTTATTTTTGCATGGAACTCTTCTAAAGAAGTCTTGATTTCCACAAATGAGTTTCCACCTGAACCTCCTTGCAATAACTCTTTAACTGTTTTTCTCATCTTAAGAATATATCAAATTTAATACTGAATCCACAGATTGTAAGGCAATACTAACATCATCCATTTCTTATTTTGCTGATTCTTTCATCTTTGTGAAGTCTGCATCATTGATCTTCAAATCCTATTTTTATTGATCCAAAATCCCTGCTCTATATCTCAAAGCCTCATCCAATTCATTTTTATAAGGAGTCAATTAATCATTGAGTTTCGTTTTATGTTTTGCCAAATCCACTTTAATTTAGCCAGAAGTTCTATCGTGTAATATAATTAACTAGGAATATATATTCAATTGTTACTTTTTAAAGTAATGCTGATTTCTATTGATTTGTGTCACTCTCAATTTATCTCACATGTTGAACATCACACAATAAATCTGAAATGGCTTGAGATAAATTGGGCCAGTTAAGTTTTGTTCTATCAGGATCACTTGAGGATAGTTGTGTGAATGCTTCTGCCAAATCTTATTAACCACAAATCACCACTATAAAAACGGTGAATATTATTAATTTTTTCATTAAAATTATATATTCTTAATAGTAAAATTTCTTTTGTTAGAAAGTCTTTCTATTTTAGTAATTAATTTTATTAATATTATTTACATGAGTATTAATTATGCAAGTAAAGTATAATGTATAATAATCAAGAATTTGGAAAGCAAAGTAGAAGACAATCATTGAATTCTGATCTCATGCAAATGCATAAGTTATCACAAGTAACACCAATTTTTTGATATTAAAAGAATAATAAAACATTTACTGATTCATTTTCGGTTTCACTTCATTAATCAAAGTCAACCTTTAACAAAAAGAATATTTCAAAATTAGACTTGTAACATAACAATTAAATCAAAAATAGAGACATTCCATTTAGAGATCTCAAACACAAAGCCATTAACTCCAAACCAAAAACAGAAGTCACCAGAAAGAGGTTTTCGTTTAATCAAAAAGGCAAAATCAAGAATTTTATAGATGCGATTGATGACTACATAGAACAATTAAATGAGAGTTCAGATAGCTATACAATAACATCAGATTCACAAAGTAAATTAGAAAATATGTTATTCCTTAAATTTAATATTATACAAAAAAAGTAGGAACAATTAAAAATTAAATACAAAAAATTGCAATAATCCAACAAGATTGAAAGATATGAGAATCAAACTCTAAAAAATCAATTATTTGGTTTACATCATCAATTGGAAGAAGAGAAAAGGAAGAATTATCTATAACAATTAGATTTAGAGAAGTAAGAGTAAAAAAATAAGGAATTAAAATTGAGATATCAATATTTATCGAATTCTTATCTTAGAGAGAAATTGAAATAGGAAAATTAAAAGTTAAAAATACTGTAAAATAGTATTTCAATTTAAGAAAGCAACATTGTACAATTATATTGTTATAATTAGCTTTAAGATACAAGTTAATCTAGCTAAATTTTGGATGACAGTACTGTTAGAAAATTTTTAAAATCATAAATAAGGAAGTTAAAATAAAATAATAGATAAATTGATGATTATTCTAATCTTTATAAAAAATATAGTGAACATAACATTGAAAACTTTTGATTAATTAATTTATGATATAAAAAGTTGTATAATTAGTTCAGAGAAGATCAATTCACAGATTTTCAAATGTGTTTGTTGCACATAGAAATAGAGATGATAATAGTGATTCAGTACCATTTGATTTTACAGATGAAAATTATAAAAAAATTGAAGTTATTTTGGCAAAGTTTCCTTCCAATGAAAAAAAATCAGGGACTATTCCATTATTAATGCTAGCTTAAAAATAAAATAATAACTTTTTGAGTTTAACTGCAATGAAAAAGGTTATTTTAATTATTAAATAGGCAGATTGCAAAGATATTAGAAATCCCAGAAATGGATGTCTTTGAAACAGCCTCATTTTACTCAATGTTTAATAGAGAACGAGTCGGTAAATTCCATCTCTAAGTTTGTGGTACAACACCCTGTTAATTATGTGGATCTAGAGATATAATGAAAGCTATTGAATAAAAATTGAATATCAAAAATGGGGAGACTTCAGCAGATGGACTATTTACTTTGCAAGAGGTAGAATGTTTGGGAGCATGTGCTAATGCTCCAATGATATAAGTGAATAATGAATGGGTTTATGAAGATTTAACACCTGAGAATACAGTATGATAATGAATTATGATAGTTAAAATTATTAGAAGATCTAAAGAATGGGACAGATAAAAAAGGACCTTAAAATGGCAGAAAGAATGCTGAAGGTCCATAAGGTAGAACTACTTTATAAAATATCGCAAATTAATAAGACATAAAATATGATAGAAATTTCGAGGCAGCCAAAAAGGAATGGTTAGATCAAAAGGAGAAAGAGAGACTTGAAGCTGAAAAGAAGAAGCAAGCAGCTTAGCAAGCTAAAAAATGAAACCATTTTTTAATATTAAATATAATAATAATAATAAAATCTGTGTCTTTATTTACATAATAATTTTATCATGTTAATTTTTGATTTTTGCATCTATCCTAGTAAACTTGTTAATGGTTCGGAAATGGTTTGATTGTAGGTATCATGGGGATGGGTAGTCTCTGTCCTTATTCTTACTCCATTAATTATTTCATTTTTTCAATATCTTCAGGAGGATATTTAGATGTGGTTGGAAATTGAACTTAAGGAATCTCAAAGGATTCTTTGATTTTACTTTTAATTTCTTAATGTTATTCTCTTTCATCTAAAGTTAGATCAGGCAATGACATTATCTCGATGATTTTCAATGTGGCTTATTCGATTTCTTTTTAAAATATCAATAATTTGGCTTCTTCAAGCATGTCTTGAATATCATTGTTGTTTTTGTGTATTAACTCCATTTTCCTTATTTAATCAAATATAGTTTTGGCACGCTCCAACAAATTCTTTTGAAATTAAGCATTATAGTTGAGTAATTATAATCTATAAACAGGATCTTATAATTTAAGGATGTTCTGAATAGATTGACATGCTTGACTGTTGGGGTCTCTGAGTTCATCTTCAACGTGAGCATAATTGCAATCGATAATATTTCTACATTTTCCTTGAAGGTAGAAATTACAAATTTTAGTTTTCCAAAAGGGATTTAAGAGTTATCCCTATATTGAGTTTTATTGGATCACAGCCATATTCGTCTGCCCTTCATTGTTAATCGAAAAGGCACTGGAGTTATTAGTATGAGGATGAGTCAAATATTCTTGTGGTATATGACGCAATTCAGTTTCTCCATGTGCATAATTGCATTTTTCTTATTTAGCACAATGTCCTTCTAAATAAAATATGATAAATGATGTTACTTGTTGACCAATGAGTACAAAGTTTAGATTTGTAAAATATACTTGTTTCTTTATTTTATTCTTAAGTAAAATTCATTTAATATAATATAAAAAAATTAAAAAACGGCATGAAGACCCTCTTGTTATTGCTAGTTATTGGTGTAATGTGCCAAAATGAAGTAGATACTGTTGAGAAGTTATTGGCTGACTTAAAAGGGGCATCAGCTGTTGAACTTACAGCCCTTAATACAGATTATACAGTCTCTAAAAATGTACGATTCTAATAAGCATTTTAGCTCAAAGAGAATATAATATTCAATTTAGGCAAGGCCTATTAAGAATAAAACTTTTTATGCGCAAGTAGAGATAAATCTGTCTCAGATAGAGAATCCGATATTGATAAAACAAATAAATATATTGCATATTTATAAAAGAGACTTGTTGATAATTCCAATAGAATTCAAACACTAGATGCCAATAGGTACAATATCCCATTTAAAGTAGATGCACCCATTCTTCAAACTATATTGAAAGAGTCAAAAATGATAATATGACTTTAAGATTAATAATATTTTTGAGAAACTCTCTTTAAAATTTAGATAATAATCAATTAAATAGATATGGTTCTTACGTTGAAAAATTTTTAACTATGTACAAAACAGCCAAAATGTCAGAACTTGTTGAATTAGCACATGAATTTGCTGAGACGATGTTTATTGATTGGAATCAAGTTACACCCTCTTCATAAGGAAATCTCAATACAGTCAAAGGATAATTAATTGAAATGCTTGATGATATGGAGAGATATATCAGAGAACAAATAAAAAATGCATAAAATCTTGAAATTACCACTGGAGTCACTCTGGCTGATTTCAAAGGAGCTATCGATATAGAAAATGAATAAATCAATTATGATCTTTCATCTGAATAAAAGAATCTCATAAAATTAGATGAACAATTAGTATAAGCAAGATTTGCAGCTGTCAGTTGCAGAGAAAAAGGAGTTGCCTTACAATAATAACAACAAAGAGCTATTGAAGTACACTAAAAGTAAAATATTGATAGGACTTAAAAAATGAGGAAATTCAATATAATAAAAATAAAGCAAGATTACAAGAAGAACTTAATTTATTTACTGATGTTTATAGAATTTATTCTACTTAAGTAGGAACTTCTGAGGACAAATTCAAATAGAGAGTGGATGACTACGTTAATGATAGGGTATTTATAGACATTCTATGAAATCTTAGAAAGTTGATTCATACGAGAGATCCTAATATTCTTTAAGTGATGCAGTTAGAAAATAGGTTTAGAATGAATGAAATATCAATCCAATTTAATAATATAGAGATCATTTACACTCTCTAATAATTATTTTATTATATAAATAATGAGCTTAATCCGTTTTAATATATTGGCATTGACAATCGGAGTTTGCTTATCAGCCATGACTCCATAAGCCTCATTATTGATGAAATCGTTTCATTAAGTATAATCAACCATTAAATACCCTAGTTTGGCCAAAGCCCATATAGCGATTAATTGAAGGAATTAGTATAAATTAAATTAGAAACAGGAGGATAAGTAGATGAAGTCTTAAAACTTATTTAAGAATTATTGGATTCATTAAAATAAGATTAAGTGGACGATGATGTTGCACATTCAAGATAAATGGCAGTTTTCGATTAGAATATTGGTGAATTAGAAGATGATCTCTCAAAATTAAACACAGATCTAGCTAATGCAAATGTATTGATCTAAACCTTGGCTGAATTATTGGTCATCCTCAGAGAAACCATCATAACCTATGAAAAGCAATTAGCAATTCTTAATGAATAAGAACAATTCATCAGAAATGCCAGAGCTGCTGATGTCAAAGCTTATAACAGAAGAGTTGAATAGGCAAATAAAGTTATTAATGCATTAACCCTAATCATTGAGAAATTGAGCAGAGCAGTTGATCAATAGACTTCAGAATAAGATAGATAAACTATTTTGACTTAAATACATGCTGAATGTCACGAATAATTCGGTCCCAATCACCCTATCACAATTCTTATAAAATTAACTACTAGATTTGATGTTCCCACTGTCTAAAGAATATTAGAGAAATTAGAATAAATTAGAGATGGTGCCAAGAAGAGTTTGAATGAGGATATTGCAGCTGAAGAAGTAGCTTCAAACAATTTCGATACTTCTATGAATGAAATCGAAACTTTAAGAAAGAGATTGTCAACCGATCTAGAGAACTTAAATCAATAATTTAATGACAAATTCAATCAATAGGTAAGACCATTAAATAATTTTATGTTAGAAAATTGTTTTGGCTTAAAAAGAACAATTGCTAATTGATATCCCAATCACTGAGGAACTTTTACAATTAACTAAGGAATAATAAGAACAATATCATTAAGCTTATTTAAGCAGATAAACTTAAAGGTATTTATTAATAAACTATCAGATAATCTGAAATTGAAGTTGTGCAAAAGGCTTACAATTTGGTGTTTGATCATGTAGATTCTGCAAGAAAATCAGAGGATTTAACAGCTAAACTTAACAGCGGAGCAATATGAAAGTAATAATAATAATAAGAAAATTTTATATAAATAATTATAATTATAAATTCATTTTTTAGTTTATCTACTAATTTTGCAAAATTATTAATATTATTATGAAGTTCTTGAAGTATTATTATTATTTAAGTATTGTTCATTCCTTGTAGATGTTTTGGGATTTTTAGCCATCATATCATATTTTCTTAAATATATATATTTTTCCAATAACAAAATTTCCTTATCCGTCAAGTTTTTTAAGAAGTTTTCAATTCCTGCTTTCCTTAAGAAATCCTCGTTTTCACTCTCATCATCTGATTGGAATGTTAAGAAATCTCCTTTTCTATATCCTTCGAATTCAGTTCTTATTATTAAATATCATATTTTACTCAGAATCATAGGGTATTATTCGTTAAGGCAGGATGGGTTCTGGTATTTTCATTGTCTATTGCAGTTCTATGGCAGTGGTTTTGTATTCGTCCATCACTGATTATGCTCTGTTAGATTTAGTAATGATATTTAATTTTGAATTGACCTCCTAATTGGTAGTAAAAATTCTTTTCTTGAGTTCAAAACTACCATTTAAACTCTAGGGTTATTTTTCTTAGCAATTTGTATAATTTGACTTGTGATGCCTTTATGGCTGTTACGGATTTTATTTTGTTTGTGAGTGGAACTTCATTTGATTCACAATATTACCCATTCGGTTGGAATCTGCCATTATTGTTTTCTATAACTCAAATAATTGTTATTATTAATGCGGCTTGACATACGGAGAATCATTATAACGATGAGTTGTTTATAAACTCTAAGGTTACTAAAATTAAAATCGCGTTTATGTTGGTTTCATTTTGTTCTTCACTTATTATTTGCTCGACACTTTGCCTTTTTGTATAGTGGATTAGTTGGATTTATCACAAGATTACGATTGCTATTTAAGGGAGGACTTCAATTCTATATACTCCCTAAGTTAACTTATAAGATACTTTTATTAACTATATGGTCTAGTTATCCTTTACCCTGTGCTGCTTTTAACTTCTGTCGGGTAACCTTTATACATTAATTTTATTATATAAAATATTTATTATATTAAATTAATACGATATTTTATATACGTTCAGTCCTGCTACCAAATACAAGGAATGGAACACCAAATTAAAATTTGCATTCAAAAAATTCAAATATATATATAATAATTAAATATTTAATTCATTTATTAATTTCGAAGACTCTCAATTAAGTTTAGATATATTGTTTAATCAACTTAACCACTTAAGTGGGAATATACTTTACTTATTATTATAAATATAGTAATACATACTCTATAAACATCAATTATTAAAATACATTTCATACAACAATAATTACTCTTTAATTTTTCTATTCCATTTCATTTACATTCTCCAATTACAATAATGGTTAGTTTCTTTATCATAATCCTTCTCTATACTCAGAAATGTTCTAAAATTAGCTTGAAATAACTATTTGATTTCTTGCGTCTAGTTTTCTGAATTACTTAATTCCATCTATTCTGCTTTTCTTTTAAATTCTAGAGCACACAAACACCCAATTAAATAGTGTCCAGTTTCGTGTTCTAATAGATCATCATACTAATCAGATTTCGTCCATGACTTCTCCAATAATTTACAGCACACTAAGACGTTTAATTATTATCTTGGAGATTACTGTTTCATAAGAGTGCTATTTGAATTGCTTCTAGAAGATTTTTTTGGGGTTTAGTTTTTCTACTAAGATTGTCTTTAGACTCCCTGGATACTTGCTATTCTAAGAGAAGGAGTGTGTACTTATTTCTGTAGTCTACTATTAGTTCTATTTTAAATATTATTTTGCTAAAGAGGTATTTTTGGAGGCAGCTTAGGTGATTATTATTTCACATTAACTTTTTCTTAAGATTATTAGGTGATTTAAATTTAATTTTTAGGTGATAAGTTAATTTTTTCAGATTATTAAGTGATATTTGCATTACTATTTTTTTGGTTAGTAACTGTTGGTGATTATTTCTAATTTGAAGATGCTCTACTTATTTCCCTTTTGGGTATTTCATAATGAATATTCCAATAACTATGAGCAATCCATGGAGATTCTTTATTTGGTTCACCTGTGAAATCATCCCATTCAAGTCTCCTAATTTCAAAGTTTTAAATTTTAATAGGTAATATATCTCTCACGAATGAATCATAATTAGGATCTAACAGATGATTGACATCATATTTTGGTTTTTTTATGTCTTCTATAGTAATAAAGCCAGTAAAAGAGGCTTGTGACATTTATTTATTAATATAATTAATTCATAAAATATAAATTAATCCGAATTTATGTAAAAAATAACTTAGTCATCTGAGGAATTCGTTCAACTCATCTAAGAATATCTGACATCAAATTTTGCATGGGTAAAGCTTTTTATATATGTAAACATTTAAAATACCATATTTATTGAGATATATCTATTAATATATATGATTGTTATCAACTTCAAGGAGAAGGTTTAAATCCTTCATAAAACAAGTGTTTTAGGGTAATTCTAATTTCATATTATATTACCTAAATATTTAAATATTAGTTTTTTGATTACATTTTTGGATATTGAATCGTATTCTCTATTATTGGATAGGCCATTGAATCAACATAGATCCGTTTTACAATCATTATCAATCAATTAAAAATACAATTTAGTTATTGATATTTAAATGAAAAACATTTTTATATAAATTGGATGCTCCTACTTTGCAATTGTATTATGCTATAAGATTTCAAAAATATATTATTCTACTTTTTCTTGTATTATTTAATCTTGTTTATATAAGCTAATTTCTTAGATTTTTATGATTTCTTTATTCCTAAAAGTGGATCACTTCTAACGTATATTGTGACAGCAAAATAATTACAATTTATATATTTTCATCATTTATTAATACTCTTCATTTAAAGATATACTAATTATCTCTTCCTTATATTTATGAAATCAATGTTCTTATGAATAATAATAATTCTTTCATTATAGATTTAAAATGAATTCAAACGAAAACAAATTGAAGAAAATGTTACTAATGGGTTAACATAAGGTGGGTAAAACTTCTATGCATTCAATTATTTTTGCAAATACTCCTCCAAATTAGGTTATGTAGATTGGATTGACTGTGGATGTAAATCAAAATTCATTCAAATTTATGGGAAATCTTAAGATAAATTTATGGGATTGTGGTGGACAAGTAATAATTTTCAGAGTATTTTGAGGATAAACTTTTATAAGAATATTTCACAACTTAAAAATCTACAATATTCTCCAATGTCGAAGTTTTGATATATGTTTTTGATGTTGATAAAGAAGGAGATCTATTCATAAAGGAATTGAATGATTTTAAAACCACAGTAACAAGCTTATCAGAATGTTCTCCTGGAGCAATTGTATTTGTTTTAATCCATAAATTCGATAAAATTAAGGAATCAGAAAGAAAAATTGTGTTTGAAGTATAATCAAGATTTATATTGATAGCGAAAATACAAAGAGATTATTCAAAGAGCTGATGGCCTAAATATTGAAATTAAAGACGTGTTTTCTACATCAATTTGGGATGAAACTCTATATAAAGCATGGTCTTAGATTGTTCAGAATTTAATACCTAATATCAATATTATAAAGGAGAGTTTGAAAGCATTTTGCCAAACTTGTAGTTGTGAGGAAGTAGTTTTATTTGAAAAATCAACTTTCTTGATTATTGATTTTTAGGAAACAAATGAGAAAAAAGGTAATTATAAGAATTGATAGTATAGACATCTAAAAATATGAGAGATTATCTAATATAATAAAGTAATTTAAGTTGACTTGTATGAAAACATAAGCAAGCATTCAAGCAATAACAGTTAAATCAGAGAAGTTTACTGTCTACATAGATGAATTCACAGAGAATACATTTATTATGTTGGCTTATACTGATCCGTCAATTTATCCAGCTGCAATTTCACACAATGTTCATCATGTATATTTCAAATTAATTTTAGGCTTAAAAATTATTCGAAAATATTCAAGGATCAGATACCGACAAATTGAAATATTTAACTTAAAGAAAGTCATGAATTATTCATTAATCAAAGTCATAAATAAATTATTAATTATAATATAATTACCCTTAAATTGTTAATTTACATTTGATATTCTAAAACATATTTGATGATACTTCATATTATTGGATACGTAATTTTTTTAATTTTATCTAAACATTTAGCATCCCCATTTTTTTATATTTAAAAGTAACCACTCATTCCCCATTTAGATCCCCAAGAATTTTTGGCAAACCATGTTTAAGTATCATAAGCTATAAATGAAACAACATGTTAGTAATTAGAAACTTTTGGATATCCACAAGTATTGATTATTCCAGATGTGTATCTGAGCCAGGATTCATCTGCATACATAAGGGCTGTAACTGGACCAGTTTACATTGCAGTTTCAATGTCATTATTTGTGAATTTAGTTAGCCCTACAACAGATTTAAATTGTTTATATCCAATTGATCCTTTTGGTTTTGAACATTGCCCTTCTTTCTGATCGTATTCTCTATAGTCTTTTTCATAAACAGTTCCATATTTATTGATAAAATCAAAGGCATCACTTACTGAACCTCCATCACATCCTTCTGTATTTCCATCAGCACAATCAATTAAATGTGTCTTAGATAATTGATCAAGTTTGTTTTTATTAGCAATAGCCAATCTACTGATTACGACATCCTATACTGCAAATGCCCAACAACTACCACATCTTCCCTATTATTACACTTCTGTAACCTAATGATTATTATAATGGAAATTACTTATTTTAACCAATCTAAACTAGGAGGATTCTTTGGTGTTGCTTTTTCTGTTTTGGTAGTTGCAGATGCTTTTTTCACTACCTTTTTAACAACCTTCACTGTTTTATCTGCTTATAAAAATGAATTATGAGATAGTGAATCGCTTTTAATTGCGTTGATATCATCTTCATTAAATATCTCATAATGTTCATCAAAGTCTTTCTTCATAAATATTTTATCCATCAACTCTTCAGATGTCTCATCTGAGAAGATATTTAATCCCCAAACATCCTTTGGTAATTACTCATTATGATGCTAAAAATTACAATTAACCAATCAAATACCTTCATTGTTCTATAGTTCTTCACAAAAACTTCCATTCTATAAATCATTTCGAATTCATTGTTATATGTTTTTTGATTTTCTTGCACCCAATTTTTAAACTGTTTTTATTCTTCTTCTCTCCATCCATAAATTGATCCATTTTCATGTAAGGCATCACCTATACTACTACTTGAGAAGGTTGCACATAAAACATATGATAACAAATTCAATATCTAAAAAATTTTCATTTAATTATTATTTATTTTGTATCTACCCTCTAATTAACTTTTAATTATGACTGAATTCTAATACATTGAAGGGATTACTAGTCTTTGCAAATTTTAAGTATTATGTTAAAATTGATTCTTATAAAGCTATTGAAAAAAATTATTAATATCAAAGATCCACTATGGATAAAAAATATATAATAGGTTTGCTAAATTTCATATGCTTAAAAATTAAAGTTATTAAAAGTTTAATTCTCGTCTATCCTTTATTGAATATAAAATGGCTGATAAATCATAAATGTATTAGCAGGCGCTTAGAACAGTTCTTAAGAATAAATCTCTTAATTTAGGTGATAATTACTTTTAATTACAAATTTAGAAATTCTCATGTAGTTATAAATAATAAAAAATTAGATAAGGATACTAAAATCTAATAATTTTATGTGAATAGACATTACAATTCTTTTGAATTCTAAAAAGACCTTTGTAGATATCAAAAATTACTCTTTAGGTTATAATAAACATTTTATTCTATAAAATTTTATATTGAGAATGTTTAACTACCCTTCAAGTAGTGACTAATATTTTTAGTCATTTTTAGATTAACAATATTTTGTTAGATTTCAAGAGAGAGAAGAAAATAAGACATTCACTACTTAATATTCAGAAAGAAACAATTAAATATTATATATTTAGTTTAGTATAATAATTAGCAAATTTAGATATAAATTGAGTTTACTTTTATTTAGTTAATTTTAATTAAAATTTAACCAAATGAATAGTTTGCTATATTAGAAAAGAGAATGTTTTTCACTAAGAATAAGAAGAAATGAAATAGAAAAAATATTTAAAGAAAAAAGAATACCTTAATTATCAAAAGAAATGATGCTTGATTTAATAAATAATAAGGATTAAGAATCAATCAATCGACTTACAGATGCAACTGCGGGATCAAAAGAACAAACATTAGATCTGATTCAAATTGGAGGGATATAGTTTTTTTATGAATTATTGTAATCAAAAGAAAAAACTAATGCTTTTATTGGATTGGGTAATTTATGTAGTGAGAAGTCAGTTTAAGACGAAGTCTTAGAATTGAAGATTATTGATTACATGATTGAAGAAGTTCATAGATACAAAAATCTTGAAGATCTATCCCTCAGATTATGGTTTTTGAGTGTGTTAGCCAAATTTAAAAGAGATTCTCAAAATGGGGAAACTGAGATAATTTAAAGAGAACAACTTTTTAATATCTTTTGGATGTACTAGAAGAAATACCCTGATGTTCTAAAAATCTAATAGGAATGTTTTCATGGATTCTACGCTCTAACAAAAGTGACATTTATCTAAAATGAATTAATGGAATTATGTTGTAATAATTTGAATAAAGGTATTGATAATATCATATTAAAAATTATGTACTATCTAATCAATGACTATGTAAAATTTGTATAGATTCTGCACAAAAGTCAATTTATTGAGTTCTGTGCAAAATATTTATAAATATCTAGTAGATAGAAATATACCTTAAGAATACTTTATTATTATGCTTAATATTATGTAGAAACAATAATTTAAAATAAAGAGATAGTCAATCAAATAATAATCATTTAGAACTCTTAAAAACATTAAAAATAAATCATACTATTACATTATGCAATGCTATTTAAATGCTAAAGTTCACAATTCATGGAAATAATAAAGGAGTTTGAAATCATTAATAATCTAAAAGTACTTTTAGAAAACTTTTAATATGAATAACAAACTCTTTGTTTATTAGCATTATTAAAATAAACTAATAAAGATACAATTAAGGAGTTGATCCCAGATTTAGAAAGAGTTTACTCGAATAAAAAGGACAATGAGAAGACTCTTAAGAAACTTTAACTGATTTTAGATTGATTATTAATATTACTGCTTAAATAGTTGACTTATAGATTGAGTATGATATTCTGGATGAGGTATATAATATATCATTGTTTTTGCAATTACTCATAATCTAGATCAAAACTGATGGGTTTAGCTTCTGGATTATATTCATGCTACTCAATTTCTTCTTTTTCATTCTAATTATGTTTGACAATATAAATCTTACATCTATTTTAACATCTTGTTAGTTTTCTTTTTTACTTATTTCCCTATTCTACTTCATTCTTTATTTATTCTCTTTTCTTCTTTGCTAATATTGAGCACTTAATATTTTGGTCCAATATTCTTCAGCTCCTTTTCTTATTCTCTTCTCAATTTCTACTCTTGGTACTCCTTGCATTCCAAATATTTTATTTTTAATATCGCTCCTATCACCAGTGGCATTGGGAATTCTAAAATAAGAATAATCCTTTAAACTTGGTCAAAACTTCATGATGAGCGGATTCAACATGATTTTTTAATGAATCACATGATGAAAACTTCTTGAAGCATCTCTAGCATGTAAAATGCTTAGCTTTTTAATGCTAATGCAAGTACACTTCATTTTTAAATGTTTTATCACAGTAAAAACAAAAGGGTTTCAAATATGATAAGTCTCTATTTTTTCTTCCCATAAATATCTATAAGTATATTTATATTAAAATTAATATTATTAATATTCATTTAAGTTTAGGTAATTATTCAAATGGAGATACACTTTATTTGGACATGTTCAAGACTTTTCTTTTACTAACAAATCCAAATCCAATTCTAGCTAAAAATCTTTTCATATGTGTGCATTCATCACCACATCTTTTATGCACCTAAAATATAATGATGTATTATTACTCTCATATAATTTTCATAATACTTTTTGAAATCAAAATAAGTGATTGTTTGAACACTCTTGTTACAATATTTAGAGATAATCAAGAAAATTTTATCTTTCCATTCATTTTTTTCTCTTTAAGCCAATTAAGTAAATACCTTTTTAATTGATTCTTCTTTCAGATGATCTTAGATTATTTCCAATGGTCTTCCCATGTTTTATCTAAGTATTTCTAAATCGAACTCTTCATCATTTTGAGGTTCATCGCCGAAAACAGAAAAAAATAATTGTTACTCCTTTTATTCTCTTTGATTTTGTTCTGGCGATTTTGCAATTTAAGATTTAGATTTCAACATATCCTCTAACAGTTTCTAACTAGAAGAAGAAGTTCGATGCTTATTTCTAATCATTTATTCAGATGGAGATACAGGGCCATATGTAATGATATGAACATTATCACCTGTGTTTATAAGTTGACTAACACTTCTCAGGCCCTAACTTGAATTGTGATTTATAGGACTATTTGTTCTTTAACCATTACCTATACCATTAGAACTAAAAGGCTAATTTATTGATCCATTATAATTATTTTGATTTCCTGAAAATATAATCTAACTTTATTATCTACTGACACCTGGTGAATATAATGAAGTTGGTTATGTATTTTAATTTTTATATTACTCATCATCTCCTAACTCATTTTTTTATTAGACATAATTGTCCACTAAATCATTATTTGTGAAGATATTTTATTAACTACCTGTTCTAAGTTTAATTGAATTTCTTATGCCTGTACTTTTATCTAAATTTCTATAACTATCTCTTCTATAATCTCCCATTGTATCAATTTAGTTAGATGAATTACGGGATAATTATTTTTAAGTTGAATTCTTATCATAGAAGTGAATAAATTATTATTCATTTAAGAAAACAGCTTCTAATTTCTTTAATTGATCTTCTGAAAGTCCAAGATCGCCAGCCATCTACTAAAAGAGATTCCATAAAACGAAATCATCTGTTTAAGTAGTCTTCTATGAAATTGACTCTGCCTTGGCTCTATAAATCTAAGAATCATTAAGCTTTTTTGTTTATTCTTCTATTTTCTCTTTTTCCTTTTCTTTTAATTATTATTGAGATTATTATATAAAAGTTTCAATATGCTATTATTAAGGAGGAATCTTAGACTCTTATTTTAATGATACTTATATTCCAATATCTTTAGTTTTATTATATTTGTAAAATTCACATTGAATATCACTTTAATCCATTATTGATGGTTTTTTATGTTATTTTTCTCCTTTTTAAATATTTAATTCCTTAGAAGAGAAATTTGAAAAGGATTACTTATTGCTCTTGGTTTCTAATTATGTAAGGGTTGGTCTACTGTTTTAGATTCCAAATTATCCAGATGAGGAATTTTAATCCTTTTTATTTCTATCATTGTTGACAGCACTGTTATTTCTATTGGTTTTTAAATATCCCTACTTCTATTTAAAAGTGATATTCGATCTATTTGTTGATTTAGGACTACTAACTTATTCAATTAATTTATGAACACTAGTCTTCTTAGTTATATCATCAATCTGGTTTAATTAGAGTAATTATTTTTTCTATATTTTAGTTGATTCATCTTCAGTCTCTGATTATGCCTGTCTTCTTTAAGTAGCAATTTTATCAAGATCTAATTATTCTTGTATCGAGGGTTCAAATGGTTTTTCAATATGCCCTACTCGTTTCTTGTTATTTTTCACTCTCTTCTTTGTTTAAGATTATTATTCATAACTGTCATCTTCATCTCCAGATAATTCATCAAGTTTTTCTAAAGGAGATTCACAATTAAATTTCAACTTAGATCTTACAATACGATATAACTCATTTGGTGCCAATCTTGCAATATCCTCAGCTGAATTATCCTTTATATATTATAGTAAAGTATTAAGTGATATTATTTTATTATCTGGTGATAAATCACTTTAAAGTAATAATAATAAGACTTCTTCTATTTATTTTGGTCCAGTCAAACTTTAGATCTTATCCTCCAAAGCCTTCTCATGTAACAATTTTAATTCTTCTTTCATTTCGTCATTTTCATCAATCATTTCAGATAATCTTAATTCAAACAATTCAACTCTTGGATCCACCATAGAAACCTAAACTTCAACATCTGATTTCTTTCCATTTTTAGATACTATTGTATTGCATACTTCTACTTTTTGAGTTACTTTATAAGTATCAATCTGTTTTAACAAACTTGTAAATTTCTTCTCTTATTCTTCAAATTTTTAGAATAATTAATTCATTTTGGCTTCTTTTTCAACTATCTAATCATTCTTATCTTTTATCAATTTCTCTAATTCTTCAATTCTTTAAAAATTTTAAGTCTTGCTCTTTTTTACTAAAATACCTGCTGTTCTCTTTATCATAAATGCATCATATTCAAGTCTAATCTTTCTCTCTGCTGCTCTCATTATTCTATCGGCTGTCTTCCTTTAAACCAACAATATCTTATCTTTGACTTCTTTTCTTATATCAAATTCTTCCTCATCCTTAATCTCATTCGCTTACTTAATTTAATCTGTTATGTATAAATCATTCTTAAAAGTCTCCCTCTCCATATGTTTATTCAAATCATTCAATTTTTATGTAGCATGACTGCTACAGATTTCTGACCACAAACCCTTTAACTTTAATTGCTTCCTTAAGTCTATTAAATTAGCTTCATTTTCCTCTTGAATTCTTAACAATTCCTTTTCAGTTTCATATTAAATATTCCCTTAAAGTAACTTAATCATTGCATCATCACTAGTACTTGTACCTTTATTTTCCATTTTCCTAAAGATCTTTTACTTATTCATTTTAAAAGTCTATTCAGCATCTATAAATTCTGAATTTTTCTAAGAATATATCTCTAAATTATGTGCATAATGAATTACTAAAATTCTAAACTTCAGTTCCACCCAACATTGATCTTGTAGAATTTGGTTATCTCTAACAGTATTCAATAGGTAATTCAGGAGCATTAACTATTTTTCGTGAATTAATTTCAATCACCTTATCAAATACAACTGCATAATTTGCTGATAACTTTTATAATAGTGATGCCTCATTGTTAAGATCCTTAGTCATCAAATTGAAACTCACTTCCTCTAAACATGATTTTAATTTATCTAATATCTGTTATAGCAATTTAATACATATCTAATCGTGTTTAAGCATCCAGAATTCCACGTTATTAGTGGCTGCTTCTACAATTCCAACATAGCTTTCTCAGCCACATTATTGATTTTACTTAAACTTGACTCCATTTTTAAGAAATATATTTATAGATTTTTCCTTTAATTTATAATATATAAATAATTCCCCCACTTTTCATTTCATAAGAAATTACATGTTCTGTTATATAAAATGAATGTAAAGATAATCCTACCTATAGTTTATAAATAAAGTAATCAATTATATGCTACAGGAGGATATTGCTAAAATAAACAACAAAGACATTCACATTACTGACTCAATTTTATCAAAAATTGATGTTTTATATTATAATGATGAAAAATTAATTCTAAATATATTTCTTTGAACTATGATTGAAAAATTCCCCCAAATTGTATTAAATAAACAAATATTTAAGCATATTCATATAAATAAAATCTCTACTTCAAAATAATCACACGAATGTAAACTACCAGAGTTATCTTATTAAAAAAAGCAAAGGGGTTTTTTATTTTAATTACTACTGTTCCTTATTAATTAAATTTGAATAATTATATCCTCATATAAATTCAGAAATGTATGCTATTTTGATTCCAATACTCTTTTTAAAAGTTTTCATTTAATTAAATGTTTAATAAATACTCTTTAACTTTTTAATCAACAAATCTAGAATTAGAATACAGAGAAAGTCAAATACCTGTAGTGAAAAAGGAATATACAGCCTTTTCTTTGCAAGCATGCGTAATTTTCATATTGAAAAATAGTTATACATGATATTTTATTCCATATATTACTTTAGAAGTCAGCCTTATTTTATCGTCATACTACTAAGTTGTTGTTTTATTGTTATCTTTATAATCTTCTCAAAGTTTTTAATAGATAAATACCCAAGTGTAATAAACATAATTTTGCCTTTTCTATAAATAATTATGGCTTTGATTTAAAGTGTTGACTATATTTTTAGATAAAGCAATCCAACTAATTCCTATCATTCAAATTATGATTGGTATTACGGATTCTGTGCTTGCTATTTTCATATGGGTATTTATTGTCATTATTATATAGCCATATTTATTCAAGGCTATCTATTATTGTCATAAGCCCTTATAGTAATAGGGTTACTGTTAGCTTACATTTTATGGGCTTATAATTACTCTTCTATCTATGTTAGTCTATTATTGAGTTTTATCTCTGTTATTGTTGGAATGATTGCCATCAAATATAGTATAGAGAATAACAAGAGACAGTAATTCCTCCACAATCGAGAAAGAAAAAAATGGTTTGCAGTAAAAATTAACAACAATTTTTAGATAATTGACACTGTCTTAGAATAATCTATTTTAGTCATTAAATTAGATAAACAATAGGATTAACTAAGAATACATTAAATGAATAATATTACCAAGGAAATTTTATAAGTTAATAATGACAACGATTTAAGAACAGTTCTAAGAAACGTAAAATATTGTTATAATTCATGTAGCTAACCTATTCTAGAGGATCAAAACTTACTAATAAAGAAAACAAGTGTACACTTGAAAAACATATTAGAATGATGTTATAAAGTAATTCGTCATCAGGTTCTGCCTTTGAATTGAGAAAAAGGGGCTCTTAAGACAAATTGATTAATTCATTGATATGTCATTCTAACTTATTAGGTAACTAATTCAAAGTCTAAATTGTTAATTACTGGACTGATGAACAATAAATGGTCATAATGGCTACTGAAAGTATAAATAATTATTCATAAAATCATGAGAAATTAGAGTTGAACTTAAAAAATAGACTCATTACTTCTTTGGCTTAACATTGTTTAAGTGTCTACTTTAAAGAAAAAGATGATAGATTTGCTAAATTACAATGTATGAATTACTTTGTATCTCTAAACATTTTGTAGAACCCTAATATAATAAATGGAACGCCTAATAAAAAATACCATAAGGATAAGCTTATTTAATTAATAAAATCTGTTTTTGGGAGTTAACTGACTATTATTAACAAGTTAAAAATAGAAAATTTACATATAGATCTAAACTCAGTTTTGCTAATATTCATATCATTGTTTTAATTCAGAGAGAAAAATGAAGGTCATATTAAGATATCATCTAAAATAAATGAAGATAAAGTTGAATCTATTCATTTTACTTTGATGCAATTTACTTAATTAATTATTCCTTAAATACGAGCTTACTTTTCAAAACCTTTATTTTTTTTTAATGATTAGGATAAATTCGCAATTACATCCCATCTTCAATCAAATTTATTACATTTAGATAAAAAGTTGAATTATTAAGATCCTTTAAAAGCAACAACTTTAATTATAATGAAATTTATATTATGGCATTACGGTTGTAATACTTAAATTAAAGTTAAATAAAAAAATAACCTCACTTACTTTTCATTTTCTTTGCTTAATTAATGATTATATGTAATTTTTATCAAATAAAATTCATATTTTGTTTAACTAATTATCATTTAATTCTAAATAATTTTGATTAGAATCAAGTAAATATTATGAAATTAAAAATTATCATCTACTTACTTCATTCTATAAATTTATTAAGAGATTTATAAAAATAAAAAAATCTTCTCTAATATTCCTTAATTATTTCTATTTTAAAATAACTAGAAACAAAAATATAATTTTAAAAATAAAATATACATTCAAGATATTCAATTATCTTAATTAAATAAATAATTTCTAAAAATATGTAAAATTATGAAAAGAGTAAATAATTTTTGTTAATAAAGTATATATAAAGATCATTCTCAATTTCTTGCCTTGAAATATTACGGGATAACATATGTATTAGGTTGATAGATTTATTATGGTTGGACTTCATGAGCTGAATACCTATTCATCAGATTTTGGTGAACTGGTCTTGCTGCTTTTGCAGATTATTAATACGTTTATATTTTATCGATGATACTTGTATTGAAAGTTCTTTCCTTTGGTGATTAATCAATAATTGGTTATCTATAAATTTTAGGTGAATAATCAATAATTTTTTAGTAGTTCAATTATGCTTCTTCCCTAGTAACAGGCTATTTTTCCTCACTTTTTAATCTCACCTCCATTGTTGGTTTATAAATAGGTGGTTATTATTATTATTATGATTATTGTAAGCAAACTTATTTAAAACTAGTTTCTTAATATTTTAAAATTCTATTTTCTAATTCATTAACATAATTGTCTTTTTATTTAATCTAATTCTTCAAAATTTCTAATTCCTTTTTAAGGTTGGATATTTCTTCTTCTTAAAATTTGATATGTTTTTAATAGTAATCATTTTTTTGAGAAAAATGTAAACAATCATAACATTTCTAGGATTATTAAGTCATATTTCTTTCTTATAAAGGTTTAACATCAGATTTGAAACCAAAAGTAATTTCTTTTAAATTTTCGTTTTTTCTGTCTAATTACTATTATTAGTTAATAATTTCCTATTTGAATTGCTCTTATCTTTTCTCCAATTTAAGCAACTCTTATTTTAATTCAACTTTCAATTCATCTTCTTTAATTGGTAACTTATAATCAGATTTTTTATCATTTTACTTTTGATCATTCCTATTATCAGGAGTTCTGGATTCTGTTCTAACTTTTTGTTCTGATTATCTAAGATCTAATTTAAGGTCCTATCTAATATCTTGCTTATGATCAGATCTATAAAGTAAATCACTTAGTTTATAATCCTTTCCTTACTTAGATTCAATTTTATTTGATTAATATTCTTACTAAAATTATGTTGAGGAACTAATTTAATTAGAAAACTATGAAATATTTGTAACTTATTGAGATTATCTCAAAGCTGAAGGTGGAATTTATGAGGTCTTCAAAGCACTTGAAGTTTACATTTAATAGGATTACCTTACTTCATTATTTTATTTATAACTTGGTCTCTATTTATACTCTTATTCTGATGATTAAGACACGTAGGATCCCTGATCAACAGGCATTTATTAAGTTGGCTTTTGTACTTCATGATTATGGGAATAGACAAAAACAATATTAAGACCTGCACTGATTTAGCCATCAACTAAATTGACTTTGTTTAGTGTAATTCTATGTGTTTATTATTGTGAATAATTTTCAGGCATTTTATTCATTCCAAAAACATACCATCCATCTAAACATTTCAACATGGCAAAGTTTTCTCCAGAAATAACTTGTGACACTCTCTATTCTTCATCTAATTTACATAATTCTTCTAATGGAGTGCACTTTCTGGCATAACCCCAACTTCCAGTTCCCCAAAAATAGACTTTTCCTTATTTACTTATTACACAACTAAATGTTCCCATAGAAGCAATCACTTATTGTACTTCAAAATTTAATGATAATTTAATAGGCTCTCTTACTACTTATTCAGATACCCCACATTATCCAAATAAATTATTTCCTGTAACAAAAACCTAATTATTGAAACTTAATTTTACTTGTCCTTTATATAAAAATAAGGAATGATCCAACCCCGCAGCCATTTAATCAATAGGTATACTCAATTTCACAGGACTTGTATGTTATCCTAAAACTCCCAATTATCCATTCTAGTTTTCTCCCATCACATAACATGTTTCTCCATTTCTTACAAGAGTATGAAAACTGCCACAGCAAACCTCTTAGCCTTAGATACTGAGTTCTGTAGGCTTTTCAACATTTTCTGTGTCTCCCATTCCTAATTACCCTTCCGAACCTCTACCCCAAACATAAATTTTATTATCCTTAGTACAGGCAGCCGAATGATATAGACCTACTGCAATCTAAAGGACATTCTTCATCACCAATTGAAATCCTGGTCCTGATGAGCCTCTTTAACCAAATTAATTTGATCCATAACTATATACGTTTCCGTCTTAAGTTAAGGCTAATATATGAGATTGACCTGCACAAATTTATTTGACGTAACCTGGAATGGTTAATGAAGTTGTTTCATTGAAATTAGGGACATTCCTAGGTGTTCTCAATGTTAATGATCCTGCGCTTTCAAAAAGATCAGAATCTTCATGATTAATAATACCATAGATAGTGATTTTTGAAGACATTAACGGAATGTTAAATATTTTATATTATAATTAATTAGAATGGAAGATTAAAAAGCTAGAAAAATATAAAAGTAGAAATTCATTTTTTTATAGTAGAGCTTGGAGGTCATTTACAAATAGAAAAATATTCCAATATTATAAAGACATCATATTATTTAAGTGCAAGTACTGAATAATAATTAATATTAGAGGAAACCCAGCTCGATTGTTAAAAGCTATTAACCCTAACGAGGCTCAATTGCTCGATGCTGCTTGCAAATCACATATTCGATTTCGACTTGGTGGAGAAGTATATTATTTTCTTATTAATCTAGCAATTTCCTCCTATTATTTACTATAAAATATATAGTCACGGAGGAATTGTAGATTTAAATTCTTTTGCACCTAGAGATTATTCATCAATCTAAAGAGATCCTGTTCCTCATGAAAAAGTTGCATATTCAGAATATAAGAAAAATTAATAAAAATACGATAATCAAGGATGGTATTTAAGGCTAGACAACAATGGATGGAGACCAGTTAAATTTATTTTAATAACAATAGATCTCAAACAAATAAATGATCAAAGCAGATTTTGTTGAATTATACACAGCTAACAAAATTAGATATTATCATCATAAAAAAGACAAGCGAGAGGAAAAAGTGAATAAGAAGACGAGACTCAATAAATTGAAATGGGCATAAAGTATTTAAAAATAAAAAGAGGGAACTCAATAGAATAAATAGGTTTAATAATCTTAAGACTTCTTCACTCAAACTAAGTAATATTTAGAAATGGATGATGTAAAATTTCTTTTTATTCTAAGGATGAATTTGATAAGGAAGTATAAAACCTTATAGATTGGAGTGAAAATTTGGATTATGATAAATATATGACAGAATGGTTTTAATTATCTACTTCTAATGCAAGCGAAAATTATGTTGTTTAGTAAATTCATGTAAATAAAATTATTATTTTATAGTAAACAAAAATTGATTCAGTCTTTAAAGGAACTTGAAAGTTTGAAAATATTCTCATTAAATTCATTTATAAGTTAATATTATCTCTAATTTTGATTTTTACAGCTTTGTGGTCTCACAAAATTATTATCATATTGATTAGCATTCCAAGTTAGCAATCGTTAATATATTCCTTGTAATTTCTTTTATTCCTCCAATTAAGCCGAACAAGCCTTTTGAATTTCAATACAAGTGTTTTATTCTGAATAGGCACGAGAAGATTTAACTTTTTGAGTCCTTGGTTCTTAATAAAACAGACTATTAGTTTATTAATAACTGTAAGTCTTTTAGGTTGGAGTTTTCGATCGAGAGGAAAGAGGTACCATTCCAAGTTACATAGCATAGTGTTTTCCCTTAATTGTGTGTTAAACTTTATTTTGTGACATTATTGAAAAATTTTCCACTGTTTTCTATAATATATTTTTCTACAAGTGGATCGATAGTCTAAATTCTAACTTAAATGCTTTTTCTTTTATTTGCATTCTTAAACAATTTACAACATAGATTATTTTAATGATATTGTAACTTATCAGGTGAAATTTTGTTAATGGATCCAAATTTGTGTTAAATTTTACTATAATCAAGATCTATTTTTTTTTTATAAAGTGATAATTCTAAATCTCTATTGATCATTTTATTCAAATAAAATAATCTATGATTATAGATAAAATTTATTTGTACCGTGATTTTTGCCATTAAAAATTAATTAAGTTGGAAATTGTAGAGCCATCATATGGCAACTTATTTTACAAGAAAAAGGATTAATCTATGAAAACATAGACCTTCTGATATAATTTTGAAAAAAAATTGTATTAATGATTTAAGATCTATCTTAGTATGATAAAATTTCATGAAACAAAATCAACAAATTCAAGACTATTTAATTTAAAAAAGTGAACAATGATCCTAAAAATTATAGATATATATTATTAATCGAATGACAAATAGATACTATTTGGTATTATTGTAGAATATCAATATAAAATAGTAGAAAAAATAATTGATAATATAATTTAAATTTAATTAAATTCTTAAATTAAGAAATTCCTAAAAGCACCTTCATTCTAATCTTATTAAAAAGAGGTAGAAAGCAAGTTAAGATATACTAAGTTTTTTATTCATAATACTTTAAAATGAGCATATTTAACAGTAGATTGTCGAATAGTAGTTTAATCCTGAGGTTAAATTTGCATTCCTTAACTCCTTTAAATTAAGAAATTTTTTTTGATAAAAATCAATAGGAAATCTAAAATATACATCCTTTTTATTTTTAAAAACATATATCTCCAAAAATTTGGATGCTCTCAAGATAAAAATAATTTAATTTTTTCGTAGCTGCAAAAACTTAATTAAGTGATAAATAATATTAAATTTCTAACTAAATGCCGAAGCAATAATCATGATGTTAATTTGACCAGTGTGGGCAAACGGTCCCATTTTATTTCTGAGCAAACTAAATTTTCATCATATATAAATTTAAAGTTAGGAAAATATGAAGATTGATGAATTCTATGGAGATAAGTTTAATGATACATTTGAATGACATTGAATGATTCTTCTAAATTTTTGTTAATAAACAAATTTTATGGATTCAGCAATTGAACAACTTCATTATAACTAATATTTAATGGTCTGGTTGTTTTTTTAGATATTGCATTGTTTTTCTTCTTCTTTCTTTCTTATCCTTCTGAAGAATCATTAGTTGACAGAGATCCCATAGAATCATTCATGAAATTAACAGTTAGATATATAATAAAAATATTAATCAAAATAAGAGTCTTAATCATACAAATTTGTTCTATTTAAAACAATTGAAATCCATCTCTCAAATGTTGAATTTATTTTATTTTCTCCTTATTTTATATTCCTAATCAGAAGTATATAATAAAAAAATAATTTATTAATAGAACAAACAAAGCAATTAAAAAAGGAACCAAACTTAGAATAATCACATCTTAATAATACCTTCCTATGGAAAGTGATAATAATCATTAAATGACTATTGTAAAATACTTGCAAGACTCATAGAAAACTTAGGAAATATCTTGGAATATTTATGATATCCCTATTTTTTCTGTTATTATCAGCAATAATTAGCAAAGGACGATTTTGGTTAAAGATTATTACACCTTTGTCAAAATAACAATAATAAAATCTATTGTCTACCTAAAATACAAAACTCTTAAAGGCCTAAATTTCAAATGTAGCGCAAAATCATTAATCTTGAAATCATCTGAGAAACAATTGTTTCTAAATATAAGAAATAAACATTTTGAAGCATAATTCCTGAATCAGATGAAGAAGTGTGAAGAGGGAATGAAATTTTAAAGAATAGTAGACATTTGATAATAAATTAAAGCTGAAGTTATTTCTTAATTTCTTTGTTCCAATTATGTAAATTGAAAGGGATCAAAATCCTAAAAGCCACTTCTAGAATAGAATATTAACCTAATATTATTTCTCTAAATATATGCTAATATATTTGTCTTTTGTTTAATCTTCACATGCCCTTTAAAAAAACACAAATTATATTTTATCCCTATTCAAACAAAAAGGAAGTTTTTTATTTCCATCTCCATATAAAAATAAAATGACTATAAAATTACTCTAATAAATTTTATAATGAACAATTTAACAATAATATGTTCAGGAATTAAAAATTTTATATAAAATAAATTCAAAATGCAAATAGATGAATTGCCGGTTGGGCAGTCAAAAAAGAATTTTATGTTAGAGGAGTTTCCACCAGGTAATTTTGATTATAAATAATTAGATTTTGATCCTCAATAATAAGAAAAAGTCGATTTACCATTAAAGTAACGAATTAAATCTAAAGTTTGGAAAGTAAGGCTTTAAGCTTATGATGAATTAGCAAACGATGAAGAAATGGATAGTGAATGTGTCATATAGATAATATAGGATATTCATATTCAATGCTAAGAGAAAGCTCTTTAGATAGCATCAAAATATTTTGAAAAACAAAACTAAATAGAGTGTTCATATCAAAAAGAAATTATTAAGGTTTTATTAGAAAAAGTATTAACACAACCTAAATTAAAACAACTTGGTCTTCAAGTTTCAACTTAACTTTATCCAAATTGCAAATCCGCTTTTTCTGAAATCATAATATAATACCTAATTCATAAGAACCCAAAAGTTGTGTAAGCAACAATCGCCTTGTTAATAGAATTGTTGCAATAATTTGGACTTAAAAAATTAGATAATTTAAAACCTTTTTTTCCAGTAATGTCTAAGCTAACTGAAGCCTAATAGAGCACTGTTAAAGCTGATGCTATTGCATTTTACAGGGAAGTGACCAAATGGTATGGAAAAAACATAGAAGCCTTTTTTGGAGGGTTAAATGAAAAATTTCAACTTGAACTGAAAAAAATAGCTGAAACCATAACTGAAGTATAAAAGGCTCTTAATCAAGAAGAAGAGGCTGAAACAAATAATTAAGAACTGTATGATTTGGTAGATGCCGTTGAAGTGTTTTCAAAATATACAGAAACATGGTGTGAAAAAGTATTTTAATTAGAAAAATGGTAAGAGAAAAAGGAACAATTAGACAATCTATAGAAATCATGTTCTGTTCCTAAAATACAGCCATCACCAAATATATATTCAGTTGTATAATTATTAAAGAAATTGTTGAATGAATAATAAATGATTATAAGTACTTAATGTATCAAGATAATTGGATGTATGGCCAATGGATTAAGAAAAAACTTTAATTAATATGCAAAAATAATTATGCTCCCTGTTTTGACTAAGTTAAAAGACAAAAAACAAAATATTGTAGATGAAACTATTTTTACTATTAAAAAACTGTTTTACAGTTGTAGTCTTGATGAATTGTTCGAAGAACTAAAAGCCTTATTGGAAGACAAAGCTCCAGGTCCAAAAATTAATGTTTTTATCATTATTGAACATTATTTAGATGAGACACCTAAAGATAAATTGAACAAACTCTTGTGTATTAAATAATTAGTGCCAATTTGTAAGAAATTTACAGAGGATGGTAATGCGGATGTAAGAACAAAGTCAATCATGTTGATGGCTAAAATATCTGCTAAATTATATAATGGGGCTCTGTCTATTGATTTAAAAGGGGACAAATATACAAAATATTAAAATTAAGTAAATATATATATGGAAGGAATAATTGCATCATCAGGAAAAGAAGTCCTATAATAATAAAATCAACAACAACAATAATAACTTCAACAACCATAACAATAATAATAATAATTATTATAAAAACAATTAATACCTAATAAAGAAAACTTACAATTATAAGTTACAAATACAAGTAATAATTCTTAAAAATAATCTATTTAATCTAAATTGAATAAGTCACTTTCAATTAACTAACAAAATTAGAATGATGTATAATAATTATAATATTCAACAACAATGACTTCACTTCAGGTTGATGCTTTCTTAAAATAGTATAAGTCAATTAAAAATAAAGATTAAAGTGAATTAGGAAATATTTTACTATAAATAACTTAGTAATCTAATTACATTTTAAGTGTAACTATGGAATTTATTATTGACAAAATGTCAGAGTAAAAACCTTTATGTTATTAATTATTTGATAAAATCGCATAGGCTTATTAACCTAATCATCTAACATAATTAATTACAACCTTTAAAAATGCCTCTACTTAAAGTTAGCTCCTAGAAGTTCTTAATATTTTGTTAAAATACATACCTTAAAGCGAAAAAAATATAGACTAGTAGCTTATTTCAGAATTTCTTAAGACTTATTAGCATCAATCTAATTTGAAAACAAGAACATTGGTTCAAGAATGCCAAAATGCATTAAAATTATTATTTGAAGTGAAAAAAGTCTAAACAGAGGAAAAGAAGATGATTCCTTTTCCTTTAAATACATTTAGCGATTAACATTTTGAGCGCATAAAAACTTAATTAAAAGTACCTCAAATTCCTTAAGCGCTCTATGAAAAAATGTTTAGTTATAATATATAATAAAACTAACAAGCAGCTGCTTATATAAAAGCCAAAATTACACAACCAGGTGAATTTAGCGAAATATTTTTTAAATGGGCTTATATGATTTCTTGGATGAAAGAAAATATTCCTTTACAATAAGAAATTTCATAGTTATTCTAAATCTTAATAACCTAACATACACCTACATTCTTAGAATAACAGATCATATTTTCATATATTAAAATGTTGATATTGATATATTTAAGGGCTGGAGTTCCAAAACTAGCATAAAGAACATTGCCCTTATTAATGAATTTACTGAGTGAATTCAAAAAGTATTATGTGTAACAGCCAATATCAATAGTATTTGAAGATTTTGATGAATTATCCAATTAATAAGCAAATAAAGTCATATAAATTATGGCAGACAATGCAAATGATTGGAATATTTGCAATACTCTTTAATAAAAGTAGCTTATTGCCTTGTTGATATCTTATTTATGGAAAGAAGAGAGTGTAATCATTCCTAAATAAACTGTTTAAGCAACTTCTCCTTAATTTTAGAAGTCATAGATAATTTAAACATCGTAAAACAATGAGATCCCATATAAAGATCAAATTTAAAATTGTTAAAGGTTTAATCCTTTATTTGTTGCAGAATAATCTAAAACAGAATAAACTAATTCAGAGAAAAAGAATATTTAACCCAAAAGTACCCCCTATAATGTATAAGTTAACTCTTAGATTAACAGTGGAAATATACAATAACCACAAAATTCGATGGAAATTGAGTTAGATTAAAATATTAAAATATTTTAGTAGTTATACTTTAAGTATAAAGAAACCAATAATTTTGAAAATCCCTAATTACTAGCAGATTAAATAATTGTATTATTAAACAATTTTATGAAAGAATAATCATGTGATAAACTAAACTAATTATTAGAAACACTTTTATATATATTATCAACAGGCTAATTCTTGAAGTTAATATCATATGATAAATTCTATATCATATTTGATACATTGATTTTTAAAATGGTAGAGGAATCAACTAAAGTAGGCAACAAAGATGGGGCTCAAAGAAATTGTTATAGCTTAATTAATCAAAGCTTAATAAAGATCTTAAATAATTAAGAACTACCTATTTTGTATTTAGGATTTTTAGATTGTTTAATAAAAGTGAAAGAAACCTAAAAGCAAACAAAATAATTTTATACTTTAATAACAAAATGCTTAAGTAAATCAGTGGGATAAGTTAAAAGCTAATTTTAGTGGTAATAATTATAGGCAATTTTAGAAAAGATAAATAGATATTTGCTAATATGTGAAAAATAAGAGCCTAATCAAGAATTTTAAGAGTCTCAAGATTTCCTATTAAAAGCTCTAAAATCTACAGTGATATATTTATTGCATTTTAATGATGGAGTGAAGGTTTGTTAATATATTACTTAATTAACAAATGAATAATCTGCTTTGAGATAATGGTTGTTAGAGTTTTAAGAAAATAATGTAGCAAAATAAAAAAGATCTAGAGATACTCATATAAATTAGATTATTGAATTACTAAAAATTGATTTCGACAAGACTGTAGAACAATTTGTATCTATAGTGAGAAGATAAAATATTGATTGGAAACCTATGGTTGAATTTTTGAGTGAGTAATAAATAAGATTCATTGAATTAAGGTTAGAGTAGACTAATCACATGAATCTTTTGGAGAAAAAAGTCGGGGAGTTGGAGAAAATGCTAAATTAATGAATATTAAGATAATTAATTTATTAGTATTACCCGTTTTTATATAATACATAGTTATTAATATTAATAAATGAATAAATTCATTATTGTTGGGCTATTGGCTTTGGTTTGTACATAAGCCTTCGAAATAGATTTCTCTCTATTATTACAGGTAATGAATGTGAAAAACAATAATAGACAGGATCAGAATCAAATGATGCAGTCTAGGCAGTATATGATTTATTGAATGATTTGAAAACAAGTAACATTGAAGCTTAAGGTGTTGCTGACGAAAAAAATATTTCAGATGAAGAAATTGGATAAGCTAGAATTGCTGCTCTTTCAAAAGTCAACGAGTTAAATTAGAAAGCATGGGCTAGTGCAAAAGCAAGAAGAGAATAAATCGGAATTGAATACAGAGTAAATATAGTATGAATTATTGTGTAGGAAGCAACAGATTATATCGCTTGGGCTACATAAAGATTAGCTGATATTGATAGAAGATCAGTTGAATTATAAGAATTGAGATGCTTTTCAAATGGTTTATTTGTTAGAGCTATTAAATAACATAATGATGCTTTAGGTGTTATTAGAGTCTTAAAGAATGACTTGAGTGGATATTTAACTGGATAACCATCATCTTTAGTCGAAGTGAATGTGCAAAATGTCTCAGACAAATTGAAATAATACAGTCAACTTTTCAACTAAGATGCTATGACAAAGTTTGCATAATTAGCTGCTGAATAGGCATCAGGAAATGCTGAATTACATGCCTTGGGATAAGAAGGAGGATCTTCATCATCATCTGACAGATAACCAGGACTTAATGTTGGTTAATTAGTATACAATGCTTTATCTGATCTTGAAGATTAATTAAAGTCATCTTTAGCTAATTTGGAAGCTAACGAAATTGCCGCTTATTATTAATTAGCAGATTGGTTGGCTGACACAGAGTCTGAGGTTGCTCATTTAAATGATGAAATCCAAAGAAAAACATTATTATAAGACAAGTTAGTAGTGGTAATCATCAAATATTATAATATAGTAAGAATAAGCTGCCTTAGCTGTTTAAGCAAAAGCAAATAGCGTCTTAAAAGATTCTTAAAATGCCATCAATGCAGCCACAGCATCATTATAAGAACTTAGAGAAATATACGAGACTGAATTAAATAGAAGAAACGGTATCAATAAATAATATAAATTTAGAGGAAAATGCTATCATTGATGAAGTTATTCATATCTTCAAATAATAAGTTTTAGAAATGGCCAACTAAACTTCTTATGGAAAGAAATGATTAGGATTGCTATCATTAAATAATCATTATTTTTTTATTCCTCTGCCTTATATTTATTTATAAATCTGTTCAGAAGATTTAACAAAATTTTCTGCTGTACAAAAATAAATTAATAAGAAAATCTTAATTGTAAATTAAAACAGAATACCCATCATTTTAAAATAATATTTAATTTCTTCTTCAAAACTATAAATAAAATATATGAAAGACTCATTTGTTTCATCATTATTCGCAAATTCTTATTCATACTTTATAATTAAACTTCAAATTGCTCAACCTTAGAAGTAATTCATAAATTGATTGAGTATAATCTTATTAATTGCCTTATAAAGAGAAATAATTATTATAATAATTATAAGTTTTTTTTACTTTTTGACTTTCACAAATCATGAACATTTTTGATACAAAAGCCAACTCTGAAGGATTCTTCTCAAGATATGGGAGGTTGACATCACAAAAGTTTTATATTTTAAGAAAGCCTAAAGTGATAATAAAGTAAAAAGTGCATTAGGAAGAAAATTCATTATTTGTTGAAGAGTTTCCCTAAGAAAGTCCTAAAAATAAATAAACTATTGATAAAAACCTATTTCCAATTTACCAATTAAAGAAAACTAATCTTAAAAATTTGTCGAGATCCTTTCAATTTTAAACACCTTTAAGATCTAGATCTCTCTAATTTGCCAAAAAGTAATCTTTTTAGAATTCAGAAACTCTAAGTTTTAGTAAGACTTCGAAAAAATTAAGAGAATCATTTGATTCAAAAAAAAAAATTTTAAATTACAGCAGAGTATCAGAAGAACTCGAGCAATTATAATATTTTTGACTTTATTTAATTTATTATAAAAATATAAATATAGCTGTTACAATATTATATGAGTATAAATTTTATTCATATTTCGAAGTAGATAAACACACAATTTATTTTATCAATTATGAAATCATAAGGTAATAAAGAAAATGTAATAGCTAAATAAAATAAGATTCCTTCTTCGTAAAATATTCTATAAGAATACAAAAATAACAATGGTAAAGGAACTTAAAGGTAGAACACAACTCGTATTACATTTGTATGATTTTAGCATCAAAATTAAAGAGTTATTATAATTAGTTTGAAGTAAAACTTTAAAAACGATCAATTTCTTTCATTGAGGATAAATTATAAAAGGTAAACAAAGAACAAAATATTGCTTCTACCATATAAATTGGTAAGGATTAAAATCAATCAGATAGTGATTAATCAAAGGATTCAATTAATATTTGGTAAGAAGAATGTAATTATGAGGATTTATTTGACTTATTTTAATTTAGATTTAATAATTCTTATAAAACCACTGTGTAAAATAATGCTGCTCAATTAATGAAAGGCTACAAAAAGCTTTTTGGATACAGCATTTTTAGAACTAATATAGGAAAACATCCATTTTATCATATGAATAGAAATATTAATTCATTAAAGAGCCTTAATGAGGAAAAGTAGAACACTAGATACTCTAAGGTCTCTATAAAAATTAAATTGCAAGATAGCAAGATTCCTTTTGGAAAGATTTCCTATTTGAATAATTAAATTACAGTATATAATAATAAGGAGAAAAAAAGGTGATGATATATACTAATAACAATTGTCAACTATTCTATATTAATCAAGTGAGCACTAAAATATCGTTAAGGGAGTATAGCTCAGTAGCAGAGCAGCAGACTGCAGATCTGTAGGTCTCAGGTGCGAACCCTGATGCTCCCTTCTTTTTTTTTTTTTATAAAAGCAAATTTATTTAATTTGAAAATAAAATATATTAATCTTAATTAATATTTTTCTATTTAGTTAAAGATAATGATATTCTACTAAAATATTAAACTCCTTCATTTAATTCAGCAATATTTAGTTGCTTAAACTATCTATTAAAATTGGGTTAAGTTTTTGAATGACTAATAATAAGAAAATTGAATCTCAATTAGAAATCCCCAAATAAAAGTGCAGTTTATATATTATAATTATCCTGAAAAGCTTTTGATAAAAAACAAGTTTAATTTGAATAATTTTTCATTTATATAGCAAAATTGTATGAATTAAATTAAACTTGATGTTATTGAATGTAAATATTATAACCAAAAATTATCAAAATAATACATTTAAAGCCTACTTAAAACGTGTAAGTTAAATGTGGGTTTAAACACTATCAATTAAAAACTAATAAATAGTAATATATATCCGTTTAGTAGAATTAGCAATTATTTATTAAACCTATTTCAATTTAATATGAAACCATAAAACATGATTCCCTCTCTTTATAAGTTTGGAATTAATAATTTAAAGACTTTTTATTATAAATTTAAAAGCAGGTATGAGAAAAAATGATTATTCTAGATTTTTTATCTAACATTATATTTCTATATTTACAATTTTGTAAAAAAGCGAATTAAACTGACATAAATGTAAATGAACTTCTGTATTTTTAAAGGGGGTTACAGGATATTCTCCCTTGAATTATTAAAACACCAATAGCAAACTAGACTAATCTTGAATAGAGGCAGCAGCAAATATGAAATAAATAATCTGATATTATTAGAGGATGATACAGAAGGTTTGATACCGATTTTATTTTATGAATCTTATTGGAATAAAGGATAATGAAATTAGAGTACTTTATAAAAAGTACAATCTTTATGAATTCAATTATAAAAGATCAAGTTATATAAACAATTAATGCCGTTTTTCTTTTGTTGAATAGCATGAGTTAGAAATGAAATAATCTTAGTTCAAAACGATGCAACATAAAATTGTGAACAATTGCTAAATAACACTCTAATATGCATATTACGCTTAACGCAATCAATTATTAAGGGTTGTAAATTGAAGAGCAATTCTTAAATCGCAACTAATAATCCTTCTGTTTAAATGAATCAAATATATCTAAGTGTTAACTCATTTTTTTATAGGGAAACCTAATTAAAATAGAAATAAATATTTTCATCTAGCAATATCAATCAAACAAAGCTTAAACTAGGTTAGTTATTCCAAAACTTTGTCATATTGGATGTATTAATCTATAATTGCAAAAATATTTAGGATATATAAAAAGCAACTTTAGTTAGATATTAAAATAGATAAATTACTCATCATATAATTAATATATATTAAAATAACTTTAAATTATTTATAAAATCTAAAGGATATATTAAGATTGTTTCTTTAAAATTTTTCTTTGCTTTCTCAAGATCTGATATAGAGATTTCTTATTCTAAGTGTATTTGATGTATATATCATGTGTAAGTTAATATTGGAATATTTTATTCGTAATTTTAAAATATAGGAGAAACTTATAAATTTTGAATTTTATATCTTCCTTGTGCTTAATGTCACCCCAATATAGAGAGCATTTGAATAAAAAGCCAAAATACCTCGGAGAGATTGACAAAAAATGAAAGGTCAATAATGAGTTTAAAGAGAAATATTAGAAACAATAAAATGTTATTAACTCATCCATAATCAGCTGAGAGTGAAAGATAAACATGAATAAAAGAGTGGAAATTAGGAATAAAGAATGTACTAATAATTGGAGTAATAATTAATGATTAATACCTTATAACTTTCATGATGCGTTATTAATTTGAATTTTAATTAAAATAATTTATAATATTAAATAATGCAAATTATTATAAATTATGTTGAATCGTTTTTATATAATTCGTAAGGTATTCCTGTTTCTTCGTCAATTAATTAATGATGGCATATTAAACTGCGGATTATCTGTAATGTTAAAGGGATTATCAAGGTTCAGAAAGCATATAATCTTTAATTGATCAATGTGTGGAATATTGGCCATTTTAAATATAAGAGGAACAGAGGTAGAAGTAAGGGCGAAAGCATACGAGCTGTCGAGAAGATTAAGACATAGAGGTCCAGATAGATCTAAGATTATTGTTCTTGTATTTGTATTCTCATAAAGTTCAGGAAATAAGCCCAGGTGTGTATCATGTAATTTCTCACGAAAGATTGGGATTAGTTGATTTGAGTGACAAAGGCAGGTAACCCTTTTAATTACTGGATGATTAAAACATAATCTTTATGTAAAACGGAGAGCTATATGATTACTGGGATTTAAGACCAGAATTAGAGAAGAAATATCGTTTTAGCAGTAATTCGGATACAGAGATAGTCGGAATGTTATATAAAGAAGTATGAATAGAAAATACATAATAGTATGGGGCAGGCAACTTCTGGAACCACCTTAATGGTATGTTCGCCACAGTTCTAATAGATTTGAGCAAGAAAACATTTCAAGCAGGAAGAGATCATATCGGAATAATTCCTTTGTATTATGGTTATGATAAGGATGGATCACTATTCTTGTCATCAGAGTTGAAAGGAATACATGACTAAGTTATTGATGTTAAATAGTTCCCTCCAGGTTATAAAATATAATAGTATTTTAGGCCATTATATTGATGAGACATATGAGATCAAGAGATGGTACAATCCAACTTGGCATAACTTTGATCACATTCCAACAGGGGAAATCATTTTAGAAGAATTGAGAGACAAATTCGTGGAGGTCGTCAGAAGAGAAGTTCAAGGTGATGCTCCTTTTGGATTGTTTATATCAGGAGGGTATTTATTTATAATGATTATAATAGTGTTGACTCTTCAATAGTGGCTGGAATTGTTGCTAAATTAATAAAGAAAGGGGATATAGATTTGAGTAAGAGAGGAATGAGAAAAGTTCATTCGTTTTGTATCGGATTGGAAGGATCTCCAGATTTACATTTTGCTAAGAAGGTGGCAGAATTCCATGGCTTTGAACATCACTCATTCACCTATACGGTCGATGAAGGGTTAGATTATATACCTGAAGTCATATATCATACAGAGACATTCAATAACACTACCATTAGAGCATCAACACCCATGTATATGATGTGTAGAAGAATCAAAGCCTTGGGAATCAAAATATGTTTAACAGGTGAAGGAAGTGATGAATTATTTGGTGGATATTTATATTTCCACAAAGCACCTAACAGAGTAGAATTTCATTAAGAATTAATCAGAAAACTACATGATTTGCATAAATATGATCTCCTCAGAGCCAACAAGGCTTGTTTGGCTTGGGGTATTGAAACTAGACCTCCTTTTATGAACAAATAATGGGTTGAGTATGTTATGCAAATTGATCCTAAATACAAGATGATTAATGCCTTTGAACCTCAAATGGAAAAATACATTCTAAGAAAAGCCTTTGAGGATTTAGAACATCCTTTTGTGCCATAAGAAATCTTATGGAGATAGAAGGAACAGTTTAGTGATGGAGTTGGTTATAGTTGGAGAGATGGTATTATTAAGAGGGCTAATCAGTTAATCTCTGATTAAGAGTTTTCTTAAGCATCCATCAAGTACCCAGTGTCCACTCCAAGAGATAAGGAATAATATTGGTTCAGACAAATCTACTCTTCCTATTTCCCAAGTGAAAGTTCTGTTTTGACTGTTCCATACGCCAGATCAATAGCTTGTTCAACCGAAAAAGTAATCTATTGTTAATAATCACTTAGGCTTTGGAATGGGATGAAGCTTTCAAAAAAAATACAGACGAATCCGGCAGAGCTGTATTAGCTGTTCATAATGATGCAATTAAGGAACTCATCTAACCAGAAGAGGACCGTTCAACTGAGGATATTTCCAAAGTACAAGAGCATTTCTAATTATGATTTCTATTACATGTAATCAAATTATAAATAATTGTTTCATACATTTGTTTATTTACCAATTTATAATTAAAATATTGGAATATAAATGTACAAAATTCACCAATAAATGAATACACTATTAACATTCGAAGAATTTTGAGGATAATAGAGATTAATCAAACTATTATGAAGTAAATAATTTATAATTTGAGAATGTTTGTTAAAGAATTCGGATAGGTTTAAGAATATGTTATACAAATAAAGTTTAAAATAGCTTTGTGAAGTAAAAGCGTTTAGTAATTAATATCATATGAATTATTTTAGTAAGTTTATTAATTATACTCTGATCTCACAAACAATAAAAACTGGGCAGCTATTTTTAATAATAATAACATTTCAAACTATTTACAGATGGTTTTATTAACTTAGACAGCTTTGGGAATCATTTAACAAAAGGTATCTGGGTTAAAATGGATCAATTTTAACCCAAAAACAGTAATAAAAATAGATAATGAATTGAAAATCACTCAAATATTTAAGAATACATGCATTCGATCTCTCATTGGAACTTGAGAATGAAGGCAATATGAGTAAGAATCCTCCTCCTTCATTCTAATATGTTGATGGATAACAACAATATAATAAATAATATTCGCAAATATTAATTTATAATGGAAAATAAATCAATTGTGAATTTCAAAATGACAAGAAAACTGCTTAGTTTTGGGTCAAGATTATAATGGTTGCCTATTACTTATGCATAATTGAGTTTGGATCCTTATTATAGAGTTGTAGATTTTTAGATGTACAGATATCAACTGAAATTTGTGTTTGGAAATATGTCTAATAATGGTGTTGATATTAAATTAAAATTATTAAAATTGTTTATATATATCATGCATTCTTATAATATCTATTAAATGCTGGTTAATAAATTAATTTAAAGAATATAACAGCAATTATGGCTCCAGCAAAAGGCCCTGCTATGAATACCCACATTGAATCCAATCTTTCTAATTCATTAGTCTTTAACACCTAAAATAATTCCAAGGCCACTGCCATTCCAGGGTTCAAACAACCTATAAAATCAAGCTTTTTCAATACCTCCAGAATGGGAAGTGAAACATCTTGACAAATGCAATGACAGGGTAATAAGAGTAATACTAGCAATTGGTTTATCAGAGAAAGTTGTTTTAGGATTGCCTTTCAATTATAGACAAATTTTACATTAAATTAATATCATCAGAATAAAAGAGAAGGATCCAAGAGCTTCACCACATAAGTCAGCAATTATCCAATGAAAGTTCAAGTCAGTCACCATAGGACTATTGATTTATCCCAAAACCATATAACAAAAGAATCCACCACCAAATGCACCAATCAGTTAAGCAATCCAATATAATAGACAAGTACCAGTTGATATTTATCTAGTCAACCACATTGCTAATGTCACCTATTTATTACATCTAAATTACTGCTGGATTTATATGTCCACCACTAATTGGTGCACACAATGCTAATGACCCGAAAAATGCTAACGCTATCTTACCCCCATTTCCTTCTGAGCACACAATCCTAAATTCTAACATTTTCTTACCCATAAGCAAATAAAGCCATCGATATCATCTCTATTAATGCCCCATTAAACTTCTAAGCGTGTCTTTAAGAAAATGTCAATTGTTTTTCTTCCATTTAGTCTTTTAATTTTCTAATAAATTTATTTATATAAATATGAAGAATTTGGATTATCATTCAATTAATGCATTTCAAATTCTTTTTCTAGTTATATGTCTTATTCACATTCCAACTCATCATCCTTGCCTTATTCTATACTGCTTTTACATCAAAATTGTGTAAACCTCGCTTTGATTACATCATTAAAATCCTTATTCTTTTGACTAATATGATCTAATAGTAACGATAGTCATTGTTACTACTTATCTTTTATGATAGTGATATCTAAACTATAGTTGAGTTCTAGTTAATTGATCATGTTCAGATATATGCTTATAATTTAAGAATTATAATACTAAAAGTAATCCTTTTTTGAAGATAAATTAAATTTGCAAATTTTGGTTCTGCTATCATCTAAAAAGTATTTCATTTGATCAAACATTCATCTATACTTATATCATTTTACTTTAACACCTTAAGTAATAGAATTATATCAATTTCAAATATATTTCCTTATTGAATTTATTTTATGGTATTATAATTCTATGCTATCATTTTTAACATCTTTATTTATGTAAATTAAGGTCTCAAAACTTGCATTTATTATTTTAAATGAAATAAAAATTAATTATGGGGTTGACCTACTCTGTTATTTACATATGCTGGTGCAGACATGTCTCAAAAATGTGGGTATATGATTTAATCTATTAAGCTTGAAAATGATGTCGTCAAATTTTATTCAAATCATGTCACACCTTATAGAAATAGATATTAATGAATTAATATATCCATTTGGATTATATTTTGAATTAATGGACAAATGGTTTAACTCTCATCTTTTTATTCTATTCATCATCAAATTATAATCTGTTTTTTTAAACTGATCCAGATTTACATAAATTCTAAATTAACTTATGATCAAATCACTTCTCTACTTCTGTTGGATTAGCTATTTCAACCTTATTGGAATTTTTGGTTTTGTTTCAATCAATTAGGTTCTAAGAAATAGAGATTTTTGTATTTAAGGAACAATATACATATCAAATCAACTTAATGTTTAGCGTGTATTTTCTGATAAATCAGATGTATTGATTCCTCCTATAGATTGCAATCTGATTCATTAATCAAAAAAATTTAAATCTTTTTATTAAAAAAATTATTATGGGAAAACTTCACGGTACATTGGCCAAAGCTGGTAAGGTTAGAAAACAAACACCTAAAATTGAGAAGCAAGTTAGAAGACACAAAATTCCAAAAGGAAGAGCTTATAAAAGAATTTGCTTTAACAGAAGGTTTTTGATTTATCAAATAATAAATTAGATTTGGAACAGCTGTTGCTGGAACAGGACCTTAATAAAAGAAAAAAGGACCAAATTGGCATGCAGGAAGAAAGGATTTAATTGAAGAAGAAAGAAAGAAATAAGTTGAATAAAGAAGATCAAGAAAGAAGGACGCACCCAAATGATTAATACAATACAGTAAATTATTCAAACAAATAAGATAATTTAAACAGCAATTTGATTTCTCTTTCTAATGGTTTTTCTACTTTCCTTTTACAACTTTTCCTTTGCTTAAAAAATATTAGGTTTTCAATTTGAAAATCACCTTCTATCACTAGTATATCCATGATTAACCTTGGCTAAAGTCTATAATCAATCATTTCAATTTGTCTTTAAACTTGAAAATTTAAAATATTATAGTATCAGATCATTCTGAGTACTAAATCGCTATTTAGAGTTCAGTACTCATCAATAAAATTTCAACAGAGTTAATGTTACAGTAATATAAACCTAATCATTAAATTTCTTAATAAATAGAAAGAATATATACACAAAATCAAAAGATGCTTTCGGAGGACTTCCTCGACCAACTCGATATATTTTCGATTAAATTATATTCTACTTGTGTTTGCTAATCAAGTTTAGTGTGCTGTTCTTTTACTGGTATTATATCTTTTAGAACTAATGTTTAGATTGAGGTTTTATTCTTGATATCAGATCTTAAAGGACTCGAAGTTTGCCTCAGATTTGACTCTAAGCTTGCCTATTAAAATCGTTTTTCTTAGCTCTTTTTAGTAGTTCCATCTATAATTAAATTGCTTTGTCTTGAGGAGGTGCGAATGGTATTTAGTCTCAAATTTAATGGGACCATATTTTAAGGTCTGGAAAGTGGGTTCAGTTTTAGAATAGAAGGGAATTTATTTACAAATTCGCTTTGACAGCGCACTCTTTCGTTTTATGCATATTGAATTTGCTTTAACATATTTTAAACTCGAATTTGGAAACTCATGTTATTAAAGGGAGGCTTCTATTTTTAAGCATAAACTTTATGTAATAACCTACATCGGTTATTTTTCTCTTTTTCCATCCTATATAATTATTCATTCATTTTTAAATAATAAATTTATATAATATTAATTGATTCATAATTAAAAAATAAAACTATTAATTTTCATTCTATAAAGCATGCTTTACTTCATCTAATAATATGTAATCAACTTTTAAAAGGAAGGCTTATTACATTTACACAAATCTTCAAGAATCTTCAAGATTTCATTAAGTTCTTCCTCCTTTTATTCATTCTCCCTTTAGAATTCCTATATTTATCTTATTTAATTTCTAAACATTAATTGATCTATAGAAAAGAACTAATCTTATAAAATTATTGAAAATTCCAATTCACTCAATTTGATTTGATCATCAATTTACTAATTAAGTATTATGGCTTACATTCAAAATTTTAAACTTGTACACATAGTCGTAAACTTCATTATTAAACTCTTTAGCTCGTTGTAAATTTTCATTTTTCTAAATTATATCTGAAATTTCAATCTTATGAATTGCTAATGAAAGTGGAATGTACAAATATTCATCTACATTCATATAGGGAATAGAACACAATAGCGTTATATTGTATTATGATTTCTCAAATTTAAGTGATGGATGCTTAATGTAATATCTCTACTCATTGATATCTTCAATTAAACCAGTAATTTTGATATTAGTATAAATTTGTTAATTTAACATGGATAAACTAATTATATAATTTTTTACCCAGTCTGAAGCAACTATAATATTCTTTTGTACTATAAATCTATTGAGAAGAAAATCTAATGTTATTGAAGATTCTCTAAATATGTCTCATTTACCTTAGTAGGATTGCCACAAAAATAAATATATGGAAATATATTAACTTTATCTATTATCTTTTGATCAAAGTCTTTTGAAAATATCATTACTCTGCATTCTCTAAAATTTTGATTAGTACGATTGTCAAAGGCTTCTAATTCTGCATTTGGATCATGGTCATTAACATTTTCTAAAGCGAAATCAAAAAAAAATGTTTGAAATGAATACTATAATAATATAAATGCATTCACCTTCATAATTTCATTTTTTAATCTTTATTACAATGTGTCATTTGATAGATTGAAAATTATACAAAAATAACATTCATGACATTTAATAAATTAGAAATTTGAGATTTTTAATAATTATATATTGGATAATTTCGAAGCTTCTGAATTTTGAATTAGTTCATATTATATTTATATGCTTTCGTTGATGAGGCTATAAAATTTTTGACTTTATTCATCGCAAATGTCATCTTTAGTGCATTTAATTGATTGAACTAATTCTCCAAATTTCTATTCTTGAGTTATAGAGGATGAAAGAGATTTATAATATTACATAAATTAATTATTCCCTTTTTAAATATCATTTAATAAAATGCAAGTCGAAAATTAGAGTACTGAAAGAAAAATGAAAACAAATAGTGCTAACGATAGTTAAAAAAGTGTTTCATCCAAAAATAACTTATATAATTAAGCCTTCTTTAATGTCGAAAATCAAAATTAAAAATTGATTGTAGATTTAACTTTTAAGATAGGGATCATATTTGATTAACTCCAAAGGAATGGAAGTTATCATGCCATAGTTTAAATAGATAAAGGAATTTGAAGACTTAAGACCTAAAGCAATTAAAAAATAATTATCAGATCCTTTTGAATAGAGAATGACTTTGTTAAAAAACGAATTAGAAGATGATCAACCATAAGATCAATTAGCATCCATAATTCATTAGCATTCTAATATAAGTGAATCTACATTTATGCATTAACTATTAATTTAAGAATAATTAAAAGAAGTCTCGTGCTAATTTTAAAATGACTATTTTGTTCAATTCTTAGAGAAACCAGACAAGGACGATTATAAAAAAAGAGCAGAAATTTTAGCTAAAGTCTATATGAAAAATAATTTACAATAGGAAAGGCACAAAGTAGAAGAAGAATTGAAAATTAATTAAGTATCATTTCAAGGTTATATAAGTAATTTACTGAGGAGAATGACGAGCAAGATCGTTCAATGAATATCATTGTCCATAAAAATCTGACTGGTTTCTATTAGAGATAAGATAGCATAGAGTAAGACAATAATGAATAAACATAAGAAATCATATCAAGAATTGATTAATTATACTTTTAATTATGTTAATCAATAGAACAAAGGATATACGAACTATATTAAAATGATTAAATTGATGAATGTATTATTTGGAAAGAAAGAAAGGAAAATCTAGAAACAGACATTTCTAATGTTAAAGATAATGGATAACTTTTGTAAATTATTGAACTATTTAAATTTCACTATAATTTGTGATTGAGTATTTCAAATGTATTTTGGATATTAAAAGTATTACTTATAATTTAATAATTTTCATTCTTATTTTAATCTTCTTATTGCAACAAACCAATTTGATGGCATAACCAATTAAACTTAATAATAAAAAAAATAAATTATAATTTAAAATTTATGTTTTATGAGAAAATATGTATCCTGATTCATATTATCATTCAATTTTTATTGTTTTAAATAATCTAAGTGAAGGAATAATTTTATAACACATTTAAAAATTAATTAAAATCTTGTCTATGAATAAAACACTCTAAATAAAAGTTTTGATTGGATAAATCAATAATAACTATGACTTCAAGGCAAACATAAATCGAATAAACATATCCTTATAAAAGTACTCATCAAAAGATGAAATAGATATTTTAGTTCTCCCTGAAATGGCTTTGATTGGGTATACTATTAAAAAATATAATAGCTACTATTATCCTGATAAAAATGCTATAAAGCCATTTTTAGAATAATATGGCAAAGGGCCAACTTATGAATTTTGCAAATAAATCGCTTAAAGGTTAAAATGCTATGTGTCTTGTGGATACGCAGAAGTGGATGGAGACAAATTATATAATTCAGCAGTAGTTGTTAATAGAGAAGGAGAGGCTATTCTAAATGTTAGAAAGAAGCATTTGTTTGAAACAGATAAGACTTGGGCAGATGAAGGATAAGAATTCAAGTGCTTAGAATTAAAAACAATTAAAGGTTAAACAATAAAGTTTGCATTTGGCATATGTATGGATATAAATCCATGGGAATTCAAAGACAACAGTAAGTTTGAATTGGCAGATTTCTGTTTACAGAACAATGTGGATGGTCTAATATTTATGTCTGCTTGGAATGTAATTTATGATTCAACATATAAAGGATCACGAACCTGATAATAATGACAATAATGGCATATTGGATTATTGGCTTTGGAGACTCAAACCGATTAGAGATGGCAAATCTAATAATTATCATAAATAATTTCTTTTTGTTTGTTCAGATAAAGTAGGAAAGGATGAGAAAACTTAATATATGGGATCTAGTTGTTTAATCAAGTTAAACCCTGCTAAATTAATACAGGATCTAGATAAAAAGTAAGAAAGCTATTTAATATGCAATGTTTAATTGTGATAATATATATTTTATATATCAATATTATTCATATAATTCAAATGGAAGAAAAGAAAGAAACTTAAGACCTCGCCTAATTAAAAAAGGAAATGCTTGGAACAGCTATTATCAAAGTAATAATCGCTGTTAAATGAAGGATACAGATATGAGTCCAGATATGCTATCCGAAGTTTAAGACTCGATAGTTTCAGGAATTGAAAATAACTCATCTCCAGTTTTATCGATTGAAGTATAATAATTATCCATTTTAACAAAGAATGCATGCAAAACCATTAAGGAAGCACTTGAAAAGAAGTATGGTCCAACTTGGCAAGTGATTATAGGTAATTCATTTTAATAATCAATTCAAGGTGAAGGATACGCTTATGATGTTACAGTATAAAACAATACTAGACTATTTATGTTTTATAACGGTAATTTGGCTTGTCTAGTGTTCAAATCATGATGCATATATTAAATATCAACCTTATAAAATAACTTGATAAGAAAAATTAACATTATTTAATGTTTCTATAAAAGAATATCTTCTATCGTTACGAAAATGATATTCTTATGTTAAATCCTATTTCATTGAAGAATCTAATTACGATTATGAGTCTTCTTTCTAATATTTGCTATATTCTTCAATAGTTTACATAGTTTAATTTATAAGATAAATTATATTCATATTAAACTTCTGCTATAATATTTATGTTAATAATTTAATACATATACATATATCATTTAAATAAAGAAAGTAATAAGTCTTAATACATTAAATACCTATCTATAAATTAAAGATATTGAAAAAGTATATTCTATTAAATACAGCAGTTAGTGATATGCATAGTTAATAATCCTCTCGGTCATGAGATGCAAAATCTAGTTAGAACAAACAAATTGATATTTTGCAATTTTAATTATCAAAAAATTGTAACATTTCCTTTCCTTATCAGCATCTGCAATTCTTTTGTAGTTTTCATAATTTTTTATTTTTTGTATTTATTATTCATTCTTTAGCGGTTCAAATTCTTTGCTCAATTAAATTGATAATATCTTTCTCTGGCTATTTAAGTTATTCAAAATTGAAAGTTTATTTAAGCATATTTCTTGGAAATTTAGTTTTTCAATGTAACATTCTGAATAAGTTTTTAGATTTCATTTGAAAACCTATTATATAACATTCTAATATTGAATGTTTTTTAATTCGGAGCATTCTAAATTACTGATAATCTATATTAATCTCATTTGTAAAAATATAATGACTGATTGACCGAATGGATGAAAAGAGTTGATTTAAAATTAAATACATATGAAAACATTATTAAATGTAAAATATAAGGATTGAAATCACTTTTGGTTTTGTTCAACATAAAAATGATTTATTTAAATTATTATAAAGGGTTTGCATTTAATAGTAGAAATGATTGTGGTTTTCATGCATACAGCTAATTTTCAGTTAAGATTTATTGGATTCAATAATCATAACTTATTCTTGAATCAATTCAGTAAAAATATAATAATTAAGTTTGAATATTTACGATGTTAATTTTAAGAAAACATTATATGCGATGAGGTTTACATAGATTGATTTTGATTACTATAAATTTTGGAATTCGGAACATTTATTTTTATATTTACTTTTAATTAATCTCATGAAATAAAATAAATTTGGAGGAATAGAATTCAACTGTGGAGAGCGTTATCAAATTATAAAATTGATTGGGTCAGGTACATATGGTGCAGTAGTCCTTGCATATGATATAAAGCATAAATCTAGGAAGGTATAAGTATATAAATAGACATCAGGTTGCCATAAAGAAATTAAATTAAATAGAAGATGTGATAGATGGCAAACGAATTTTGAGGGAAATACTCATTTAAAGATAGATGGATCATCCAAACATATTATAAATCTATGATATCTTGTTTGACTCTTAAAACTTTGACATTTACATCGTAAGTGAATACTACCCCACAGATTTGGGAAAAGTTGTAGCTGGTCATTAGGAGTTAGGTGTGGAACATGTTTAATTTATTATGTATCAATTATGCAAGGGATTACATTATTTACACTCCTCCAATTCTATCCATAGAGATATCAAACCTAGGAATATATTGGCAAATGAAAGATGCGAAGTTTGTTATTGCGATTTTGGTTTTGCCAGGAAATTCGATGAAAATGAAGATTAATAAGGAGGAGAAAACATGACTGAATATGTAGTCACTCGTTTTTACAGAGCCCCTGAAATTATGTTATCTAGTTCTCATTACTCTAAACCTGTTGATGTATGGGCATTAGGTTGCACATTTGCAGAATTAATGAGCAGAAGAATTCTATTCCATGCACCAAATTACCTTTAGATGATCAAACTAATTTTTGATATCTTGGGAAAACCATCAGACAAAGAATTAAAGGCTTTTGTAACTAATGCAAATGCCTTATCATTTATTGAAAAACTGCCTCCAAAAACTCCTTAACCTGCTTCCTTTAGTGTTCCTTATCCTGATGCTAAAGCTAGAGATTTATTAGATAAAATGTTACAATTAAATCCCTCAAATAGAATTACCATCCAATAAGTAAGAATCAATTAATCTTAGTGTTTAGATCATCCTTTTTTTGATACCATAAGAAACAAAGAAGAAGAAACCACTTTTAATGGACTCCTAGAATGCGATTTTGAAAAAGATGATAAGATCACTTTGACTCAAATTTATTGTTTGATTTTTGAAGAAATTAATAAGGTTAAAGTGATGAATATGGAATAAACTATCAATCAAAATCAAGAAATTTAAAAATTAAGGCTCAAGAAAAATATTAAATGACTATTTTAACATGTATACAGTAATTTATCAGAATCAAAGTCTTAATATTATTATTTATTTTTAAGTCTTTTATTTTTATTGAATAAATTTAATGGAACCTCTAATTGAGTGCATATCTAAATGTCAAGAATATAAAGACTAGTTTCTAGATAATTCCATCTATTATTTGATATCAATAAAGTAATTGTTTTAAAAAATAATTAGATGGTTAAACAAATCCAAAATAATTGCTCAAACATAAGACATTAATAAACTCAATACAATTTCTATTTTAAATTTAGATTTAGTGGACGATTACTACTCAAATATTTTATCGTAACTTTATTTTAAACTTTAGATATGATGATCCATTATACAATTATTTTTTAAATGAAAAGTCAAAATTAAACATAGATTACTTATGCATACCCCAAGATTTATGGGAATCACTAGTGACTACTCTTCAAAATCTAAATAAAATTCCCTTAGAATACTATACATTTAAGACTTTATTTAAAGATGGAACTTTTATAAATAAAAATCTTAAAATTCAATTAATTCCTCTATATGAAGGAGTAACTAATATAATCGAAGGAGTCTAATGTTTCTCCAGAGATTGGACGATATAAGATATAAATTAAAATTTTGAAAAGCTTTTAAACTAACAATTAACTATTTAAGTACCTCCCAAAAATTTTATTAAATTTTACGCTTTGAAGAACGTACCATAAGATTTTAAATAATTAGTTAAATGGTTTCATGAAAATCAGTTGGTTGTTGAAGAATTTAAATTTGACACTCATTAATTAAATAATGGATAATTTTTAATCTTAGACATTCAAGTATTAAATAGGAATTTTTATTTTAAATAAGACAATAATCACTTGGATTAGAGAATTCATATTAGTCTTGAGGAGACTGAAATTTCGAACAAAGGATTTTCAGTTTATGAGTCGTAATAATCTTTACTTAGTTGCTTATTTAAAAACTATGAGTCTAGTAATAAGATAAGAAACTTTATTAAGAATAATTTTAAGGATTATTTTAACTTAAATGAAATAATTGAGGAATCATATTATGGAAGTTAGGCTGTTTTATGTTATGAATCAAAAGACATTGAATTACTAAAGGAGCACTCTGTTACAATCACTGAAAGTAGACATGACACTGTTTATGTGAATGGATAACCATAAAAAGTCTTTTTCGATCATAAAATGACAGTCAAGCAATTAGCTGAGAAATTTTTACCAGAAAGTGATTTTTTATTTGAATGTAGTAATAATAATTACACAGAAACAAGTATTATATTGTATAATGTTAGTAAATCCTGATACGCCCTTGTGTCAACTTCCTAAAGATTACATATATAATTTAAATAAACGTCAATAAAGTGAAGAAGAATTAGAAATAACAATTAACAGATGTTTTGTTGAAAAAGTTGGAATACTAAAGTCATATAGAAATTTTGATGCTATTAGAAAAATATACATAAATAAACAATCTAAATTTTTTGATTTGCATGTAGAAATTGCAAATATTTTTGAGGAGACAAATTTAACTGATTATAAAGAGAAGATTTTTAATAAAAAGTATGAATTGATCTTTTAAACTAATCAATAAGGAAATGAGAGATGTTCATTTTGTGACCAAAAATTATGTAATAACTGTATTGTTAAGTTTATTGATCAAAAATTGATTCTAAAAATGAATAAGGTTGTAGTCTATGCAATATACAATGAACCAATATAAAATGAGAGGGAAAAACCAGAGATTATTAAGAATTACAATTTAGAAGATTACTTTGATTTCTAAAAAACAGAAGAAGAATTTCTAATTTTAGATATCAATCAAGATCAGATTCATACCCATTAGATGTCTTATCCATTATCAATTCATAAATATTAATTATGTGGTTTGATAGAGAATATTGATCGTTCAAATTATCAATGTTATTGTAAGATTTAGGAGAAATGGACTCTTTTTAATAATGAAGGGTTTAAATAGGCAGATGAAATCGTTTAGAACTTAAAGGTGGTAAAATTATTCTATGAGAAAATAAATTGACACATTTAATGCATGTATTTTTAAGTATTAGAATATGGATAATAATGGATCTTCAATTATTAGCTATATATTAAATTAGGAAGAATAAAAATTCTAATTTTATAAATAATTCTGAATAATTAATTAAGTAAATTAAAATAAATTTGATTCAATGATCGAAAACATGAATTGCAGAATGAGATATGCATTGATCCTTGAATTTCGCATCAAATTCTTTTAATCTCAAAAATTTTTATTCTAAAGTGGGGTAATTTTTCATGTTTTCTTCAATGTCATCAAAGTCGACAGTATCAATTTATTTTAAGACATCGATATGAGGTTGACTTACTATGATTTTTTGAGGTTAAGATTTAATAGGTATTGCTTCTTGATAAGACGGAATATATTTAACTATATTAGAAGATTGAGAACCTAAACTTAATCGAATCAGTACCCATATAAGATTATTTTTTTGTGCCTTATCTTTGTTGATCATTTAAACCACTCGGAACAGCTAAGAAAGAACTTTATTATTTAGTTTCTCCAGGTTTCTCTGGTATTTTATCAGTCCATTCGAATTAATTATCATAAGAATTTGCATCTGAACATTGTCTCATAATTTTCTTTAATAAATCATAATCAGGCTTGTCTTAATACTTAAGCCCTTTTAAATAACTAGTTAAGATGATTACTTTACTTCAGATATTCTGAGAAACCCGTAGGCAAATCTTTACAGAGTTACGAGATTGTTGTTTACATCTTGACTTCTCCAACAACAATCGTTCTGTCTTTATCTCCAATATTTTACAGATTTTGCCAAGGTAATTTGCTAATTAAACTAATTAACATGTTTACCCCAATATAAGATATATAATAACATACATAAGAGATTCTAGATCATCTTTTCTGCCGATTTCATATCCTCTGTGAGCTGCAATTGAAGCATATCGAGTTGTTCCAATAAATGACTTTTTATCTCGAAAAGGACTAAGTTTGTAATTGCTAACATTTACATATGCTTTCCCTGATCGAAAATCTATTTAGAAACTCCAAAATCAACTAAAAATGCTTGTGCTGAATTGATTTTACCCATCATTATATTTTCAGGTTTTAAATCTCTATGAACAATTCCTTTGTTGTGTACAAAACTAAATATTGTTATTAGCTATTCCAATAATTGTAAGCCAGTTTTCAATGATAATTGCTTGTATTGTTTTATATAATATCCTAAATCCTTGCCAAGGATTTCGATGACCATAACATTATAGTTTTGCTCACTTCCGAACCAGTAAAGTTTAGTAATACCTTAGACGCCTTACAATTTAGTGAGCAAGTAGACTTCTCTATCCAATGTTTCTTATTCTCCTTTTTCCAATTTCACAGCCACTTCTTCGCGTGTAACTTTATGAATTGCCAAATAAACAATTCCAAAAGACCCAGAACTCAATTTTTATTTGATGATGTATTTGTTATCAAATATTTTAGGCTCCAAATAACTACTAGGTAATTTTTTCATTAATAATTTTATGCATTCTGGATCATTTATAGCAAACACTCCAATTTCTGAATTGGATGACTTTCGTAAGGAAGTACGCGGCAAAATAAACAGCAAATTTGATTAACCTAAACAAATACTGTACTAAGCAAAAAAATCAAATCTGGAATAACTCTAATAAATCTTGAGATCAAGCATATCTCCCAAATCACCTAAAAATAATGCACTTCATTAATCTTAGAACCCATCTCCTCAAATACGTAAATCCCCAGGGAGATTATCATTTCAAAGATCCAGTCTTGACTTGAGTAAACCTACATAAAAGTAATCTATAATTACTATGCAGTATTTTATATCCCAAAAAACAATTGCAAGATATATTACCACTGAATAAGATCATAGAATTGCAGAGAGCCATCAAAAATTACAACCATCCTACTAATAGTAGGTAAATGCTTTTATTTTATATTAGTTATTTCCTTGAGCTCAAAAAACTTGCTAAAGTGGTCTTACGAGAAACTCAAGGATGATAATATTTATACAATAACCCCTCTTTTTATGTATTTCATAATTTTTTTAATTTAACAGTAAAATGAACACTCAAAAAAATTAAATATCTCTATAAACCTAAGTGCTCATCTACACTCCTCAATATTCAAAATATGTTATCATCAATTTAACAATGAAAAAAAACCGTCTTAAACAGATTTCTCCCAACGCAGATATCATTTAGACTTAAATTAAAACACTACTAAAATGGCCGATAAATACACTATCAAAGATTTTTAATAAATTATTGAGAATCTTGAATATTAAACCAAATTTATCATTAGTTAAGAGACATTCTTAATCAGAGAATGAAAACCAGTCATTATTAAGAAGACAATAAAACTAAATATATAATAAAAATAGAATAATCTTATGAATTATTTTACAATTAATAATAATAAAACTTGATAGGAATTGACCTCAGCCTTTTTATGTAAATTAATCATAATAATTTAGCAGAAAGTAATTAAATAATTAAATTTGTAAGATCTCAAATGGAAATTTGAATTTTAAGAATTAAAGATAAATAAAAAATTATACTATGAAAATTTTAATATCTTAACATAATACTCCAAATGTAAATTATCATTCTTATTATTATTCTAAAGATATTGATTCTTAATCTATTTATTCTTCATCATTTTAATTTGAACCATTCTTTTAATCCTATACTCCTGGTTATTATTAGACCACTTTGTCGTCTTACTGAGATAGTTTGTCTTCCTAAAAATCATCTTACTGAGATGACCTATCGTTACGTTATTATTCTGAAACTACAACCGACTTTTGTATCAATTTTTAATTGGACGATTCTATTGATTATTTTTATTTCTGCTCTGATTGCATGAAGGTTATTATTGTGTTTTTCTTTAATTAACTGTTTTTCTCTTTAAGTTAAGCAGCCTAATCATTTACCTTTACTTCTTCTGCAGATTTATCCGATTAACTTTTATTAGTATCCAAATATTTTGGATTTTATAATAAGATTCTTTTAATCAATTAAGTTCTTTCAATATTGTCCTTTCCAGGTGCTATAAATTTGATGTCTGTGTGTTTTTCATATCCTAAAATACAAATTTCTAAAAAGTCCATAAAAAGCATTGGAGCAACTACTTTGAATTAATCATATTAATAAAAATCTGAGTTTGGCTGTAAACCATCAGGTCTAGATTTCCATTTAATTTCAAATAAGCAATCTTCTTAAGTTAAGATTAAATGAACACTATCAATTTCATCTCCCATTTAAGGGTAAGCATTGCAATATTTTTAAGTCATTTCCTTCTGTTTATTAAAAAGGAGTTCTTCTGAACAATTAGGATGCTTAAAATTCTATTATTAATGTCTAATAGGTATCCCTTATTTTACTTATTTATCATTTTAATTTGAATATAATTCTTATTCATTGACTGGTAAATTTTATATAATATTTCTGATGTTTTCTTCGAATTCCCAAGTTGGCTCCTCATTACCTTTCCATTTTACTAAGTATTATAATTAATTATTATTATTTCTCCTTTGTAATATCTTTTCTGGAGATCTTTAATTCATTTATTTTGAATCCTTTTTTCCACTTGGCTTCATTTGCTGTTTAATAATATTTAATATGCGATGAATATCAAATTTGAATTCAATAAGTCCCAAAAATTTGCATCCAAATATATATAATCAATATAAATTTATATAATGAGTATAACAAAATAAAAACTAGAATCTTTATTTGATCTCTCAATCATCATAGAGAAAATTAAAATTTTGGATGAACAATAATCAAATATATTTCATTTAACCAAAAGACCTAATTATCAATTGCAAAAGTAATCAAATACATAATTTATTCCTCACATTATTAATGATTTCGAGATTAAAAGAAAGTTCAAGGAAATCTAAAATGATTCTTTTCAATCCTGGAAAACCCCCATCATTAGAACTAATTAAAGTGTATGTTAAAAGCGTCCTTAATATTTGTCAAAAGTCAGCCCATCTCCAAAACCTATAGAACTTTAGACAGAAAAGAAAATCAATTCAACCACGATAATGATCTAATAAAATAAAAACATGAGGACTAGAAGTACGGAATACAGAATGAAGCTCAGGAAAACAGTATTGAATGATAAATTTATTAGGAAACAAAAGATATCGAAGCTTAATTTCTCGAAACCAGAAATTTAATAAATAGATTCAATAGAATCAAAAAAAAAGCAGTAAGATTTAATATTTTAACTTGATTTTATCAAAATAACTACTTCATTCTTAATATTTCTTCAAATATGTTATACAGTTATTCTTTATTTTATAATCATTATTAATTAAATTACAATTAATCATATAAAAAATAGAACCAATTTTACATTCCTATAACCATATTCTTTCTCCTTTGTGTGAACTTGTTCTTTTTTTGACATTCTAATTTCTATTTTTTTAGAATAATAGATGTCTTGACTTGAAAATCGAAAATTGTCCTTCATAGAATTCTATTATATTTAAAGCTTTTCCTTAAAATGGATTCTACTATAATTCTACAAGTTAATTTAGATTTTTCTATCTAGTTAAATAATTTGTCGTAATGAATCTAAGTTTATTATCATAATTATTCCAAATTTTGCTATGTAAATCAAGCTAAGAAATTATCAATATAATGGGAGTATATTTGATTGCAAAGTACCTCAATTTAAGGTTCGAAAATCGAATTAAGTTTAGAAAAAACTAAAAACATCTCCCTAAAAACATTATTACGAAAAATCTGCGGAATCTTCATTCATTAAAGCTAATGAAAATGAAAAAATCAAAATAATAAACCTGAGCTTGGATGTGCAAAATTAAAATTTTTCATACAAAAAGCCTATTCAATAGAGTTGTAATATTAATGAGGAAGTTTTTATCAATCCCTAAAAGCCTCTGAAAATAATTAATAGATTTTTTCCACAGTAGTTTAAAGACCCAGAAAAAATTTTATTGTTAGATCGCATCATGATTGGTTAATAGTTTAGAAGGTTTTCTGAAAGATTAAATGATTCGCACAGAAGCAAAGTCAATACTTTTTAAAAATAATAATAATCAAAACCGATTTCATAAGACTTAGATATTAAACCTAAGGGTTGGACTAATAGTAGTTCTCAAAGTCTCTTATGAATATATAATAATATATTTCCATATAATCTTAATTGCTAAGGCTTTTATTAACTTATTAACTTATAATTTATTTGATTTAATAATCAGTACTTATCTTTGGCTTTGATTCAAATATTATAATTATTAAATAATATATTTTAAGTTTAACTAAAAGAAATTTAATCAAATTGAGAATCGAACGTGATTAAATGTCAATTATAAATGATTTTTATAAGCATTTCTATAAATTTTACAATTTCATATAAACATTTTGATATACATCATCAATCAAAATAAACCTAATCTTTTATTGACTCTTTAGGCTTTCTTTATAGGCAATGAATTTCGGTTCTACATACTTTTAAATTTATACTTTAATCCATGGATGCTCTAAAGCTGTTTGTAAAGTGATTCTTTCTTCAGGTTCTTTGATTAATAATTTCTTTATTAAATCTTTTGCATCCTCTGAAATCTATTACCAAAATTCTTCTTAGAGATCATATTTGCATTCAATAATATTTTTTATAATATCCTCTGGAAATTCAGAATCAAAGGGTAAGTAACCTAATTTAATTTAGATTTTTTAAGGTACCTGAAAGTAAAAAGTATAGGATAACTCCCAAAGCAAAATTGTCAACTTTAAAATCTATTTTCTTTTATTCCAAACTTTCAGGTGCCAAATAATTAGTGGTTCCGCAAAGAGCTTCTCCTTCTTTAGTTTAGATATTCGTCAAAAAGTTGGCAAAACCAAAATCAATAATTTTTACCTATTTAACATTTTTTTTCGTAGTATCCAAAACAATCATAATATTTTCTGGTTTTAAATCTCTATGAACAATGCCAACGCTGTGAACATAATTTAGAGTATCAAAAAGCTGACTCATTATTAAGGATGCCTCTTGCTCATTAATATTCTCATTTTTAATTATGTAATCAAATAAATCTCCATCTCTAACGACTTCAGTAATGATGTTTAAATGAGTTTTTGTTTCAATAATTTCATGGAAACGGACAATACAAGAGTGATTAAGCAATTTCATGATTTCTACCTCATGACTACAGTTAAATACTAAAATTACGCAAGCATTAATTTTTCTGATTTTGATAATTTAAACTTTTCAATAATTTTTATAGCTAATGTTTGTCTATCCTTTTTGCATTCACAAAGATATACTATTGAAAATTTGCCTTCTCCAATCTTCTAAAGGATAGAATAATAATCATTCACAGAGGCTCTAAAAGATGGAAAATTAAATACTTTTGAAACATTTATAAACTGTTTGTCCATCTTTTATAATCTTCGAAATCTTAACACATATATGTTCTAGTTTAATATAATTTATCTTTATGAGACACTTCAAATCCATATTATTACTCCTAGTTGTTAACCTTCTCTTATATTGTTAGTCCATCAAGGCAAAATATCTCTAAAGATTAATTAGCATTACATACTTGAAGGTAAAGGGGATTCCTTTTTCTTAAAAGATAGACAGAATCTTTGCATCAACTTAAAGTATCTGGGATTTGAAATTTTAGGGTTTTTCTTGCTGATTTTTTTGACTTCTCCTTCAAGATCCTTTGGTGTCATCATCGAACGAGGAACTGAAGAATTAGCATCAACACCCCAAACATCAAAGTTAAAGGCTTTATAAAGGCCTTCAAATATTTTAGGATGCAGCTTTACAAAAGATTTGAAATCTTCGAGTGATAAACTAAATTATGAAACATAAATACCCCTAATCATTTTTTGCTTTATGTTTATAAATCATATTCACATACTTATGAACTAGATAATTAATATTGACTCTTTTTAATTCAACCAATTTTCCATTAATATTGAAAGTTATATTTTAACCAAACTATCCCATTGGAACACCAGTTGGTCCAATCATACTCTCATTCGGGAACATCATCACAACACTTTATTCATTGAAAGCAGGCAAATTAGTTTAAGATCCATGTATAGATTCACCTGATTTAGCCCCTTAGATTGATTAGATTTCTCCACTTAAAGAACTTCTTCTCTGGATTGCCTGCACTATTCTCATATTAATCTTATTACCTGATTCTGTAAACTCTTATTCATCAGCTCGTTTTGGCTATAATTTTTTCTAGTTGATCATCTCCTTTGTCTCATAATATTTGAGAATTTTTAGATCCTCCAAAAACATGGGGTCATCAAGCAATTTGATCAAATCCTCTCTTGGGTAGTTTTAGATCTAATTGTTTTAATTGTGATTTTACCATTTGCAGAAACTCACCTTTTCTGATCAATCCGTGTTTTTCTAGATCATATAGTTTAAATAGATGTTGAATTTTTTGATCCTCATCACATTTTATATAATGAACAACTCCTTTTAAAAATTGCTCAAAATTCAATAGGCTATGGTTCTCTTAGTTAAAATATTCAAAAACAAGTTCACCCCACAACCCAATCATTGTGAAGAAATCTGTAAAAGCTGTCTTGTTGACTAAGTTTTCGACATTTCGTGATGCTAAGTCCTAATATATTAGATATAGTAAATCAATTTCAATAGCATTAACTAAATTAGGAATAGTAATACATTGCTATTCTAATGATTTTGGTATAACGTAAGGTTTTTTATTTCTTTTTTAAGGCTTTCCTCCGCACCCACCCATGGAATAATAATTATTTAATTTTATATATTACTAATATCATCTTTCATTCAAACTAAGATACAAATTGAAATACAACAGAGTATATTTAATTATAATTAATTGAAATAACATCAGAGCAATTTGAATAATAACATTTCAATCAATTCATAAACAAGATTAAGTATTGATAACTTGTTAAACTATAATAAAAATATAATATTAAGAATTAATGATTTATTAAAGCAAAATTTATTTGATAAATGGTAAATATGAATATGAAAAAATGATTGTAAAATTAATATTAAATTCTAATTCATAGACAGACTTTCTATTTTGGATTTCTATTTTTGTTTCAGAAAACTCCTGTAGATTCTGTTATTTACCCAATCAATTTATTCCTATTATTATAATTGAGAGATAGAATTACATCATTTTAACAGCAAACTTCTGAATCACTTTCATCAAACGAAATGTCAAAATATTATTTGATTTACATCTAATCTGAGGATGAAACTCTTGGAAACATTGAATACTTCTCTGCATATATATTATTTAAATCATCTTGCATTGATTTTTACCCAATGCTTATCTATTTAAGCACTAACAACAACTTGAATGACATTATTTTATAATTGACTCAAATTATTACTAAAGAATCCAATATCAAGTTCACTATAATTTGAATACTTCATCGTTAACAATAATACTTATTGATTCTAATGTGAATTCAAGCTGTCAACTAAACATTATATATTTTAAAAAGTAATTGTTCTAGACTCAATTGAGAAGAGTATTGATTCGAATTATAGTATAATCAAATATTGATCTAAATTTTAAGGCTAGAAAATAAGGGTGTCTACACTTATTCCTTATATTTTAAGCCATCAAATAGTTATTAATTCCTTCAAGAGTATCTTCTATTTTTAATATTTTCGACTTTTCCGATCAAAGAAATTATTTTTTTGATAATCAAATCTCTTGGTATTTCTGGCAGCCTTCCTTGAATCTACGAAAATAGGAGGAAAAATGACTGATTTAATGGGTTCGGTTTAGAAGATATCATCTTGCCTATAGATCTCAATAATGACATGAAAATGGACACCCTATAAATTATGGATTAGTAAAAACTTCCAGCTTATATGAAGTTGAACTGAACTTGATATTTTCGAATTAAAAGCCTTGGATGTTCTCAGTATATAGTTTTTCTGTATTTCCTTCGAGTTCCACTTGTCGAATTGTTAGATACATCTTCAACATAGCCAAAAATCAATCTGCATTTTAGACCTTTAGTATATAATTTATAACTATTTAGAATGGGTTTAACAACGATTGCTGGAAGTTTCCAACTTTTGTGCCAATTCCACCCTATACGTTTTGAGAAATTGAAAGATTTCTACATTTGTATATTGAATTGGAGTGACTCTTCAACAATTTTACTCTTACATAATTTTATAGTTGGTTTCAAGAAGACGATAGGATTCTTGTTAATTAGTTAGAGAGTGGAGAGTTACTTGACATTCAATCCACTTCCAATTATTAAGTTTTTATTTAAGTTGTAGGAATCTATTTTTCATATCTAAAAATAATGTAATTAATTAATCATTTAAAATGCTGTTTTTTACTCCAAGCAGCAAATTCTTTTTTATGGTTCTTTTCAAAATGCTACACTAACGTTTATTCTTTCAATACCTATCCATCGAACTTACACTTGAATTTTTTACCTTAGAATATAATTAACATGATTTACTATCAGTATCCTTAATGCTATCATCTATAAACATAGGCATCATAAACAAATTTTCAGTTTATGTGAGATCATCATCACTATCTGATTAGAATTCATCGTCATTATCGTTATTATCATCATCTTCATCATCGTCTACATCCTTCCAATCATCATCTTCATCAATTTCTTCTTCAGTTTCCCATTCATCTTCTTCTTCTTTTTTTTGTGGCTTCTTTTATGGTTAAGCTTATTTAAAAACAAACTAAGATGGTATTTTGAATTTATGTTTCCCTCTTCCTGCTCTGCCAATATTAGTAAACATTTTAACAAAAGCATCGCCCATCATAAAGTTCATCATTGACTCAAAATCTTGAGCAAAAAAGTCCTCAAAATCAAAATTCATTTATTCTTCCCCATCAACTGTTCCAAATTTGTCATAGTTTGCTCTTTTCTAACTATCACAAAGAACTATTTTGAAATATTGAAATCAAACCTGTATATGCTTATAAAATCAATTAAAACTACTTTTTGGCTACCTCTTAATTGTCGGGGTTCTTATCTGGATGCCATTTCTAGCTATATAGCTATAATAATTCATACCAAAGCCAACTTCCTATAGGCACTCTTAATCTCGTCAGTTGTGGCATTTCTCTCAACCCCCAAGACTTGATAATAATCTTGTTTATCCATTAATTAAATAATTTCAATCAAATAAGTAATTTTATTAGCAATTTACATTTGAATACGATATAATATTGAAATATTTCACTCAATAATCTCCATCTCCTTTCCGATTTCTCTTAGTTCTTGTTTTTCAAAATTAAATTCATATTTCCTTAAAGCAGCTAAATAATAATTATATCATTTTACGTGTGTTATTGGCAGGAAAATGATATGGTATTTGTTTCTGATGGGATTTAGCATTATATTATCTGATATTTCTTCTATAATCAACACCCTCCTTTGTAATTGCAACTACATCGACATTACTGCCAGATCTGAAATAATATAATTCCAAAATACCCCATATCATGGAAAATTCCGGCCTCAATTGCCTCGATAGCAAGATCGATTGCTTATTACTTGGTAAGACCATCCTAAAATTTGGCCTCTAAAATTCCTAAAGCTGCAAGAGATCCACTACCCATAGATTAAAATGGATGATAAACATAACTAATAAATTAGGTGTAATCACTTACTTTCCATGAGGTGAGACTGAAGCCAATTATGGTCCATTTGAGTCAATTCCACCAATGATAAGAGCAACTCCAATGTGACCTCTATAAGGAAAGAGTTTTGTTGTTAATTTAGTAATCACTTCATTAACTCTGCTTTATCTATTCAAATTGAGTCTCTAAAGTTTGAGTTTAGCATTAAAGTGAGCACATTAATGATGTAAATCTGCAGCTGTACCAGCTCCTGCAGCCCAGATATTTGGAGCCAATGGATGTAATTTCTCACAATTTTTGTCTGCTACAATTGATCCAGCCGTTGCTCTTGTATCTGCTGCCATAACTACGCCACCTTCAAATATCACTCCAACTATTGTTGTTCCTGTTTTTGTGAATGGCATTTCTTTGAATCCTTACGCCTTCATCAATTCATTTCTTAGATTGAAATTAATAAATTCTGTACCTTTTGACATTTGTATAGTCATATCCACCTTTGGATTGCAAATAATTGTCTAAGTATTGCATTTTTATATTATTTAAATTTAATTATCATTCAGATTGGGATAATGGATGCTCAATTTAAAAAATATTAGATTTTAATTGCATGTCGAAATCACTTAGATTAATATCCTTAAACCTGATGTACAACATCAAACATTATCTTATTCTTGCCTAATTTTGAAATTTTGAGCAACTTTAACATAAAACAACAGATTTTTATGATCTATAGAAATAAAATCATAATTATTTAGATCTCCTAAAACTGAAATCTATTGCCCTCGAAAATTATATAGACAATATAGATTTAAGGAAAAATTTTCTTTTCAAAATATACTCTATTATCATCATAACCTCATGATAATGATGAAGAAACTTAATGAATATATTCATAAGACTGTAAGAATTATCATAAAAATAATAGTATTGGAAAATTAGACATTTCGAACTACTTTAAATAACCTGTCAATGAAAGAAGCAAATCGGATTTATTATTAATAAGTTCAGCAGAAATTTAAGTTAATAAATTTACTAAGTATTCTTCATTTAATGGAATGAAAACAATTTGTTTAAGAAGTATATCTAGATGATAACTACTGACACCTTGATATTTATAAAGATTTGATGATGATAATTATCATTTGTATTTTAACCTTGTTCTATTCAGAACCTTCTTTTAAATTCATTTAATATTTAATATTTTTTTTTCAAATCTAATAACAGACTTCTTATCTTCCTTTCTTTTTCATACTTAAGATCAATTTGATATAATAAAATACTTTAATGATTCAATATGAGAAAAATCCAACCTTAATTTTTAAAAGAAGAATCTTAAAATAGATAATTAAATTCATGAGAATTAATGTAGATTAACAATTAAGGCTTGCACATCAATTATTATAAAGGAATCAAAGTTCACATAAAAATATATCAAACTTCTGTAAAAGTAATGGATTTCATTTCATTATAATATTAGATTCCATATAAAATTTAATTAATGATCATTGCAATACTTTTATTCACCACAGTTTTTGCATTTCCTAAATACAAGTAAAATATATTTGTGACCAAACCGGATTCTCTCAAAAAATTAGCTTATTAATTGTCAATAGCATCTGATTTGTAAGTTGATGTGGATCAAGATTAAGTATGTAAATTTATTCTAATAAGGTTTGTACTTGGTTAAAAGAATACACTTTAACAACAGCTCAAGATGCTTATTATGCAAAGCTTGCATCATCGTTTTTGGATGAATGTCAGGCAGACTATAATATTGATTTTCCAAAAATTGATTCAGATGATTTTGAATCTATTTACTATAATTCACTATTTAACGGGTTATGTCCCAAACTTGACTAGTTTATCACTGCAGGAGGTGCAGCCAAACCTTAGCTTAAAAAATAGGATGATTCTTATAGAACAGCAGCTCAAGCATATCACCTTGCCACTTTTTGTAATCATAGCAAGGTTCATTAAGCAATTTAAGAAGCCATCTTTAATTTCTAAGAAATATACGAAGGAGTTTCAGCAGTTTTGGACAGAGATAATTCAGCTACAGCAACTGCTTAAATTTTGTTCTCCTTTTTTACTTTCAATATCACCAATCTTCATCCAAAACTATAAGACCTCCTCCAAAATTAGATCTATCAATAAACTATTATTAACTTTCTTTACTAAAGAACTTAAGTCCTAGGATCTATTGAAGAGTAATATTGGATTACCAAATTATTCTAATTGGATTAAGTTAATTCAATAATATATCCTATTTTCTAAGACCATTACTAACTGAACAAAGGAAAAACATAAATAAATGTGAAATTCGTCAATTTTAGAGGAGAGAAAATTTAACCTACAGAAGTTTATGCACTAATCAACAATTAAAAAGAACATTACACCTACACACCAATTAAATCTAAAGAATTTAGCGGCTATTTTGAAATTTCAGCAGTTGGCTCTGTTCCTTTCGAATTGCATTTTCCTCATTATATTGTAAGATTTCCAATTTAAGATTTAAGCTAAAATACACTATTAAAGTATTATAGGAAGTTGAGATTGAAGAAGTTATATTTGATATTGTTGATAGCAAGACTTCCAAACCAAACTTCCATCATAGTGTTGAAAATGGAGAGGTTTATCCTGTGATTCTTAGTGCAAATGAAAAATGTTTCCTTCATGTAATCATTAAAGTAAGAATTTTATTTTAGTAGACTAAAAATTAAATTAAACAATAAGTTGCCATCAGATTAATTCATCCTTAATATTCTTCCGCTTCTACGTAAGTATTTGCTGAGTATGATAAAAAAAAAAAGATCTATTATGGTATTATAGACTTTGGCGACCCTGATCATATTACACCTCTTAATGCAATCTATTCAGTGGAATTACTCATAGCTGATTCTAACGTTGTACCCAAAAGATTGAGTTTTGTCAAAATAGATACAAAGTTTTAAGCTTAAACAACTTTCTAGAATGACAGTACCTATAAATTGCCCTAAGAGATTGTACATTAATTCAATTAAGAATAACCAGAAGTTCCTTTCTTTGTAATTCTCATTAATATCCTAGTTTGTTTCATTCTTTGTTATGATCATCTTAATTGCATTTCTATTTTTCCTCTCAATAATTTCAAATTTGAACTTAAGCTTTGAAAGATTGCCAAAGGATAATTCAACAATTGTTTATTTGTTTTTAGCTCTAATCATAGGGTTATTTTTCGTTTTAACACTATTTTGGATTAAATTAAATTTGATTGAAACAATCGCAGTTTTAGGAATCCTAAGTGTTCCGTAAGTTGTAGTTGGAAACTATGCACTTTTAGCATTAAGAAAATCAGAAAAATTAGATTGACCAATCATTTTTATACAATACAATGTGTATATTAATTATTTTGTTATGTTATAAAATCAACCTTATTTTTTTTAATTATTAGGTCTTGGAACTTCTAATGGATGAGAGCTATATCTGATTTTTGTTTATTCGGTTTCTTAAATTTATTGAACTTAATTAGCTTATTATTGAGGTATTGTCATATTTTATTAATTCTATAAAATAGTTAACGATTGATTGTTTGCATTTTATGGAGTAAATACTTTTTATAATATAGATTATTATTATGATTAAGTTTAAATTGTTGTATATTATTATTACGGTTGTTATTATTATTATTATTGTTATTATTATTGTTCTTATTATTATAATTGTTCTTATTAGTGTTATTGCTATTGCTATTACCATGATGAGTTATTTTAATAAGGGGAAATTTATGGTGATATTGTTTCCCTCGTAGGAGTATCTTATGAGAAATACACTTGATTTCCTCCAGGCTTTTAAACTGTTAAATTTGATGATAGAGGATTTTTCTTATCAAAAATTACTACTTTTTTTTAACCTAATGGTCCTTAGATGGTGGAAGTAGTTTGCGGTTAGTAGTACAAAGATTATAAAATTGATAATGAGTTTACTTTAGAATTTGGTTCAATTTTACCATCATTTTCGGCAAATTTTAACAACTCCTAAGTTTACAATTCAAAAAGCTAGAAAGCTCTTGCATATTTATTCAAAACATTCTTAATTTCTTACTTATCAATTCTAATTGCATTAAATTAATAATTACTTAAAATTAACCATATTTAAAGTCAGACTTAACAAATTAGAATAAATCACATTTTTATCTTTAAATATTTATTCTTTTGTAAACTGTGCAGAATCTTTCGTAGCAGATTTATCTATTTCTGCTTCAATTGTGGTATAGATAACACCTTCCCATAAATCAATTTATTTCCATATAGACATAGAAATCAAGCTATCTTATAAGAAAAATCTCTTTTCTTTATCATCTATTGTATAGATAGTAGAAATCATAGTAATAAGTCTTTTTACCAATATCAACTCTCCTTCCCTCTATGATATTTCTAATAATTTTTGAGTAAAGGTAATAATATTCTTGAATCCAAATTAGCTTAATTGAGAACGCCTAAATAAGTTTTTAAATTTACCCTGCTTATCTAAATGATTCTAAAATAATGCAGCCAAGTTCTCTAAAGAACTTAGATTCTAGTTCATCTTCTAAAACATTATTTTCGATTTAAGGAATATTTTTCCATCCTTTAATCTGTTATTCTTAAGTACTTTATATAATATGCTTAATATAGCTAAATATCTTTATTAACTATTATTCTCCATATTAATTTTTATATTTATTCACCATAGCTTAAACTCCAGCCAGTTATTTTTCTTCATTATTTTTAGATTTATTTTTCTTACTAACTTTGTTGATGAGATTAATGGAAACTTCTTTTAAATCATCAATAAATTGTTGATTCGCTAAGAATAAATCAAATTCATCTTCAACTTCCAATTATTATAATGAAACAGTTTCTCTGTTAACATTTAAACGATGGCTTAACGATATTTAATCTGCAATAGTTTTTAAAAAAGAAGAATTTTATTACGAAGTTACTTTGAGATAATTATCTTTTGTGATTCCAATTTAGCTTGAAGGTCCAGGAGCTATTGGATCGTCTTGAGGATCCAAGTATTTTTCAGCTTCTTTGAAAAATTGCTCACTATCATATTGGAGATTTCTCGTTTTTGATATTTCATAGACTAAGATTTTCATGAGAATGTCCTTGATATAATTGTGTATAAATAGTTACTTTGCTAATTGAAAAGATTTGATTATGATAAGATATTAATTATTAGATTCCATTTTATAATAAAGTGTTATAAGATTAAACGAAATTATTATAGGTAGTGGCAGCATGTCTAAGAGCGGACTCATTTTCTTATTTATAAACTAATTATTGATTTAACCTTATTTAAGCCTTTGATCTTGACTCAGGATTGCATTCTTTATTCCAGCATTATGCTTCCAAAGTTATGGCAGCTTCTTCATAATCCTTAGAAGCTCTAAAAGTTTTATCTTTCTAGCGGTCATATTTATCGAAAGCTACTTTTATGTCCTTATCTGTTTTCAAGACTTCCTGGATTAAAGGTTTAAATTGACATTAGATTTATTTAAGATCATTGATAGCTAGTTCAACATCATGCTTGTATGATTAATTAAATTGCTATTTTATCATGAATTATTACTTTATAATATTATGCTCTTTGATTTAAATTGATTTTCATTCCCTTCAACAAATCATCAATGTCTCCTCCACTGTTTTGCATTTACCCACTAATTTTTTCAAGGGCTTTGTGATACTTTTCTTCAGCTTCAGAGCGCTCAAATAATTATCCCAATAGGATTTCTGTCACTTTGCTTCTATCACTGACTCTTCGATATAGAACATCGAAATTTGTAGCTAGTTATTTAATACTCATTTAATTTTAATTAATTCCATTAAATGAATTAAATGTATTAAGATAAAGCAATTTTATTAACAGAATTACAATAGCTGAAGTAGAGAAATCTAAAATTGGAATTTGAGCTTAAAGAACTATTCTAATCATATAATACGATGAGATCCAAATCCTCAAGAGATAACATTCATTAATTGGAAGAAGAATTAGATGATTTAAAGTAAATAATTTTTGAATAGAAAATCTAGAATTTAACATTAAAACATGAAAGATGGTTTTGATTATAAGTTAGAATTATTGCGTATTCGTTTAGAAAAGGTTAATTAGGAGAATAACTAATTGACATTAGAAAACTCACAATTAATTTAACAGTAAAGTGATCAAATTTAATAAACACAATCCATGATTTAGATGGCAAAGTAGAGCAAAGCCTTATAAAATTCACAAATTGTCAATTTTAAGAATTAAGTTCATAAAATAAAAACTGTTGTTGAATAAAAAATAGTTAAGAAATCTAATAAACTATAAATGAATGTTAAAAATTGATCTTGTTATATAATTAAAATTTTATAATCATCGTTAACATATGATTCAGTTTATATTGGAAAAAATTCATTAAAGAATTAAAAATTCATATATACACTTAAAGACACAGTTATGAATTAATTAAAGAAACTAAAAGTTTGCTTTAGAAATCACTCTCTGTTGGGACTTATGAAACTAAAGGGAAACCATTTAAATCAATATTTAAGGAAATAATTATGTAATAAAATATAATATGTAAAATATGATACCAAAAAGAGCGAAAATCTCGAGTTTATATGAAGAGAGTAGAACGATATCTCTTGATGATATGGAAACTCCTTAATTTAACAATACAAGGAGAAGAGTGCTAACATAAATTGAAGATGATCAACCTAAATTAGTTTTACCAAAGATTAAGTTAGGAAACAACCACAAAAATCCATAATGTATAAATAACAACGAGAAAAAGTTTAAACTAACAGGAGCTAAAGATGCCTTCTTTAGACCAAGATAAATAAATAAGTTACCTCAAATATTCTAAAAGTAAGGATTAAAAAAAAATGAAAATAATCTATCTCATCCTGAAATTAGAGAATTGTATTCCTACAACAATAATAAAGCCTCCGCCTATACTCTCAGTATTCATGATTGATGTTTTGTTATGCTTAGTTGAAAACTAATTATTATTATTATTTTTGGTTATTTAATGCAGTATGAGGAAAATTATCGGAAAGCTCGTGAATTTGTCAACCAAAGATAAAATAAAATCAATTTTAAACCTTATAAATTAAATAAACCTTAAATCACTACTATGCATCAGATCTTAGATGTGATACGTTCAAAAAAAAGAAGCAATAGTTAATTCAAATATCTAAAACCTGCAGCATAAACAAAATAAGAAGATAATCATTTATAAAAGAAGTTTATAACTTCAAATTTGGAACCTAAGGATCATACTCAAATTCTTGCAGCCAAAATTTTAAGATTAAATAAAATTACTCGAAATAAAACCTAAGTTACACCAATTTCATATACCTGTATGGATTAAATTATAGAACCTTTGAGATAATAAACAGAGATCTCATATGAATAAAATTCTCCTTTAAGGATACGAAAAAACATCCCTTGTGTTGAGTACTAATTACCGATCGAATTGTAACTTTAGGATAATCAGAAATATGTAAACAATATAACTGAAAGAAAATTTTATATTCAGAAATCTAGGCCTAAAGAAAATTATAATTCGTAGCAAACTAAGAATAAGAGTATGCAAAGTTGCTTATCACATCACTAAATTATTTATAAAGAATAAGTAAGTCTTAAATTAAAGAGACTGAATCAAACGATTTATTTAAGTGAATAGGTAAAAATTATAAATTCAATTAAAAATGAAAAAATTGAAGAATAGATATAATAAATAAGAAAAGTAAGTGGTTGGACAATCAAGAGCCAATAGAGTTTTTAAAATTTATTGTGAAGTATTGATATGTATTACTATGTTACTTTTATGAATTATATATTATATAAATTTCAAATATTTATTGAAGATTTCAGCATTATTGTTGAAAATTTAAGAATATTCAATAAATTCATTTTTATCAATTAATACTTAATTAATATATACTTATATTTTTAATTTAAGAAGGTATCACATTGTTAAGGCTATATTTATACTTATTTAATAACTTAAATTATTTATAATCAAAATATTTTCCTAAATATCTAACTGAAAATTAAGTTTATAATTAATTCAAATTCTTTAAAAATTATCCTCTATTAATTGACAGAAAATATTGTAAAATGTTTAGTGCAAAAATAGACTATGAAGATTAAACTCTCTTTGAATTGGAGCTAACCTTTTGAAGAAAAGTAATAGAAGATGATGATTAAGATTATGACAAAATATTTAATATTTTTGTTTGATGATAATTCTTAAAATGTTAACCTTAGTTAAAATATAAAATCACATAATGAATATAAAGGGAAAGTGAGGATCCTCCTTTTACCTATCTTTAATTGCAGTGAGTGTTCTGATAAGATCAAAATTAATTTCATGTGTAACTATTGGATCTTAATTATAATTTGGATGTGAAGTTACAAAATCTCTCATCCAAGAAGCAAGCGTCTTAGTAGTACCATTACTTTGTTTTTTACAAATTGCATGACTTCATCTTGAAGTACTTTATTTTTTAGATATATCTGTTCTTCTTTCTATGCACATTATTATTTTTTAACAACATTTCTATTTTAGTGAATTAGTCCTACAATTCCAATAAAAGATCCGTCTTATTTACCAAAAAATATTTCTTGTAAGGTTAGTTCTTCTACAGTAGCAGGACCAAATTCTTAAAAATTAGTCCTAAAATAGAATTTTTAATTTAAAATAGCTCCTTTTTCTTTTGATCTTCTCTTATTTTCATCAACAAGGGATAAAGGCATATAAAAGTTAACAGGAATATAGTTCTAAAAATACAATTAATAAATTACTGTAAAGAACAATCGAACAATCATAAGTATCATGATAAACCATGTGGTAGATAGCTTTAGAGTGTTTGAATTCTCTTTCTCATATTTATTGACACCTGATCGAAATTGAAGCACATGCATTGATAAGGTTTGTTTGGAGTCAATTCAATCATCCAAGCAACAAATTCTGGTAATATTACAAATGGCAACTTCTTCTATTGCTCTTCACCTAAACTTTGAAATAAGCCACCTATTTTAATCTCTATAATGTTTACTAGTATTAGGGCTCAAAAGTGCTAATTTCTAATCATCATACAAATTTATCACATTACCTTCAAATTCATCACCCCAGAATAACTACATTTTGGTCTCCATCTGACATTTGGATCTGAGAGATATTCAAATTAATTTTTGTGTAATTAGAATTTCCCAAAAATTTTTAACAAGCTCAAAAATTGCAATCTTTCTTTTTCTTTAGCATCTTATAAAATGCCAGAGATTCATAGTAATCATAAGTTACTCCTTTGTCGTTCAAATAACCCAATGAATAAGATTTTTTTTATTAATGAATTTCTAAATTCTTAATTTTTGTATATAAATATATATTAACAATTCACTATTATTATAACAATTTAAAACAAATTATTACAGAATATCCTAATTGTAATGAACCTAAGTCTTTTCAAAATTTGGAAAGCTAAAGAAACTTTTGATGTAACTAATTTCATTTCACGTTTTATATCCTAATTTTCCTTACATATCCCTCACTAATTACTTTCAATTTATTCCTTCATATAATATAACATTCAATACTAATGAAATTCTATCTGCGTTTAATCTAACTCATTGTACCATTGCAATAGTCCTTTTATGATATTTATTGAATTATAGGAATTAACTTTATTAACCTTATCATTTGACTCATATAAAATAGAAATATCATATTGGATGAATGGCAAAATATCTTTCTTCCAATAAATTCTCAAATATATCAAATTAATCAAAATATTCAAATAAAATATTATTATTCTTCCTCATGAATTTATAAAATATTTCTTAACTTTTCATTGTTCTCTCTTATATGGATAGATTTAATTAACATTACCTCTCAATTTTCACCCGATCAGGATATATACATTCTAATTTTTTTATTATTATCCATTTTTTTACTCCAAATCCTATTTACAATTTGGTTGATAAAATTATTTTTTGATTTTTTATCACTTGAATTATTTTTTTTCATTAATAATTACAATTAATATTTAATACTATTATTACCATAGTTTATAATTTGTAAAAAACTCAATAAATATATTGCTCAATATCTATCTAATCATATTTGATTAAATTTTATATAATTTTTAAAGATAGATCCCAGTTGCCTTATTCACAATAAACTATTCTTGAAACTTCCTTAAAATAATTTCTAAATCATACAGCTTACAAAAGGGCTTTACAACACCAAACACACGGAAACAAAGTTGTATACAAAGTAGTATTTCTAGTTTGTGTGATTCCTAATTCTAAGATGCATCCTTCTTCTGCATGAATGCACATACACTTATATAAAATCAAGTCTAAAGTTTATGATTCCTTGCAAACATCACACCCTCCTTCATTACAATTTTTCATCACTTTTGGAGTTCCATTATAAGAAGTACTTAAAATTCTTTTATTGTTGTTAATTAACACCGCCCCGACACTCTTTTTCATGCAATTGCTTCTTTATTTGACTGTATATGCAATCTATGATGTTAATAATCTTACTTTCATAAAATATACATCCCAATCAGGTCGAAATGGTCTAATGATCTTAGCCATTTATTGTTTCAAGTAATTTCTGAATTCTTCAAAAGTGTTTGTATTATTTTTAAGATAAACCTTGCAATTCTTTGACAACTCTAAGAAATCTAGATCATATTTTTGCTTATATAGTGAAAATTTCTCATACTTTATCATCAAGTCTCACGAAATCTTCAAACTTAATTATTTCATGCTTTTCACAATATCTTCTATATCTTGTAAATGAAGGTGAGTCCAAATATATTAAATGAAAATAGTTTCTTTTCTTCAAGACTCGTATCTGCTCCTTCGTGGTGATTGCTGTGATAATTGTAGGAGTATTCCAGTTATTATATATCTGCATAGCAGTTTTATTCAGATCAATTTCCTGATCAAAGTAAACTATTTAATAGTCATACATTTCTTTCATTAACTAACAAAATAACTATTTTCCTGAACAAATACCACCCAATACTCCAATTATAGACATCAAATAAATAATTAATTTTTGAACAATGATATTATTAATCAAAATTTTTAATATATATTTTTTCAATATTGTTACAAAGTATGTTTATATTGTTATTATTCAAATTGTTTTTCTGTGAATATGTTTAAAAGTCGAATAATAATTGATTTCGTCATTGGTTACAATATGAATAGAAATATCATTCTTAAATATTATTTTATTTTTTATGAATTTATATCTGTTATAACAATCGCAAAATTACAGATAAAAGATTCACAATAAGTTTAAATCAAAATAATTTATGGCTTAAACTATCTTTAAATTAGTATCAAACTTGTTAATTCTGTTATCTAGGCTTCTTAGTAAAACAAAAAGAATAATATAAATTTGGCTACTCAGAAATAAGTTTTGGGTAAACAAAATCCAAATAGAGAACATCAGTTTCAAGTAATGTTAGATAAATTTACATTAGATTTTCAAGGGAGTCCTTTGAAATCTATTGTAGTGCTAAATTAATCACCAAATGTTGAAATGAGAAATGAGTTTAATTCATCCAAATTTATTAGTACCATGAGATCTATGTCTCAATTTAGGCAATCGATGCAGTAATAGAATTTCAACCCCAAAAAGAAAATTATGGTGCTGTGAAATTCTACTATTCAAAATATTAAAATGCGCTACAAAATGAATAAGACAATTATTATACTCAACTATAAGCCAAACTAGATTGTATATAGCCTTATTGATAAGATCTGAAGAGGATTATCATTAGAATGCCAAATAAGTTGAAAATGTTATTGAGTAAACAATTACTAACTGTCAACGCTCATATAAATAAAATAAATTTGACAAACTAAAAAGTTAGTAGTTGCTGCTTGAATAGGATTTGAAGCAATTAACTTTTAAAATATCTAATTTTAATGTATATAAAGATTGATCCAATCTGTGAACAAAGCTTTTTATATTTAATTCTAATTTAATAAATTAGATTTGTTAGTCAACATTATTTTGGATAATATATTTTGGTTTTGTTCACAAATCAATCAATTTAATGGATTACCAAATTTAATATAAATTATAATTTTTATTTTTTTATATAATAATTATTGTTATTATTTAATATTTTATTTCAAAAGATAAAGAATAAAATTTCACTGATAAATAATTCAATCAAACATGTCTGAATCCAATAGTAAAGGAAGAGGCTAGGCGGTATTTGTAAAATTAGACAATACCTCAACTAGTTTCATTTTATTTTGAAGTCTTGTCTTTTAACTTAGTTAACAATTCTGTAATGAAATCATTCGAAGTGAAGTCAAGATGAATCATGTATAGGCT